CTGCTCTGTTAGGCTTTAATATTTATACTCGCATAGTTAGCGTTTTTTAACTCATGATTTTGAATGTTTGCAAACTCTGCATTGATTATTCTCATTTAAATTGATGGGGAAACAATATGTATCAATTTATCGAAGGAGAATAATAATGTAATGTGTGTTTTTTAAATATTAGTGGTTCCGTGTCAAATTTAATGATTTCCAAAGCACTTTAATTTTTTCTTTTACATTTTATATTGGTATTCATTGGGTTCATATGGTATTCATTGACCAGATGATGTATGTGCATGTCGAAGGCAATTAGTCAAATCAGGCATTTTATAAAATACCTAGGCGGCCGGTTGTCAATTTTGAAACTTTACGGCATTCTGTAAATTTATGGCGAGCAGTTCAGGGGTTTTCAGTATTTTGGGAAAGATAAGTCTTCAAATCCGCGAACTCTCCTCGTTCCTTCCTTTTTACATACCTTTAGTACATTTAAATATTGAAATTTTCAAAATTCCATGTTTTATTACGTATAATGAAAATTTCATGATAAAAGTGCAATCAAGATCTTAAAACCGCTTAAAATACTATTGTATACTGCATATTTTTACAAAGTATTCTTCCTTACAGGAGCAACGGATTATTTTGTCTAAAATTAGGGTAAAAAATCAAAATTTCAATCTAAGTAAAAATATCTGACTATTTGCATAGGCATTTAACAAAATGCCTGATTTGACTATTTGCCTTCGACATACATATATTGCAATTGTATTGCATCGAATCGCAATTTTACTTCAATATTATTATCGCCTCGTGTACTCTTTTAATTTTGATTGTGACCGTAAATTGACTAACCCATGTAAATGTTGCTTACCTCAGTTGAAAATGCAGCGGAAGGCGGAACTTGAATTTGAGATCGTAAAAACTGCTTAGTGAGAGACAGCATCTTTAAAAAAAATTGAAATAAAACTAAAGAATATGAAAGAGGAACGAAACGTTGAATCGGCCACAGAGCGATGAACTTCTCACGAACGAGTGCGGCACTGATTTCCTTTCGGTTCAACTGATACTGTGAGTGAACCAAATGAACGAAGAGGAACACGAACACGATGATATGGAAGCTCCCGACGCGATGCGACGCGACGAATAGTCGAGGCTCGAACAATCGATCATCGATATTTCCCCATTTAAAGCTATGGTAAAAAATTGATCATTCAGGTGTTCGTTGCAAAAACCTCGTTTATCGATCCTTTTCCATTGCTATGAGTGGAACATCAATCGATTTATCGAAAATAATACCAAGCCACTGGTCCCCACTCTTGGCCTGAACTTTCTCAAAGCTGATTGCAGCGTTGCCGGGTAGGTTTCGGCATTAGAATCATCGGTTGCCTTCTTTACCACACTACTGCACTGCCGCACTTAGGAAGAACGCCGTATGAACATTCGAGAGTTGCCAAATTTCCTTGGATAAAGTGCTCATTTTTGAGGAAACTTTTGCATATTTTTTCTTGAAAATTTCAGACACTTTAGATCAAATTACAAACACAATTATCTGAGAAATTGGCGGAGAAATTATCAACAATTTTCCCGAAAATTAGTGATTTATTAGAGGAAATTTGGCAACGCCTGGAGGTTCATACGGCGTTTTTCCTTAGCGCGGCAGTGCACAGGACCGCCCAGAGAAAAAATTAGAGAACAGGCAAATTCACTCCCCCCCCCCCCCCCNTAGAGAGGACTTTTTCTACAGGGATGAAGGGGGGGGGGAGTCCAGATAATGGGGTTTTCCCGGAAAATGTTTAAAAAGGGATTTTTAAACCTCCAATTTGGTACTATCTGAGTAGATAATAGATATTGGACATATTTCTGCCGAACGGAACTATGTGCATTATGACGCGAGCCCTATTATGCATATACTCTTATGGGTCTCAGGGCTCACGTCATAATGCACACAGTTCCGTTCGACAGAAATACGTCCAATCATTCCCTTCTCGGGTTTGCCGATGAAATTATCGATGGTCCAAGCGCAAAACAACGTATCTCCGTTTGCGACGTTGCAGACTACCTTATAAATATTTTTTTTTATTTTGAAAAGTTGTCAATGTAATATTTTGAGATTTGCCTTGATTTTTCTCCCTTGTTTGCGAAATACTCTGTAAAAATTTCAAGCAATAAAATTGGCTTGTTTCTCTCTAAAAAAAAGAAAATGTGAGTGGAAATTTTGAAACACTACAATGGAGTTACGTGGTTTTGCACTTTGGTCTTCTTGTGATCTTCCCCAATAAAGTGGCAAGGTTGAGTCGTAGGCAACATGGGCTTTCACGTGGTCAAAGCCGTCAAATAGGCTTATCACCGAAAAGGCACGCTTATTCGGCGAACATAAAAAATACTCTTTTAGGTACCGAACGTGAAGCGGTGACTCTAAAACATCGGCAGTTCGCCTACAATTTACGATGTGCGCAAAAAGAGCTCCTTCGAGATCGAATAGGGGTATCATCGTTAAATGATGCGCTTACACGGAACGCACGCACAAAATAGACTTTAATCGGACTGAGAGAGGTTACTTTAACGCCATGTCAGTTCGCCTTCAATTTTTTGTGTAGGCAAAACGGGCTCCCACGTGGTCGAATAGTGGTATCTTCGTGAAATGGCATGCTTACTTGAGCGATCGCAAAATCACTGAAGAGAATCACTGTAGTTGCAGTGATCGGTGGCATGAAACGTAAGAAAGGAGTGAAAGATTAGAAATTTCGGTGAAATATTTCATAAATTTCACGAGGCTATGAAATACTTCATATTTTTCAGGGGCTAGAGTATGCAACCTGCACGCAAACACAAAAATAGAAGAGAGTCACAATTTGAACATTTTACGAAATATGAACAGGTGCCGGTTTTTTCAATATCTTTCATAAATTTCTGAAATTTCACGAAATATTTCACGTGAAATTTTAAGAGTTTATTTTTCATAAAATTTTGCCACCCTGACTTGTCACTGGCGAAGAACGCCTGTTATTCTTCATTTCTGCGATTTACTCCAAAATATAATCGTAGGTAGTAAAATGGTTGAAGCACCAAAACTGTAGTTCTAAAGTGCGATCAGCGATGAACATTACTGAATTCATTCATTACTGAATTCGTTTATGCACGGTCTTTCACTCATCACAGGTGGGTGCATTGCGTTTATGATATTGTTGTCGGCGGCAGGAGCATGTTACCAGGTATCAAGATGAGCTCTGGCCTGAACGAAACGGAAGGCAAAACGGCAAAAAATATTTTGCAGACTCATACCGATTTACGTCTCATGCAGTCATGCTGCAAACGCGTAAGTGATTCTCTCTGAAATGAAAACGCGACTTTTTACTTTTCAACTGACGTTTGTACTTCTGAGTTGATGTATTATTATTTATTTGATTCTATAGGACTGTACGTTAATTCTGGCTTGCTGAGGAAAAACGCCGTATGAACACTCGAGAGTTGCCAAATTTTCTTCACTAAAATTTTCATTTTTGGGAGAAATTTATGAATATTTTTCCCTGAAAATTTCAGAGACTATGGTTGCAATCGAGAACAAAATTATTCGAAAAATTGGAGGAAAAATATTCATAATTTTACCGGGAAAGTCGTGTTTTATCAAAAGAAATTTGGCAACGCCTGAAGGTTCATACGGCGTTCTTCCTTAGCACGGCAGAATTCTAGCCTTATTTCTGAAATGACTCAAGTGACATGATTTTTCGAAATGACGTTGTTCATCCTCTGTTGTCATAAGTAAATTCCCACGTAAAATCCTTTCCCACTCTTATCATAGAGGATGTAAGTGAACCCCAGTTTATCCCTGAAAATGGCTTGAGTGACACGCATCTTTGGAACGACCGTGGCCTCCCTTTATTTTCATTTTCGTTTTCATTTTGTCGAAAAAGACGTACGTAGATAGTCTGAAGTTATTTTCCACGATGAACCAACAATTTCTCATAGAGAGACGTAAATAACTTCAGTTTTTTTCTAAATGTCTTAGCTGATGTCATTGACCTAAAACGACGTAAGTCATCCTCCGTTTCTGCAGTGTCTTCATTATTTTCGTAAAAATGGACTCAAGTGAGTTACAGTTTTATTTCTGGATTGGCAATAGTTACAATCTATTTTAAAAGCGATCATCCTCCGTTTCCCTAGATATTGTATTTTTAAAAAAGAACGTAAGTTATAGACTCCAATTTTATTTCTGAAAATGGTTAAATGACACAGATTTTTGTAACGAATTAAGCCTCCCTCTATCTCTGCTTTCACACTCATTTTATCATAAAGGACCTAAGTGATCTCCTCTTTTATTTTTAATATTTACTGAATTAAAAAGGACGGTAAAGTATAAAGTTTAGTCGAAAAAATGAGAGTCACCAACGACTCTAACTGGCTAACTGAAATATAAGTCATTTTTGACATAAATAAATACAAATATTGAAACAATGGTTGAATTACACCGGAAATTGTAGGTAGACTGCCAATGCGTTGGAATCACCTCTCCCGTTCGTTTTAAGAACATTATTCAAGTTTTTCAATCATATTTACCGTTTACGGCGCGGTGATACCACTATTCGATCACGTGGGAGCCCGCGTTGCCTACGCTAAAAATTGAAGGCGAACTGACCGCGTTAAAGTAACCTCTTGCCGCCCGGGAAAACTGGGAAAACCTTTTTTTTTTCCATGTGCTGCAAATATGTAAAGTGATAATGTTACTGTGTGACCACTATTTGATCAGGAAATTTTATTTTTCTCGCTAATTGCCTCTTTTTCGTTTCCCTCTCACGATTTTTTCAAAGTGGTAACACTTTTTTATTATTTCAACAGGATTTGTGTTTGTGTACATATGAGTGCCTATCTATTGAGAAATCGTACTGAGTCGGATAGCGATGACAATAATAACTTCTCTTCTCCACAAGTATACATATTAAAACAGCTTTGAGCTTCCGAAAGCTTTCGATAAGCTTTTCTGCCTCCCTCTCCGACTTGATTTATCATTGTGAAGTGTCGTCATCCCACGCTGGAGGGGCGGAGGGGAGGGGAGGGAGAGTGGAGTGAACTCATAACTACTTACGAACTACTACGTAACAAAAACTCACAGGGTACATTGATCCACCTTTGAGAACGATTTTCGGAAACATTATCAATTATTTTCTGTAAGTACCTTGTTTGTATCCCTTCTTACATGTTATACTGCTATTTTGTCCATTATTTTACCTCGTTCTCCCTCAACGTCGTCTACAATTCTGATAATTCGATCGCGGCACGAGGTGTAGGCTTCGGCCAGATTTACGTGGCCGTATATTTAGGTTATCCGCTTTTACTGAAAATTTTGGCAATTCTGGGAACTTAAAATGCCGCAAGTACTTCCTCATACACTGCTGTAGCTGTGCAATCAGTAATTTGTACGAATACATGAAATAGAATCCCATTATTTCACCACATTGCAGCCTATGTTTACCTGTACCTTGTAGTTGGAGCAGGTTGTATCTTGCTCTCTGATCAGTCTCTAGTTGGTAACAAATGCAAGAAACGTAATCCTTATCGGCTTTTCTGTTTGTTCCAGATGACGGATCCTTCAAGCTGTTTCAACCTGAGAGAGGACTTCCAGAGTGTAAATTCACTGTTCATCGCAGACCTGTGATTCCACCTCCGTTGGCTGTCACTTCAGTTTTTCCCCCTGTTTTAACCACATTATCTTCCACGCCTAACATTCAGTGTCATTCGTTTTATCGACCTCAGTTTTCCCTACTCGAGTTTCGATAAGCTTCTTGTTTCCACACCTATGTGTTTGGTGTCCTCTCCTTTAGTTTTTTGTGATTGTGCCAGTTACTCTGTGATAAATTGCAATGTTAGACGAAATTTCCGTTGCGGTTATCTTTTTAGTCCGCCTGATAGAAAAAAGTGCAAACTTTAATCAAGAGCAACTGGAAGGATTTAAGCAGAGGTTGTCTGAGCTGTTGATGAAACGCTTCCAAAATCACTGGTTCCCTGAAACTCCAGCCAGAGGTCAAGCGTACAGATGCATTCGAGTCAACGAATTCAGCCGCCGAGATGCTGTCATTGAAGAAGCAGCAAGCGCTTGCGGGTTCAATTATGATGACATGAAGCTCCCTGTTGAATTAACCTTGTGGGTTGATCCAAATGAAGTTTGCTGCCGGTACGTATGAATGTTTCTTTTTGCACCTGGCCCTTTTGTACTTACTCATTGTCAAATACTGTAGCAACAAAGACATTGAATCACGCAGACCGTGCATCCTGTGTTACAGAAGGCGAAGGAACTTTTAAAAATTCGCATGTGACGAGTGGTGGCACCGACCCGCATCGATGAGTTCAAGTGTCCCAGTTGCGCACATCTGCGCATGCGCAGTAGCGGCTCCAGTGAATTTTTGTCGGATTGTGAGGCTTTTTTCCGCGGTTAATAATTAGTTCGGAAAAATGAAACAATGTTATTCGGGTGTAAAATTATGTGTTCTAAAACTTTTCTTCTTAGGAATTTTGTTTGAAAATGGACTCTAAATGAGATATTCGTGAAAAACCGAGCGCGGGCATGAATTCTCCATTGCCTCTCTGCAGTCTCTTCGAATGCTAGGGGCACACGCTCCCTCCCCTTCCCCGCCCGCCCATCATGGGGCTCCGAGAGACTTGCCTCGCTCCGCCAGTACTAAACCGAGCCGGACGCACGGTCTACGTGATTCAATGTCTTTGTGTAGCAATCTGAAGGGTGTTTGGTCGTGGGTAAAAGATCTATGACACCTTTATTATCATAGGCGGTTCTAGACCCTCATGCATGGGGGTGCCCAGAGGTGAAAAATGTCGGAGACCGGCCCCGAAGGAGAAGGTCGCTCAGGGGAGGCCTAAGTTTTGGCCCTCAAGTTTTATTCCTTTCCTACCCTCCTTTCTCTTTTTCTCTCCTTCCTTTCTACTTAAATACCTATAAATTCAATGTAGAAAATTTTTAGCGAAACTTTCCATCCAAACTACAACCTTACCATAAAAAAAAAAAAACAGTAGAATCTTTGTAAAACACGGCTATCAATATTAATTCTGTTTAAAACATTTTCAATTAATTGCCAAGGTAGATTTACACAGGTATGGAAAAGTTGAAAATTTCCCATGAGCCTCAGTACGTGTCACATGACCTTGTGACGTAGGTTAAGGGGCCCGTTTTTTAATTAAATTACAATCAAATTAACATTCAAACGTTTGTGCGTTTAAATGCTAAAATTAATATCGTATAACCAAAATTGTGCAAAAAATCCCACAAAATTTTGACAAACGATAAACCGAACATAATAAATCAAAATAATCAAAACATACAAAATGGCTGACGTTAAGGGGCCGCTGGAGAGCCAATCAGAGGCCAGTTGTTTAGTTCTGTCCATACCTGTGTAAATCTACCTTGATTAATTGCTGGGAATTTCACTCAGTGTGAGCGAATACAGAATCTTCAAAGGCAGTAATTTGGTCTTTTTTATATTAAATTCTATACTGGTTAAAAAAGCAATAAGTAGAGGTGAAGGAAGAAGAAGGCCTCTTTCACGGTTCCGGTAACCGTACTTAATTTTTGCTTGGGGGTGCCCGGCACCCACTGGCACCCCCGTAGAATCGCCTATGTTTATTATCTATTTTGAGAAGTCTGTCTCTTTCAATGCAACTTTTCTCTGGCAACATGGCCAAAAACTGAGCTTGACAGCTCATTATTTGCCTCCACATCTAGAATTTAAGTTCATTTGTGTCATGAAATTTTTCTGTCCGAGCAAGTTCAGTAATGCCCCAATTATTCAGTGTTTTGTGACGAAGGCCGCAGCAGATACTGATTCATGAAAATTTCCAAAATCAGACTGAAAAAATACCATTTCAGGCTCTGTTTGTAACCCAAAAGCAATAACTTTGCCCATTTCTTCTAGTAGGTATTTTAAAATAGTACATAACTAAGAAAGAAAAAAATAACTCAGAAGTAATGTTTGTATTCAATTCTTGCCCTTAGAAACCTGTCCTCATGTCAATTGTTATTGACTATTTTGATAGAGCTTATAAATAGCTTAATCTTGAAGACATCCAAAAATCAGAGCATTACTTAAGTACTGTACTGTCAAAAGTAGAAGTGTGCATCCTCCAACCTGAAAGAGGTAGAAATGAAAGTACCTATGAATGTGAACTTGAGTTTTTCACAGGCAAACCAAATAATGAAGAAAAACACACCATCCCAGAGTTGTTATCAGCAGCACTTATTTACCTTCCTCATTTTTATTTGTCGTAGCAAAAGCAGCTAGGACTTATCAATATGTATCCTACCGTATTCCACAAAGAGAGAAAAGAATTGAAGCTGTCTAATACCTGCCGTTTCCTCATTTTTTGGCTTAAAGTGGCTTTTTTGGCTTTTTTATCTTGCAATCTGAAAATACCTTAATGGGCCCAGAAGCGGATCTTATCAATACTCCTCCTTTTTCACTACGATGAATTTTTTTTAACATGTTCTGTGTTGACGAAAAATTAAAAGTAGAACAATGTGTTCAAGATTTAGTGGATAAATTTCTTGCCGTGAGATCATAAACCATCTCAGATTCCATTTTTTAAATATTCAGTGATGAGAGATTTCAACATGTAACCTTAAATACGATTTTCCTCTTTTCCAGATTTGGAGAAAATAAAGGCTCCTACTGCACTTTAGCTTCATTCAGTGATAAGGAAAATTCAGTCGCTGTAGACAGTAAATCTCTCAATGCCATGGTTGATCAAGTCATGAACATGATAACGGAAGAAAAGCCTGCAAAGGCTCCGGTAATATTCTTTTGTCTTATTTCCCATCATCAAATTAATTAATTGAGAATTTTGCGTATCGTTTCGTATATTCCATTTTGAGGGAATCCACTAAAATTTCATCATCATTCTGTTTTGTTTTTCTGCATACCCATTCGCATGCGTTACTAAATTTGCCTGCCGCACCTAGAAATACGATGATGTTTTTCAATGAAAATACTCCATTGCCATAGAATAATAGTTACCAGAAAGGTAACTGGCAGAACCTCTCGTAAGATCGCTTATAGTTACTTTTTCGAAGCAGACTTTGCTCTCTTTCCCCCGCGAAATTTGAAATGTTAAGCTGAGCGGGGGTTGCGGGGATTTCAAGAATCGGAGCAAAGATGGCCAACTGCTGCAGTTCTGGTAGCTATTATTCTATGTCATTGCTTTGCATGAAAAAAAAAATCCCCAGGACTCATTCAGGTTAGCAACAGAAAACTCTAAAATGATATTTAGAACAATGCTAATAGCGCTATCTATCAAAGAGTCAGAGAAACACGACAGAAACAATTACCTAGCAATGCTGTAAGATGGCGCGAGTTCACTCGTCAATGTCCCGGGCGAGTATATTCAGTAATTACGCATCAATACATGCAAATGGGTTAAATGCATGGTGTCTAGGATCGGAAAGAATGGAGATTCATCAAGGACTAAAAACTTTCAGGGAAAATCAGGTAATTTGTTCCTGAAACTGTGAATATCTTCTTCTATTGCCTAAAGACTGCTCAGGAGCTCAGAACCTTTTAGAATTATGTTTATAGTCGCCCCCAAGAAATTCCTGTGGAAGTTGGAGAAAAATGTGGTTTCTCATCAGGGAATGAGCTTTTGAAAATAAAGGATTGAGCATGGACAAGAGGCACGATGCTGAAGAAAATGACTTTTCTTCAGAGTGCCAGTGTTTTGCAGGTTTCGCAGTGTTTCTCAGGGCCAAATGCGCCCAAGAATTGGGCTTTGGCAAGTGACAATTGTTCATATTAACGTGAAAGAGGGTACACAATGAAGGCCCAGTGGCATCTTGATGTCACTAGAAAGGACGATTTTGAAAAATATAAGTTACTTCAATGTTTCTCTTTTGCTGCATATTCCCTTGCTGTCCGATAATTTTGCTTGATAACTTACATGTCACCCACAGGGCTAGGAAAAGTACATTTCTTTTCTTGCTCTGAATACATTTAGCCGTACACAGAAGCAAGTAATTCAATGTGAATTTTACGGTAATTTTAATTTTCAAGATTCATGTCTGGGAAGTTTCAAATCATTTTCATCACTTTAATCCAGGAAAGTCTGGATAAGCTCTAGAATTTTTAATCTTGATGTCACTTAGCAGATTGAGCAATCGGTCGAGGTTCTTTGAAGAACCCTCCTATCTTTTTAATCAGATCTTTGATGAAGGTGTTGTTTTTCAGGTTGTTCCTTTAAGCTCGAATAATCAAAAACCATCCGGTGGTCGGCGCCAAAATGGTAACAAACAAAAGATGTCCCGGAAGGGAAACCAAATGGGTGGGATGCCTCACAATGGTTACCACCATCCCATGCATTGGTACAGTCTTCTAGCGCCACATTGGATGCCCCCCTCTCATCAGCCGCCTTTCCATCCCATTCTTGGGAAGTGGACACCTCAGCAACAGCAGCGCTACAACAGCTGGAATTCATCAAAATCACTCGTCAAAGTCTAAGTACCCCTACTCAATGTTCTATGTACACGCATCTTTTACTTATCTCACCTCTTACGATTCATCCTTTAAAGTGTATCTATTTTGTTACTTGTAATGCATAGTTGTTCGCTGTTTAAATTTTGTTCCGAAAAGGAGAGAAGGTGTTAGCCAGTTTTCTAAACTCAATAATTTTATAAATTGTTGCTAATTCTGCAATAATCCTATGTCATAACCTTTTTTCTCTATCTGTCCACTCTTTCATTGGTCGTGGGTATATATTTTTTTCTTTTTTATATAAACGCAGAACTGTGTTCTTCTCTTGGCTGCTTTACTTTTCTGTTTCATGTTAGTTTTTTTTCCTCTAAATAATGATTTATAATTGGTAAAACCAAATACCAATGTTGCATGCACTTTAATACTGTACATAAATTTCAGTTAAACTGTTTTATTTTTGACCTTTAAAATATTACTAGTCAAAATATTATCAAAAAATTTTATTCTAACCATAAAAATTCAGTTGTCTCTAGATGATCGTTAATTCCATTATGTGTTTTATCTAATTTTGACTAAAGTTGTAGCTGCCATAGCAGAATATTATATATCAGTATCTTGTCGCTTTATTCTTATTGTTTTAATAATGTTTTACTGAATATTGTTTCCATATTCATTTTATTAAACTTTTCTCTCTGTTCATCAGAAGTAAGTCGTGTCCTTGGATTTGTGACTCATCAAGTCTTTTTTTCTGCTCATAGCTGACCCTTGACCCCCTTTCTGTATATATTTTTGATGAAATGAACATGTTTTCTCTACGTTTTTATGGAGTGATTTAACTCATCGATTCAGCCCCTTCTGCAAATATCTCCTCAGTTTTCTACCTTTCTCAAAATTGTTTTGTGAGCATCAAAGCTTATCTCGTCAGATTTTTAATCTATGTAATTATGTTTTTAAATGGTATTCTGGTCCTTTTTTGTGGTTAGTGTTTCTCTTATTCTGTGAAGTTTTGAAATTCTTTAGGTTTACGATCGGGATAAAAAATTTAATGTCTGTAGTTTCCTCCTCCCATTTTTTGGTAAAGGTATCTTATAATTTAGGTATTTTGGAATTTAAATACATATTCTTCTAAAGGCTGAAGGTTAACTGTTCAGAATCTGCAAGATATTTTTTGAAGCTTTGAAATTAAAAAAAAAAAAAAAACAATTCAATCATAATGAAACCATTCTGTTGGTTTAAAAAGGTATTTTCAAGCTCTATTCACATTTCCTTTTTATCAAAGAATAATTCATAATTTTGCTTTCAAGAATTCTTCAGTTTTATGTTTATTGTGATCGTGAAGTATCTTTACCCTTAATTATTTTCCAGAGTAGAGGTATAATTATTAATCGTATTATTTGTTTTATGGCAAGTAGAATTGTTCAGTCTGTACGCTTGATTTAAAGCCATTCTATGATTCTGACCCGAGAACCCCTCACGAACTCACTACGATTAATTTATTTCTCTTCATGTATATTTTGCCTTCTCCTGCTTGATTTCTCTCGCTTCTAGGTTCCCTCAATTTCTATGGCATGCTGATGTAGAGGCTCGGCTTAGTTTTTGTTATACTCAAATGTAATACTTTTTGTACTTTATTTACTCGGAAAAAGAGGGAGTAACATTTCATCATAGAAAAACAATAGTTTTTTTCTTTAAGTGATTACACTTACCTAACGTTGTTTATTCGTTGATTGCCGTTATTTAGTTGGGCTATAGGCTTAATATATTAACCAAAATTTAATTTCATCAAATTGTTCTATTTTTGTTGCATAAAATTCGTTCAAAGTTTTAGTTAATTCACTTTTCTATGTTCATCCCATTTGAAAAATGCATCTAGGATTCTGTCATTACCCGAATAGTTTCGTTTAGACTTTGTTGTAACTTTTGCTCCTCTGATCAGGAAGCTAGCTAATATGTTTTCAAGACCCAACCCTAGTAAAGATTTCACTGTTTCATTTATTTAAAATAATATATTTGTGGCGTGGTCTCTAAGTTTAAATTTTATTCTATTCATTATGTAATTTTTTCATGTTCTTCAACTTTTAGAGGTGCTTAGTTAAAAAATGTTAGTAATCAGATTTCATGTTTTTGTAGATATTTTTATTTATTCTTCAGCTTGTGTCAAATTTAGTTTTTGAAACTTTTTGTTCTTCGTACTCCTCTTTTTTTTTTTACCTTCGGATAATTTAACTGCTATTAGCACTATTTTCCTTTACTTCACCGTCAGTTAAACTTCTCTCAGCTGTCTAGCCACAGTAATGTGGTACTCTTGTGGATATTTTGTACATTTTACACAAAAACTTACAGATGAAGGCAGTTGGTACGAAATGGGACATCTGTATTTTGCATGGGAGAAGTTCCTTCATGCATTTACCAGACCAGTATAGACTCATAATTGAAGAATTTTTCGCTCAATTCCTCTTCATTACAATTTTTGTCCTACATTCGCCGATTACTAAAAATTTTTGGAGCAGTTAGTAGTATGTAGACCATTCAAAGTACTACAGGCATCGAAAGCAAATTGGTAGAGTGAATTTACTTACTAATCGGACATTTTCTTCCCAATTTTCAGACCACTGCTGTTTGAGCTCTAACCTCTTCTTCTTGCATAAGAAGTTAGCTTTTTATTTTGTGGCAGTTACAGCATTAATGCCACCATTTTTGCATCAAGTGTTTCTGAATCATTATTAATGTCTCATAATTTTATTAAAAAGAAGTAATGAAGCAGGCAGGCAGCTGAGGTAATTTAACTTTCTTTTCATCTCTTTTTCAATATTTTTGTCGTTACATGCTCTTCCTTCTTTTACATATCTTTTCTTTAAGCGCCCCCCCCCCCTTTTTTTTTTCTCTTGTATCGTATGAGACGTTTGTCTCTTAGGTTTTGTGTTGCCTGCAAAACTGTAAAATTTTTACAGTCAAGTGCGGTGTCTGTGAATTGAATTTTTGTTTCTTTTTTGCTTACCTACACCTTTTTGCACTAGCCTTACTGAATGTAATGGTAATTTCATTATTTTGGCCTGTTTTGTTCAATTCATTTCTTCAGTTTTTTTATTTTTTTCCCTCTTAAGTCAAGCTCATTGCACTAAGTTTATTATTAAATTATTAATGCTTTCATCTGTTCAATTGACCGATTTAAGTTTTAGTTAATTACTGATTTCGATTATTATTAAATGTTCTGTCTCTATAATTTGCCTTAAATTAAATTAATTATAAATCGCCTAAGGTGGAATGTGTAGATTGAAACAACGGATGAGTAGTTTCATGTCTCCCTTTCTTACGATAGATCATATACTCCTGTGCTTTGCCAAGTATTGATTGCATGCATTACTCTTATTCTTATGACATTTTACGTTCGCCTATTTTTTGCCTTTCTTTTTTTCATTTGTTTCTTGTTTAATTAACATTTATATTGTTAAATTGTTAGATAAATTTTATTTTTGAAAGTAGATTGTTTTAGTGGAGTTTTATTTGATTTTTTTAGCCTTAACTTCAATTGGATTCTAGTTGAATACGGAAAATATAGTCAAAAAGTTTAGAAAAGAATTCTAATCATTTGTATTTATTCAATTTTTTCAAGTATGTCAACTTAATTGACTCTGTGACTTGGTCACTGTGTACGTCTTCTCTCCCTGCCCTAAATATTATTGGTTGGTTAATATCTTGTTTTAAATAATGGAAATTAAAACCAAGAACGATTGTACAAGACTTAGAAATTTAAAATAAGGAAATTTCGGAGGTCTCTATACTTAGTGTTTTTTCTTGTAGTTTGTGTATGTTTTCTCTTATGAAACAAAGCACTTTAAACTTGAACATGCGATGAATTTTATCCAATCAGCAAACATTTTTTACACAGTAAGTAGCTACAAATAAAATTGGTCCATTCCTTCCAGAAAACATTGAAAAAACATTTTCTCGAATTTTCCCCCCAAGATTTTTGTATTCCATACACTTCTTTCCTTCCTCCTTATCAAAAGTTAAAGCTTAATGAGTTCATGCTGTTATCCTATAATTGTTTTGTAGCATTCAGCCTCTCAAAGGAAACCTATGCAAACCTTTTTCCATCCAAGAGTGCTTAACAATATCATAAAATAAGTTTATAGTTAATTTAAATTGTTTCTCTCTAGTACTTTATACTACAATTCCCTTGCCACTTTTTGTGTCGTCAGCGTATTTCAAACCCCACATGCATGAAAAAAGTTTTCATGACCTGAATTTTCTGAAACCATTTTTATCGTAACATTACAAATTCCTTCTCGAACAAGGATATTATTTAAGTAGAATCACACTCAAAATCCGAAAAATTTTTAATTCCTAATTGCTGACCTACTTATCGCTATCACTGCCAATGCCTTTTTCAGAATGTCATATGTATCTATTATTATACCCTCAGGCTCACTGAATGTCCATCTAGTAATTTTACCAATGTCATTCCTCTTACTGATTGATAATTAGTATGTATGGATGGGAATTCTCAGCGAAAACAGTTCTGATACCATTTAAATTTCAGCGTTTTAGCATCCTTGGTTGAGAATGCTCTTGTCTGATACACGGCACTCAAAGTTCAGTCAGTATTCAAAATTAATATTCTCTCTTTCCTTCACTGATTTTAACAAATGTGACACTGATTTTCAGTCTGTAAATAAATTATCCTAAAAAAATTTAAAATTTAACCGGTTAAGTATTTCAGTGCCTTTGCAAATGCTTATTTTCTACCTTATTATTGTATTTAACTAACCAATTGCAAAATTCTGCTCTGGCGGCATTTCTTGTGGGGGGAAAATGACCAAAAAAAAGGCAGACATCAAATTTATTTTATCTCAGTGAAACGTCACATGCTTTGATGGGAAGGAAGGTGGGGGATCACAACTCTTGGACTTGCACTAAGTATTTTAATCAGGGTTCGGTTCTAACGAAAATCTCCAGCTTAAACGATTTAATTCCCTATTTCTTGCAGATTTTATACTTTTTACTTTTTTTTCCGTTTTTGGGATTTAATGTAGAAACTGTCAGTTAGTTCTTAAAATTAGATGTCTTTTAGGCACTCTGAATTCACTCAATTTTTTTAAACACTTTGAATGTATTCACCAGATTTAGGTATAGATTTGGTACTGTCACAGCAGTAAAATTTCTTTACACTGCTTGCATATTCACAAGAAAGAGATTCGAAGGTGGATGTTAGTTCCAATTTCAACTCCTGAAGGTAGTCATGTGCGGGTCGTCTTAAACATCAAAATACTTTTGCTTGTCAGCTGCATATGGAATTTTTATGCATACACTAGCCATGCATGGTTTTTTTTTTTTTTTTTTTTTTTTTTTTACTGAATTGGAACTACTGATTATTTGATTTTGAAATAAATTGAAAAATATTATTATAGAGACATTTTTCCTAGTGTGGTATTTGTTATCAATGCATTTTTTTTTCTTTTGCCGCAGCTCTGTCTGTTGTTCATTCCCATAAGTTCAGAAGTCATAAATCTAATTACACTAGTGAAGGAAGCTAATTATGTCTGTCAGATTCAGTTACTGATGTATTCTCCTGTTTTCAAAGAGAATTCATACAAGTTAGTTCGCAATGCAAAGAAATTTTACTGCAGGAAAATATCATTAATTTTTTTTGATAAGTAAATTGTTATATCATCTCGTTTTATTTAATTTGCGTAGTTTACTAGCGCGCACTTTCCCCAGTATATTAGGCATCCATTTTTGTTTCAATGTAGCGGCATATTGCAACCTAGTTATGTTCTCAATTACTTAGATGTACTCACCGTAAAGCTTCAATTGAATTTGTATCTTTAAAAATCTAATTTCACTGACTGCACTCAGTAATTACATGTTCTTACTCACATTTGGCATATTTTGATGTCGTGTAGCAGGACTGCTGTGCTAAGGAAAAACGCCGTATGAGCTTTCAGATGTTGTCCAATTTCCTACTTTAAGACGCTCATTTTTTATGAGAGTTATGACTGGGTATTTTCTTTTGAAATTTTCAGATAATTTAGTGTGTACTGAATGTGAATAATATTCACTGCTTAATCTGAAGAAAAATATCAACAGATTCCTCTGAAACTTCACTTTTGATGAAAGAAAATTTGGCAACATCTGAAGGTTCATACTGCGTTTTTCCTTAGCCTGGCGGAGTAGGTTTAAGTAGTCAGTTTATCTTTTCATATTGTGTACCAAAACTATCCAAAGGGACAATTATCATCATTATTTTTAGTGAAATATTTTACACTTTTTTACTCGGTAGGTCTTTCTCATAGGTAGCCAAACATCTGTTTGCATTCAGTGTGTATCACTGTCATTCTGTTCATAGGTTGATGTACATTTATTCCGAGGGTTCAGTTTAACTTGCTTAGTGAAGTTATTTTCATTGTATTAACACTTATCCTTAATCGGTGTTCTGTTCTTATTTCAAGTTACTAATCACAATTTTTTTGCAATTCACAACTTGTCTTTTATCTTCTCACTCTTTTCCTACCTATCTTTGATGAAGTAAAATGTTTTGTACGCATTTATTGCATTTAAGGAAGCATATTATTTATATTATTGTGTTATTAACATGAACTTTTATCTCCAATCTAATTCTATTAAAAATACTTATCATCATTTCAATTTTGAGTCTCATTTGCATTATTCCATCAGCTCTTGCAACCTTTTCCTGAAATTCTTGTTCAAGTGACCATTTAGGCTGATGAAAGTAACTTGGTGCTTTCTACTGTTGTCTGGTCTGGATCGAAGACCACGATAGTGGGTCGTAGATTCAGGGTTGCCACAGTCAAAATTAACCAGGAAATATCAGGGGATTTTGAAGTCACAGAAAATGACGAAATGTAAATACACCTACTAGCTTTGATTTTATCTTTTAAAAACTACAACTTAGGTTCAAATGTGGGATTTCCAGGTTATTAAACAAGTGTTTCAGTATCTCATAGTGCCACTAAAATAGAATAAGCTATTTTTAAGATCAAGGACATCGGTTTTAAAACCCAATGTGTGAATTAATGCATCGTTATCTGTCAATTTGCTTTTGAGCTTATCTATCATTATACCTTGGCTTTTGGACCAGAAAAAAATTGCCCTATTTCAGTGAGTAGATACATGCACTGGATCTATTGCAGAGGCGTTCTCAGAGAGGAATTCCAGTATGAAATGACTGAACAATGTATCATTTCAAAACATGAAACCTCCTTGGTAAGATAGGAGGCTTTTTACACTGTTATAAATGCTTTGATAATTCAGACATTCGAGTCGTTTCTATGCTAATGTCTCAAGAGTGCTAAAGATTTCAAAGCTTTATACATACTGATGGCTGAGGTCCAAAATCTTGTAGCTCCATTGAGGTGTCTCAAAATTTCTGCTCCTATTCTATTAGTTCAAAGTGAACCAACTCAACTTTATGGCCTGAAATTTAGACAGAAAATTCTGCTCACCGAGTAGAGAAATGAAGGATTCTTTTAAGAAATTACGTTGATAGGTATTCGAAAGAAAAAATAAAGAATGACAAGAAGTCTGCAACAGAAAACAGCAAGTAGAAATATGTGGTATCGCACTTTGGCCATTGACACATTTTTTCACTTTCCGTAATGGCTTGACACTTCCTTTTATATTCAACGAGGGATGTGTCTGAGTGGGTCAACACTGCAGGCTTGTGTGGGATTTGCAATAAAGGTACAAACTGATTAGGGAAATGAAACTCACACGCAACTTTCTTACAGAGAACTTACAAACATTTTACTTAAAACAAAAACTGTACAAAACATGATAACAAACGGCGGGACATAGAAATCCCATTTCTGCAGAGCCGGCTGCAGACCATGAGTTCAAGGAGACACTTCAAGACAACTGCAAATCTGTCAGCTTGCCTGTTACAGCAGTAGTTGATTCTAGTAATTTCTTGTGATTATGTTCCAATGCTTTCACCAAAAAGGAGTGCCAGTTCGAATCCTCCTCCTTCATGAAATGCCCATCCTTGACAAGTTCTAAGGTCGAGCTTACAAGATCGAGGACATTGTTGCTCTGAAATCAATAGGAATACACGTGAAAGGAAGGCAGTTAGATCATTAACTCTAGCTGTTTTAGCACCAACGAAATCTACTATGGAACCAAACTATATTCTCGACATTTAATCAAATTGATGCAGCTCCTAAAACTAAAAGAGCAGGGGTAATTTTATGGAGAAAAAAGTGATCCCTATCTGCCTGCAAAGGTCTACTCTTCCAAGATTTTTCTATTTAATGATTTCTCTGGTTGTTCTTAAGGATTTTTTGAAACATGGGTTATGTGCATAGAAATTCTGAAAACTAAAATGAACGAAAGTATGTGTAAAGCATCATTAAGATTAGAGACAACGATGTTCACATGATGCCATAGCTGTTGGTGTTGAATTCTTCAGAACAGAAACTCTCATTATAAAAAGTAAGGGTTTTTCTAACTTGCAAAATGATAAATTCAAACACATAAATTGAGCTTACTATCTGCTACCATGAAAATTAAAGAACATGGGAATTTTTTATCAGCCGATAGGGTACGATGAAATTGTAAGCTGAAACGCACAAATAGCAAATGAAAGGTGTCCAGAGGGCCAATTATTGAAACTTGACAGCAAAGCGCTAGACAAAGAGGACATGGGGAGTATGGAGCCATACTATTGGTTGAAACGAGTGGTTCTTATAGACTAAGGGAGAAAATGATGAACTAACTACAGGGTCTTTCACAGGTTGCCGTTAGTTAGTCTGTTAACTCTCTCCTTTGTCCATTTTAATCACCGGCTTCCACCAATAGGATCCCTCCATATGCCGTTTGTCTTCTTTGTCTATCAGTTTCAATAATCTGCCCACAGATGATGAAAATTGGATTTCGATTATCTCATCTATACATTTCTCCTATCATCTCAACATCGATTTTTGGATCCGTGTTTCATTCAGAAATTCAAAAATTTCATACTCACAGTTTGAATACACGTTGATTCATTTACAGGTGGATACAAAGTTGTGACAAAATCATCGATGACCAAACTAAATTTTGTCACATTAGTAGCAATGTTGTCCAGCTGCGTCACTTCTTTTTCAGAGCTACATTTGCCATTGCTTTTCAGCGACGATCTAATTTTTTTCAACAAACACCTGGCTGTTTTGATTAAACCTATGCCAGAGGGCACAATTTCCATTTCTTCACTATTCCAGATCATTTCTGTTTCATCACAAGGTTGCGTTGCTTCATCAAATGCCTAAAAGAGATATAACAATAAAGATAAAATATTTCTTAAAAACAGAGCTAGATCTGTATACATCCCACAGATAATTTCTTCAAATCAGCTGATTTCATTATTCCTCTGATCTGTGATGTAGAAATCCTACCGTTTCAGTCTACAAGGATTCAAAAGCTTAGATAAGGAGAAAGAATAAGTAAAGCTTTATGGAAAACCATAGACAGATAATATCTTTTTTATAAAAAAAATGGACCAATAGTTTTCTCCCTACTTAGTACGAACTTACATTGCGTTGACCCAAGTGCGAAACCACATACCTCCACTCTAATGTTTCAAAATTTCCGCTCCTATTTTTTTTTTGAAGAGGAACGAGCCACTTTTATAGCTTGAAATGTATACAGAACATTTTTCCAGCAGAAAAGAAAATGCAGGAAGTTTCCAGAAACTGTTGATTAGCTTTTCGAAAAAAAATTAAAGAATGAAAGGAAGTTTGCAACACTGCAAACAGAGATATATGGTTTTGCACTTTGACCATTGATTTTCACTTAAAAACAAGAAAACACTCTTGAGAAGCATCAACATTCTTCTGGAAAATAAACTATTTGTCAGCAATTGTCAGTAAAAACGAACGGAAAAAAAACAAAAGAAATTACCATGGTCACTTCTTCTAGTGCATCTAACACCAATGATTCTTCAGCCTCTACCATGCGGCATACCGCATCTAAATTATTATCTGGACTGCGTTGAATATCGTTGCAGGATTTCGTTAAACAATCTACTATCCTCAAGGATGACTGGCTAAAACATCAAACATATCAATTACAAAATCTTCCTAAACATCTTAATATCGTCTACGGTATTAGAATGAATAGATTTTTCCAGAATTTAAATTTATTAAATATCTAAAAGGTCATCTTGGCTGAGAGTTACATGGAAATACATAGTTATGGCTCAATTTCAAATCAAAACGACTTTCAAGGATTTACCTGCTCTCTTCGACTGAGAAAGGAAACAGCAGAAGAGGGATTGGAGGAGAAGAGAGAGGGTTCTTTAAATATGTCTCACAGATGAATAAATTAAAAGCAAGTTGAAATTTTTGTTAGAGACTTATCTGATGGCGATCATTAGTTTCCATGTGAAATTTTCATACTTATCCTTGATTGACACTTAGAAATTGAGAAACTACCGTACAAATGAAATCTATGCTTGTGTTATTTTAAAACAGAAACTTTCCCATTAAAAGTCAATTTAACTTCAAAATGTTGAAAATTTGCCATCCAATGAAACACTATACAACCCTTCAAAATACTCACTCGACATATTCAAGTTTTTCCAGAGCTTCCAACACTCCAATCAAGTCTTCAATAACTCTTAAAACATCTTGATGATACTGTTTTCTGAGGGTGAGCCCACTGTCTTTAGGTAGGGAGTAAAATGCATAAATCAGTTTGGTCGCGAAAATCTCTATTTCATCTAAAATTGGACCAACCACTTCCACCTCAGGTTTTTCAGGTTGTGACAAAATGTAAAGTAAGGTTGTAACTTTATCAGCGAGTTGAGCGGCTAGTACAGCTGGAAAGAAGAATAAAGGACAATATTAGAGGAGATAAAACAGACTTTACCAGGAAAAGAGTACCAAAATTTGATGCAATAACCATTTTCATACAAGCATGCTACTTTTTACTTCAAAAACATCTATTGATTTTCTTTTGAATTTTGAGATTTTTTTTGCACACACAGTTCTTCAGTCTCTTGAATAAGAATAGAATTAAAGTTTGCCCAGATTTTGACTAATTGATGCAGCACATTGAACACCGGTTCAATCACTTTGCGCCTCTCAGATGAACCACCCCTCAGAATAACCAAGGAAAAAACAATAGCTTGAGGTGTCCTCAGATAAGTTGGCCATTGTTTACTATTGGTTTGCAGGCGTTTTCGCATCACTACTATTCAAATGAAAACATCTAACTCTCGCAGAACGAGAAAATAAGCTTGGATAGGTTTTTTAATACCTTCAAACCTTGTAACATTTCAATTTTTAGCCACACAGAAACTACAACCACATAAAAGTCGCGGATCATAATTGATAAGAATTTATTACGATGATACGATCATGAGATGGATGTTTTCAAGGTGGATAGTAGCAAACGCCCCTTTGAGTAGAGGCACAAATTTGTCATCAGCAATTGCAAACCGAAGGTAAACAATGGCCATCGTATCTGACAACACCTCTATGAGTTATTCAAATTATGGGCTGAGAGGCACCTCCTACTTTTGAGACAAATAAATGCTACGATTTGATATTAGAGAGAATATGTTAATTTCATGTTAAACGAAGATGGATGAAGCAACTTGCTTTCTTTTCCTCTGAATTTTGGATCGGGAGTGTTGAGCGTAGAGCATTTGGCCTTGGAGGTCTAAGAGACAGACCTCAGGCTTGCTGTAGTGGCTGGTTCAAATTGATGACATTTTATACTTACTACACGTTGATTTGACAGACTCTGGTGCATTGACAGAGCTGGTTGCTTCTCCACCTGTTGAGAGAAACATAATGAAAGGAATGTTATTACACGAACAGCATGTTAGTAGGTATAATAACGTGAGAAGCTGACAAGATCTGAGTTGGAAATTTTGGGTGCCACCTGGTTTTGTTTTGACTAATTTTCCTGTTGTTAATTAACAAAGAATACTTCACTGTAAATGTGAGTAATGAATCCTCATTTGAACTGTTTAATTGTTTATAGTGGGGCTTGAAAGCAAAAAATCAAAGGTTGACGTGCCTAATGATACAGTGCATTTTTCATCCGAACCGCAGAGGATCGCAACGAAACGCATCACTTTTTTATTCCATTCCACTGGTGCGTTTCATGCGTTCCAGTGGAAGATTTGGACCGCTCTTCCGAGGTGAGTTGAGACTACGGTTAGGCCAGTTGAACCAGCCTGAACTGCTAAGATCCCGATCGGTAGCGTTCCACGGATAAAAAAAAAAGCCGTAAAGATGTATGATGCTCGACCATAGATGTGTCAGTTGGAATAAGGACATATGCAAAAACCTTCGGTTAAACTTTCAAAGATTGACATACTTACTGCTGTGTTGTCTGAATCGACGTCAATTTTTGAGCACTCAATGATCTCTCGCATGGATCTTGATTTTATGCAAATGAGCCAATTTTGACTGCTTTAGCTTAATTATTGTATACATTTCGATTAGATTCGACGAATTAAGAAGATTTAAAAAATTTGGGCGTTGCTGTTCAATTCAGTAACACAACAGTTTTGTACTTAGTCCAACACTTTATCGGCAGAGGAAGCATTGAAAGGACGTTCACTAACCTGTTTCCAACTTCTTCAGTTCGCGTCCTAGAAAGGACAGCAGATTGGGAAGAAAACACTTCCACGATATGTTCATTCTGAATTTAGAAAAATGCCCTGTCGCAACAGGAAAACTGTTAGATTTAGCGCAGCAAAGCCACTGCTTCAGCTACAGGTAAGTAACACTAGTCCTCAATGTAACCAAAATAAAGATTCTGGTCGTATGTTAAAGACGGGAGGAAACTTACAAAGAGTGAGACATTTGAATTAAGTGTTCATAGATAGAAGACACCATGAAAGCAGGGAAAAACACGGCATGGGTTTGATACAAAGGTTTGATAAGTTCACCACCACCAGCATTTTTATTTTTCCAAATACAAAAATTTTGAGGTTAGGCCATGGCCGTGCCCATGGTTGGACCGCTGCTGGCTTCAAAGTTTTCACCGGTCTCTTTCATTAACGAGAACTTCGACGGAGCATGATATTTCTAAATTGCGAAAAATTAATTAGGAATCATTCTATACGCACAAATTTACGTTCTCAGCACTTTTCCTAAATTTTTCAGTATGAAATGGTATGAACACTTCCAAGAAGCTCTAAACTTTGGCAACTATGTATGACGTTGTAAAGCGTCATGATGCAAATTTTTTTCAGCAGCCACTCTGCTCGTAGTCCGAATTGTTGACTTTCTTAGATGATTTCATTGGCTCAAATCATGCAGTTGGCTCATCGGACGAACCATCTTAGACTAAACGCTTTAGTACTGTTGGTACAAAAATTTGCCTGATTTCCTTCACCGGAAAGCAATTTGGAAATTTTGCCATCAAAAAATTGCATTGCCATTTCCAGTCTCGAACTCCCTTATCCGCTGTGCAGTGAGCTTTTCTCCAGCAGAAATTTTAGCAAGAATACTATCAATCTTACCGATTCCTAGATTTTGCTCTAGTCTATATCAGTCTCAGGATATCAATTAGTTCAGTTTTAATTTCGCCCCCTCAGAATTGAGATGAATTTTCGTAATTGGTTTTTCGTGTTTTCGAACCATCTTCGGAAATAACTCGGTAATGTTGAGTGAAATGTAAGTACAATCGACTCGTACTTATTTCATTTATTTTGTTTTTTTCTTACTTATTTATTCCTCTAGGATTTCTTCGAGTGCTCGTTCGTTTCGCATTGCCGGCCCGCTATTCAATTTTTATGTAATTCCCCTTTGTCTGTGTTCGGATCTGACATTGAATGAGGCCCATCTTTTCCATGATCTCTTCCCATTTCTCCCTCATGCACGCATTTCCTCTCGGGCTCGTTAGTCAATTCGATCCCAGCCATTTCCTCTGCTATTTCCTTCTCTTATTTTGTAGCTGGCTACATTTTAGGCTATCGGCAGATTCAATCTTAATTGCAACACCCTTAATTCTGAACTTTGATTTTCTGACTAACCCTTTTTTATTGCACCTGCTTCCTATTTTCCTCTTGATCGCTCCTATGCTACCAAAGCAAATTCTCTGTTCATTTTATCAAGCAAGGTCTCTGCTTCAATCTTTTTGAATCAGTTAATATCCTCTGCACATTCCCATTCAATTTAATTTTTGCCTCGCTGTTCATTCTTCACCTTCTATTTTAGGTTATGCAGGAAAAATCAGGTGAGCGTCTTCCCTGTCCCTGAATTTACGTAGTAACTGGAGGCCTCCTGAATTTTCTTCTCTCCATTTTTCTCACTCTCCTTGATCTTCAAGCCCTAAGTCCTGCGGGAATGCTCCCGACTGACTCTATTTCACACCCTTGATGTATAAGGTCGGCTCCTGTCACCAGTGCAAGTGCTGAATTTTTTCATCTGATGGGCCTATTGGCTTGATGCTATCCGCCCTGTTTTTAATTCCTCCTAAATGTCTCTAAATGGCTCTCTGTTGCTTATGCAGCGTTTTGTTCTGGCCTTAATCTTGGTCTCATATTGTTAGTGAAATGAACCAAATTCCCATAGTGACTCATCACATTGATATGAGAAGTCACTGGCTCATTACCATCAACAGTTCCGGTGGGAAAGATAACAAGTTGAATTAGCATTCAAAAGCAATCACACCAGTAGAATTGTAGATCTAAAATGTACAATGTTTCTTCTCAATTAGTTCTTAAAGTTCAAAGGTATTTAGATCAAGAAAGGTAAGGAGAACCTCAAGAGTTTACCTGACTTGTAGAATTCTTCGAATATTTCATTATTAAGCAACCACTTAAGTAGCAAACTTTTGTTCTTGGTTTATTTCAAGATCAGGTGGCTCATGTCAAAACTCTTTTATTAGCTTCAATTGAGTAAGTGTCGCAAAATCACATTTATAACCCTCTGTCAACATGAAACTGCATCTACCACCGATAGCCCTCTACCTTCTTAAACGAATTCAGCATTAAAAAGTTTGACAGTTGCTCTTTGTTTTTAATTAATCATCTGGAAGGCCCTCAGAGAGCTAATTTTAAATTTTCCATAAACTCTAGTTTTTTGTGAGCGTCCAAAAAAATGTCACACCAACCATCATTGCTGCAATCAGTGTTTTGAACTCACCTTTTGAGTTTTAGGAGCCATCTGGTCCAATTAATTCAATTTTTAGGGGCCATTGAAGATTTTCCGGAGCCAAATTGAAAATTGGTCTGTACACCAACACCTGTAATCTCCCGCCCATTTTCCTTCTTTTGGTCTTTTTCAAATAAATTATATTTTACATCACATCTTCTTTCTTGATTCATCCGAGAAATGTAGATTGGCGGATTGAATTCATGCTCTTTGCTCTAACCTCATGAAAAAAGTTCTCCCACACATTTGGAGTCAAACTTTATTGTGCTCTAATCCTATTGATTTTCTTGAGAGATACAGATGAAGTAATCATTGTCAACTTATTGTCCACGGGCGGAAGTGGGCCCCCTCCCTTTCCATATTTACTTGGCCCCTCCCAAGAAATTTTAGGGACTTACTGAATTAAGTACATGATGTGTTTATCTTGTAAATTGCTATGGGATCAAATGATGATCAATTTTTCGGTGCGAATAGCTCCAAATTGCGCCTGAGATGACTCAGTTTTCCAAAGTTTTCCATGGGAGACCCTGCAGACCCCCTATTGATGCTAGGAAAATCCACTGAACTCTATTGTAGCTCGGATAAGCCTACATGCCACTTGGTGGGGTGTCCTGAAGAAGAATAGCCGGGTGAGTTGCAGATCAGCCTGATCCTGAGTATATCAGGGCTATGTGATGATGATGCAAGTGTCAACACACTGCAATTGTTGGTATCTCTACTTCAGTCAAGAGGAGCTATTCTTTCATTCTTAAATAATATCTAATAATTATTATTCAATCTCCAATAAGTTGAAGCAACTCTCAACGGTCCTTGGTATGATTGGAGTGATATTTTGCCTGGAAATATCAATGCGGAATGGGGTCACAACATCAATAATTATCAGAGTTTTGGTCTTCTAGTGCTTCCTGCTACCATCGTTTGTGTGACTCCTGTATATTCATCGTAGACATGGAGGAAATAACTCCTATCATTCACGACTAAATTTTTCATGTCCGACGGTATCCTGACATTTCATATTATTGCACTTCTTCTGTCTAACTGTGTTTACTTAATTAACATTTTGGTTGTTTTTGTCCCAGATTGCTGATTCCTGAAAATGATTACTGCTGCTTTTCATAAGAACGGTATGAAACATTTGGCCAACGGCAACCTTAACAATCACTGCGATGACCCGCGGGACGAAAGTTCTAGTAATATTTCCAAGGATAAATCAAGCGTGATGATCCCGGAACAGGATTACACCCAACCACCAGTCCCTCAAGGGCAAGAGAATACACCGGAAATAGATATAGTAATCAACAATGTAGTCTGTAGTTTTAGTGTTCGTTGTCATCTGAATTTGAGACAGATCGCACTCAATGGATGCAATGTTGAATACAAAAGAGAATATGGGGTAAGTATTCCCAATTATCTTCATTCTATCAAATCAATTTTCCATCAAGATTTTTTTTGAAAAATTTCTCTCGATTTTTTGGGTGACTCAACAGAAGAAACTTCCTCCTTCCTGTTTGGAAAAACCTAATACCAATGACCCAATTTCATTGGCAATGCTTTTCCTTGATTCAACTGCAGCCTTGGTCAGGCATATCTGGCATAGGCCGCTAAGTAACAACCATGCAACCTAAAGGTTTAAATCTATCTTTAGGATTTTTTTGGAAACTTTTGTCGTAAAAAATCTTAAAAATGTAAAACTGAACTGAAGTCAGCACCTTTAAAGTATATCATTCAAAAGATGAAGTCTTGAGAAAATTTTATTAGAAATTCTAATTTTGTGTGTTCAAAGCTTTAAATTGTGAGCATGCTTTTGCGGAAAGAGAACACATGGTAAACAAGTGAACAGAAAAGTTGATTGACAGAAAAATGTATGGTGGCATATACTAATTTTCTTGTTAGATATGCCGAAAAATTGTTGATCTTTCCACATATTGTAGATTCAATGTCATGTAATTGTCTCAAAGGCATAAGTCATCTGCTCATCTCTGAAACCCATAGATTTTCAGAATTTAGATAATACGGAGAAAAAGTCCTTTGTTATCTTATGTATTAGTTTTAAAGACAGTCAAACTTTAATTAGGCATGTGACGAAAAATCTCATCAAGGCAGAGTAATGAGTATTTTTTTCCTCTGTATCTTAATAGAGTTTTGTCTCTCTCTGTTTCTAGATGGTAACTATGAAAATAAGGAAACCCTACACGACTGCATCAATATGGTCTAGTGGTAAAATTACATGTACAGGAGCCACCAGCGAGGATCAATCTCGCATTGCCGCCCGCCGCTTTGCACGAGCACTTCAAAAATTAGGCTTCAAAACACGCTTCACTAATTTTAGAATCACGAATGTCCTAGGAACATGTTCAATGCCCTTTGGCATTAAAATAAATCAGTTTTCTACGCATCATAGGGAAGCTGAGTAAGTATTAGCCGCACTATTCTGAAAAGAACTTTTTTAAAGTGTTCTCCATGTTCTATCTTTTGCTTTAATTTACTTTAGAAAAGCAGCCCCTGACTAATGTATAAAAGCTTTGTGTCTATCTTTGAGTATTAATACTCGAGAAGATTTCAATTTTCAATGGGTCAGTGCCGCTTATTTTTTTAAATTCATTTTCTTAAAGCACCGCGTGAGTTTTATATCCTTATTGTATCAATGCCAGGGCGATCAAATACGTCGAAAATTTCTGACCATTGAGATTACCCACGCTTTAGAGGTCACAAATTGATTTATGATACAGTAATAATGAATTCAGGATGAATCAGCGTTAAAAACACTCAGCTTAGAATTTTGGCTTGAGGTTATGTTGTTTTTTTTTACATTGGAACCATCAAACATAGCTGTAATCATAGGTCAAATAACTTTATTATGATAGCATCTAAATCAGTTCATTGCATCTCAATAGCAATGTATAGTTATTTTTAGCTCCAAAGTCTCTAATTGTGCTTTATCTATCATAGGTATGAACCTGAGCTTCATCCCGGTGTAACATTTAAAATAAGAAGTCCCAAAGCTACGCTCAAAATATTTTCAACTGGAAGCATTACTGTCACAGGTATGTTAACTTAAGTATTTTTACAGTCATTTAATTTGCAGTTTCTAATTCAGTGGAAATTGTTAACTGATAGAGGTTTCTTCAAGCACCTATACTTAAATTTTTGCTTTTTTCTTTCCTCAGGTACCTTTTACGTGAAATACCATGTACCATTAGTATATACTTAATTACCAGTTTGTATATTTTATTACATTCAGATAGATGTGAACAATTTGATAGGTCCTTTCTGTTAGGTGTACAAAAAAAAAAAAAAAATCCCAGTAAGATTTATTAAAAAGGTAATGAAAAATAAATTTTGTAAAGGTCTTTGATTTTCAAACTGCAAGAATTTCTAAATTTTGTTCAGAAAAATTGACATTTTGAGAGCATCAAGAGAGAAAGGCATCCTATCTCTCGGTACCTAGCATTTCATCCCTCACACCCTTAACATTAAGAAATTGACCGTCAGATATAAGTATTTGCGAGTCCTTCATGTTCTCATTTAGTAAATTCAAGAAATAAAAAAAATTAAAAATGACACAGAGGAAGAAACCAAGAAAAAAAGTACGACCTAGTTCTAAGTATATATTACTGAGTGAAAAATCGGAAATTTATTTCTGATCAACTAAGTCCCCTGATTTACACATCACTTTGCGACGACCTAATTTTTTTCTTATCAGTGCACCATAAGCGCTTTCATGAACTATGCTATAGGTACTAGCTATAATGACTGCACTATAAAAGTTAATTACTAAATGCTTGAGAGAGTTAGACTCAATGAAATGAGATAACTTTCACCCGCCGAGTCAGTACCTAGTCCTGTGACAAATGCTTTTTCTCTTGGTGTTAGTACTACTGCTGAACCAAATCTGAATCAATGAGGAAAGCCATTTTTAATTGTTTTGCAGCGAGATATTTTCCTCCTAATGAGTGAGGCAGGATTGCAAGCATTTTGCCCCCAGCTCAAAGAAAAATACTTAAATCCTCCCAACAAAGACATTCTTATCAAAAAGCCGCTTTTGCAGTGCTTTTTGTTGGTACTCTGTGACCACTAACTGCCTCAGTACCCTGTCCTTCCCTAGTCCCTAGTCCTTCAGACAGTGGAATTCGATTTCCTAATTCTCTTACCCTGTCGACTGCCAATTTTTATTCATTTAAACTTATTTACTAACCCTGCTTTTTACTTGTCTTTCCCTGTATACGATTTGCTTTTTGTACGGATTTCCAAAATGGTATAAAATAAGTTTAAAAAGTGCAGTAACAAATTCAGCAGTGGAAGCACCAAAGAACCCGACACACTCTAGAAAGGAAGAAAGAATATCTGAGTTTTTTTAGTTGGTAAAGATTGGAGTGTAAAGGAATTCCCTTGAATATTTTTCTTGAAAAGTGCTTTTTATGTTTTATCATCAAATTTAAGATTGTTGTTTAATATTTTCTAAATCAATGGAATAGAGAATTTGCAGGCGTCTGAAATGGATGAATTTTGTGTTTAAGTGGAAACTACTGAGTGAACTGAACACGGGGATACCCTTGGTTCGTGAATTGAACAATTACTGGAGAAGATATGACAAAATGATCTATTCAGTTAAAATACGTGTGTTTAAATGGGAAATGCCGCCAGACGATGTCGTTAGGCGGTGCATTTTCTCACTTTTAAATCTATTTTTATACTGTTTCCCATATCAGAAATAAATTATTAAAAATACTGTGAACTCAGCTCTTTGAGCACTTTCAGATGAAGCAATCAAAAATTTGCATGAAAACTCTCCATTAGAGGAAATTCTATGTTTAGATTTATTGGAAAGGTGCCTTTTGTCCTATCGTCTTGTCTCTTTCAAAGTCGTCTCTTCAGGGATGAAGAGACCTCATGAAGCAACCTCTACAAACCTAAATTGATTCCACGCTTAAGTTTATTACAACTTGGTTTGGTTGCATGGATGCAGCATTGCAATTTTTGAAGGTCCTCTGATGAATTACTTTGTCCATTTTTCAGCTGGAAGTGTGCTAGATGTGCAGCAAGCAATTGAACATATTTTTCCTCTAGTCTATCCGTTCCGCAAAGAACGAACGAAGGAAGATGAACTGGCGCTAGAACAGAGACTGAATAAGGCTAAAAAACGAAAAGCTACAACAGAATTAGTTCTGGATGAGGTTGATGTTGATATTGATGAGCCCTCCGATGACGCCTCTGATGTTGACTCTCTAGACTAAAGTATGTTAATGCAAAACTTCATTTTTTATCATGTCATGTACTCGTTTCACGTATCCTTTTCCATGGTAAAACTTTGCTTGGTAACCTAAGCCAAAAGTGAGAATCAGGGTCTTAGTTATAGCTCTAGCTGTTGCTCGCATTTGAGAAACGTCAAGCTCGTCTGCAAAAAGTTTCAGGACTAGTAGAAGTAACCTAGTCCTTCAATTATTAACGTTGCAGCTGTATTCAAAGTCAAAAGGAATGATTTGCAAGTTAGCGATTAGACAGATAATCAGCAGAGTACAGGGATGAATTTATATCTGTATCAAGTCACAATATCATATACCATGCTTAATTTGCACCAATAGTCTACACAAATTTAGAGGCTATGTAATCCATGGTAGAAAGAAAACAGGTATGGATATTGAATCAACTTGCCTCCATAGCTATTTACTTTCACTGTCAAGCAACCTTTTTGTTTTTTTTTTTAGAAACAAGTGGCATCAGTGTAGCATGTTAATAGGGCTGAAAAGAAAAGAGACATGAAATGGAGTAAAAATAAAGAACAATTTAGTTTGGACCTATTTATTTTTAAAGAAACCAAATTCTTGTCTGTTCAAAGATAGCTTGTTGGATGTTTGGCATGGAAAACTCGAGCTGGTACAAGTTCTAGTATTGAGAATAATCTGTACCTTATCCAGTCTGAGTCTCAGTAACATCAGTTGTTCTAGTAAAATTTCTAAGTGATGGATTTTTTCCAAGTATTCATTGCCCCTTGCCTTTTCAAAAGTCTTTGACTGTAAATTTTATTCATGAAATAATTGCCGAATGATTCTTTGAACTAATACCTGAACAAGTTCAGGCAGACTCCAAATTCACCTGTCTGTTGTCTACTCCAAAATATCTGTGTGCCATTTTATAAGTCCCCCTTTTCCATGAAAAGCAACAATAATAAAGACTGACATGGAAGTAATTCTAGCCTTTTTCAGTGTCTGATCACTAATTGATGGGAGAAACTCCGTCTGTGTAGATGTTACTATTTTCATCATTGAATCCTTCTTTCTAACCGAGAACTTATATTTTTTGGCTCTGCCCTCACTTAGATTCTCCATACCGCCAAAACTTTGTTTTTTTTTTTGGGTCCTGGATTAGGCTACGTGAAATGATCCATCCTCTTGTCTCATGAATACGAAGCAATTTTTCATCAGGAGTAAAATCCTACAGGTGCCTTTGATAACAATTTGTGGGAAATGAAAATGGCACTTTTCTACTTACTGTTCAATTAGAAGGGTCTTTTGTACCATTTATTTCAATTCTGTAATTATTCAAGTGTAGTGTGTGCCGAATTCCATTCAGAATTGATCCAAAGTTTTCTGGATGTAAAATGCATTGTAATTATCAATTATGTTTAATCAAATGACAAGTTCTTGAAAAGTCAGGAAATTTTTCCCAACTCTGGAAAGACAGGATAGTGCCAGGAAATTTCGATGTAGAACCTTGACATTTTGTCTTTCAACCAAAACATTGGAATTTTGCAATTTCAAGAGATAAAGCCCCAATTTTTTTGGGGGAAAAATAACTTTTATGAGTAATCGTGCCCCCCTTCCCCCAATTAAAAAGTCAGCAAATTCCATTCTAAAAACCCTGAGAAGTTAGGGTAGAGTTAGGGACTTTTAAAATTCATGGAAACTTGTCATGTACCCTTTTTTAGGTAAAAGACATTCTGAATGCCAATGAACCACATTTTGCATGAAGGAACTACAATTTCCATTGTATGTTTGATTGAATGAACTAAACTAAAAAAAACCGCTGTTTTTGATTCTCGGCAATTATGACCAAAAAGTTCGCCCAGTATTTGATAAAAGAGGGTATAAACTTTCATCTTTTTCAATGCATGCTGTCGATCAGTATGGATCTGAGTCCAATCTAATGATGTCAGGTTCCTTTCCTCGCTCTTCTGTTTTACGTAGAGGTAAAATTGTGTTCTCACTCAATGTAAGCTTTTGAGAGTTTCAATGAACGTAAAGAACAACACGAAAAATTTAAGTCAGGTATGTGCTCAGGTATTTTCTCAATGAACACATGATGATGGTTGGCAGTACTTGAAATTTTAACTCGGTGCGCCAAAGCATTCAATTTTCGCTTTTCTCAAAGACCTAGGCCGTGTAAATTTGTTGTGTCCTGAAAAACAGCAGAAGGTGGTTGAGGAGGAATGAATGGAGGAAGAATGAGAACTTTCAGACCCAAAGAACATCACAAATTTACAGACCTGAAGTAATTTTTCCCACCCATCTTCACACTCATCTTCATCCCCTATTTCTTTTCTCTTGTTCTCTAATTTTATTTGCATCTCTATATCCTTTTATTTTTTTATTCTATTTAGTTGTCAGTAAATTTCCCTCGCAGTATGGCTTGGTACAATACCTCAGGAGGATTCATTTTTCTGTCATTTTTTCTCATCTCCTTCAGAATTCAAGTCAATTCTGAACCACTTAGTATCTTTATGCAAACTTATCTGAAGCTGTAGTCAGGAAATGTTTATGGAAACATTACAAATTTGTAATTCTCTCTATATTTACTTTTTGCTGTCGTGTAAATATCAAACGTATGAAGATCATTTTTGAATGATTGCAGTCAAATACACATAAATTCCTAGAATTTTTTAAGTTTCATTTCAGGTACAATTTTATCTCTTCAAATATAAGTGAACAAAACTTCCTAGTCATGTAAAGCGTGGAGCATTGAAGTTTTACCTCCTTACTTAACATTTATTTCCTCAGTATCATGAAAAAGCAGTGTACTCAATCCATCATTGTCAGATGGTGTTGGGAAATCATCACTTTTCTCCATTTAAACCCTTGTAAAATGTTCTCATTTAATTGTATAACCCGGCAACCCCGGCTACACACAGGATGATACATTGAATGAGAATCGGCAAGTTAACTCCATTCTTTATATTCCCTGGCAAACAGCCTGTCTTCAAAACCCTGGTCTGGAATTTCAGGAACTTCCTAGAAAGATATTTACGAGTGCAATTCAAAGTAAATTTCCTGTGTATCATAATCAATCCATAGGAGCCCAAGGACTGTGTGAATTTTAGTGCTGCATTTTGATAACTCATAATTGTGGATTGAAGTGAAAATAAATAACAAGTCGAATCTCGAGTAAAGAAAAATCTGCCGGACGTTTTATTTCTTTAGAGCTAATTTAGAAATTTTAATTATACATGAAAAAGCTTTTTCATTTCCTGCAGAAAAATTTGCCCAGGTAGCAAATAATTTCAAATTATACATAGAAGCAAATACCGAAGGAACTAAAAATATTTGGAAAAATAATGGATATTTTATAGAAATGCACCCTTAAGTTTACAATTAAAACAAAGAGGTGACAATTCATTGTTTGATGCCCTTGGTTGAAGGTAATTTAGGTTGTTCGTGATTTGTTGGATATATCGTAATTGTAAATGTAGATTAACTGATGATATTTTTTTAATTTTCTATTTTTTGCAATGTATTTAACGGCATTTTTGTGGAAATCTGGTGACACTGTGCAGAAATCAGATGCTTCAGCTGTTTAACTGAAAATTTGTCTTTGTTTTTGTGCTGTGTGCTCAGTCAAGTCACAATGCACTTTCAGTCCAAAAACTGGTCAGTCCCCTGACATTTCGAACGAACGAGCTTTTACCGCAAAACATTTTATTGTATCATGCTAGCTTTTAAAAGAAATAAATTTAGAATTAGAATCTTGTCACCTCTTATAGTCATATCACAATGGTTACAGGACTTTTGGTCCAATTTTTTTTGTCCATAAATTTTTTCGTCCAATTTATTTTGTCCACGACTTTTTGTCCTTGAAATCTGGTCCAAGTTAAATTCGTCCTAGTAAATAGTTAGTCCTACGCATTTGTTCGTCCAGTGGTATTAGGTCACATTTCTGTGGTCCAGTAAGGTAAAAAAGTTATGTCCAAAACTCACGTCCAATGAGGCCGTTTCAGCTATTTCCTTTCAGCTTCCAGCTACTTTCAGTCATCGTCTGAGTCTTCTTCGTCCGAGTCTGGTGGATCTGCGCGTGGCGTGTGCAACTTGAGGTGGTACGCACATGCTCGGAGGTACTTCTTCAGTGAGTTCGTGTCCTTGTAATGTTGGTAATTTCGGACGATGTTGGCAATCATTGCCTGATTGGTGGTGTACTTCTTGCTCACCGGTGGTTTAAAGCGGCGATGACCCCCCCGAGCCTGTGTTAACGTACGCTCTGTGTCCTGTTGAACCTTTTTAAAAGCGTCAATGAGCTTCCAAATGTTAGCATGATGCGTGCCGACGATTTGGTTGAATTTTGAGTGAAAGCCCTCAACTGCGTTGTTTGTTCTAATACGATCTGCCAAAACTAGGTTGTAGACGTTCCATGTTTCGGGAGGGAACAGGGGAGGTACCGCACGTCTTCTTCCCCGAGCTGGTTTGCCACGCACGTACGTGTGGTCAACGTACGTCGCAAATTCGATTAAAGCGTCGTCTATTTCCTCATAGAGAAAAATGAAAGTTTCCACCAAATCTGCAGGAGGGATGAACGGCAGAGCCATGAGTTCCAGTAAGTTACGTCGTAACTCGGGTTCTTCTGTATTTAAATAATCGGCCCGCAGCCCTCGGCTAACAATCTGACGCCATAAGGACTGGGAAAAGTGGAATAAGCAACCGACGATGCGAGCGTTGGGGAATGCTTCTTTTACCGCGTTTATATTTGCTGCTTCAAAGTCAGTATTTAAAAATTGAAAGCTGAAATGAATATCTAGTTCGGCTGCTATGACCTTCACTTGACGGTATATGTCTGCATACGTGCCCTCATCTTTTCGTGTCGTTAAAACAAAAACAAATGGGAAGACAGTGTCCAAAATGACTCCGTGCAGAGTGTACAGTTGAAGGAATTGCCGCGGTACAACTTTAAAAGTTCCATCAGTCAGAAGTGTATCACTCGCTGCCAACATCCTAAGATTCTCACTGGTGGAAAAGATCAGTGTACGATTGGCACCCTCACGACCACTGTCGTACAGTAAAAATAGCTGATCAGATCGAGTTCTATCATAAGGAGCGATTATCTCAAAATTTACCGTATTTGGACCTGGTAAACGCGGCCTTTCCTTGTTCTGTCTTCTGTTAACCATACGCTTAAGATGATTTTCCTCCGGTAGTTTGACGCTGACTTCTTCTTCAACGTTTCCTACCCCTGTTCTTATAACGTCGCTGGGTCTTGCATTCGGTTGCTCAGCTGCTAATTCTCGAATATTTTGCACGATCTGCATTGCCTCCACTGCAGCATGATCCGGGAGATGCAAATGAGTTGAGATATCGCACTTATAAACAACTAATTCTTCCATGTTCGTATTAGTGACGCATCTCGCATTGCATGTTTGCCTCCTCTCACACCTCCAGTACTTTCTCGTCCTATTTTTATTGTATGAATGGTGATGGTACACAAACCCTTCATTGACAAGGAGGGGCTTGTCGCGTTTACTCTGTATCACTGTTGGAGCCATTTCAGTATATCAACAAACGTCACACATACTAATAAAATTTCAAAACAAAAATATATACAGTCATTGAATTTTGAACGAAAATTTTAAAATCACCTCTTTGATGTTTCTTCTTTCGATTTGGGGATGGTATATCAACAAATGTCACCCACACTAATAAAATTTCAAAACAAAAATATATACCGTCATTGAATTTTAAACGAAAATTTTAAAATAACCTCTTCGATGTTTTTTCTTTCGATGTTGGGATTAAATTTAAGGGTCTCCATAGCTACGAAATAAATTGATCTTAACGCCAATTGATTCACACGCCACGTGCAGATCCACCAGACTCGGACGAAGAAGACTCAGACGATGACTGAAAGTAGCTGAAAGCTGAAAGGAAGTAGCTGAAACGGCCTCATTGGACGTGAGTTTTGGACATAACTTTTTTACCTTACTGGACCACAGAAATGTGACCTAATACCACTGGACGAACAAATGCGTAGGACTAACTATTTACCAGGACGAATTTAACTTGGACCAGATTTCAAGGACAAAAAGTCGTGGACAAAATAAATTGGACGAAAAAATTTGTGGACAAAAAAAATTGGACCAAAAGTCCTATAACCATCACAATCTCAAAACAAGTATAATTCATTTTCAAATCATGATTATGCAATTCTTGGTGGTGATATGTTTGCCAGTAACATTGAGAATCCTTGCCATCGCAATTTCACCCGTGATTATTTGTATGATTTTTTTACTTCCAAATCCCTCTTTTTGAATTGTTTAGTCACAAATCAGGCAAAGATGAGTTTACATTTACAGTCTGTGAAGTTTTAAACTGTACAAGTTGAAAACTGGACTTACAAAATCAGGTTATTTTGACTTTAGTTTTAGTGAGATTGTAAATAAGCTCGTCAGATGATAATGACCGGAGCATATAGAGACAATTCTTCATTATTGTCAGTTCCCTTTTTTTTCTATAATTTCCTCTGCCTCCAGGGTGTCCACTGATTTACAAAATCCAGGAAGTCGAGAAATGCGATTGATATTTTAAAGGCTGTCCGGTAGTACATATTGAAAAAGTATGGAAATTCTGTAAGAAGGTCTAAAATTTTTTGCTTCATGCTATGTGTGTTTTTAAAGACAGCCTGAAAAGTATGTAAGCCCCTGCGCATTGATAATTAGTGAGGTTTTGACCGGTTATATAGCGAATTAATCGTCAGGCCACTGGTGAGTTTCGAATCTCATGGCTACATCATTTTTGTTGCAACTAGCGCTTGAATTTCGAAGTTTCGAAACTTTTGGAATTTCATTACATGTAAATATTGAAAAAATGTTGAATTTCTTTTTAGAATATACCGTAAAAGAAGTGACTTTTTGACACACAGTTTTAGTAGACACCCCGTGTCTCTTTCTAAGTCAACAAAGAGTTGCAGCTTCTCTACCACTATACTGGAGCATTAAATCCAAAAGTCATACAAACTTCAATTTTACCTCTTACTTTTGTGTATCAAGTGGAACATTGGTCTCATCATCCATTTTTCATGTTCAAGTTCATCATGTTATCAAGCCATTGTTATTCGAAGGATTTGATTGTTTCAATGCCCTCATAGCAATTTTTTTGGAATTCCTAGTCTCTCTGTTCGACAAAAAGCATCATATAGTGCCTTCACGAACACCTTTAAATCAATCAGTCACAGTCACAGTCAATCTTTTCAATATTTTTAATCAATCAAGACCTCATCTTTTTTAAAAGTCAACTTTTTGCGTTGAAAATGAGCATTTCCTTTAATGCTTTCCAATGCTTGTTTACGCCCTTATCTTGAAATCCCATAGCTCAGTGCAGAGGCATAGATTATGTGAATCAGCTGTTAGAAAAATTCATCGGTAATTTTTATGTTTTAGTGTATCTTTTCTGAGGCAAATGCACCTCTTTTTTTCTCTAACAATGGTGTTTTGTGTTTTAAATGACCATGAACTTAAAGATCTTGCCCGATCGGCTTTTTTTTTTCTTTCTTTTTGTTTTCTCCCCAATGGATTTTTTTGAACAGAATAGGTGTTGTCCTGAAGTTTACATTTTTTGATTTGAAAGCAAATGTTATGAACACCAACTGCCAAAATGTTATGGCTATTTAAATTCAGCTCCAACAAAATTCTTAGCGTTTGCCTCTTGTGTACCCAGCACTTAACATGATTAAATTGATGCGTTAGTGTTTTATGTATGATATATGAAGCTTGTTACTTTCTTTTTCACTAATTTATGTAAGGTCCTTTCTTTTAATTGTTCCTATTGTTATTATTTTTTTTTTTCATTTTACCATTTGTTGACGAAAGAAAAGGTGTTTCACAGCTTCCTATTTACATTTTAATCTTAACAACTCGTCAGGTCCATTCTCTCCTCTCTTCATCCCTTTCAATCTCTGAAAAGCAATATTTTTGTTTTTTGTACATCTACTTATATTCAGCATAGGATTCACATCGGAATCCCTGTATTCTCCTATTTTCTACCCTAGTTTTTTGTTGCTTCTTTGATTCCATATACATATCAAGCTGTGTGTGATGAAGTAGAGCCTGACTGTCCGACAAAATGACTTGTAAATCACTGCGTGAGATAAACTGAATATTTATGGCCGAAGTTTGAAACCACGTATCTTCATTGCAACATTTCAAATATTCTGAACCTATTTGATTTTTTGAAGAGAAACAACCCAACTATTTAGCTTGTAATTGTTACAGAATATTTTGCTGATAAAGAAGAAAAATTGAGATATTTTTCAAGAAATTAAGTTGACTAGTTTACCTAAGAAAAAATAAAGTATGATAGGAAGCCTGCAATGTTGTCAATGGATATACATGGTCTTGCACTTTAGCCTTCAATATGAGCCACCAACTCCACACTGAAAAATATACTTTATAATTGCCTGGAGGGATGTATTATATGAGTTCAGATTGAATAGAGAGCTGTCGTATCTAATATCTTTTAATTTTGTATCTCTTTTTCTCTATCAAGTAGTGCCCTGTAACGCTGGGGATTGAACCTGGGATTTGTTGGCCAGTGCGCAACATATGTAACTGCTGGACTATTGCAGTGTTTAATCTTTATGTACACCATTTTGCTACTTCATCAAGCAGACATTATAGCCAGTTTTTTTACAGTCTACTTTTAGAGTAAAATTCAAGTAAAACACTGAATCAGAAATAGGCACTGTCTGAGTAAATGCGTAATTCAGTAAATGATCACTCCAATTTGCAGTTTTCTCTTTGAATTCTATTTCTATTTTTTCTGTGTGAAAAAAGACATCTTCTGAAGATGTGAATTTGAATTAGTGTTCTTAGCACAATGATAATTCACCCAGACTTTGTTTATTTGTGTTCTGTCGCAAAATAGCTTCAGTTTTTTAATATTTTTTTTCCAATCTCGTCATCATTTGTTTTTCAAATGTCACAGCTCTGTTCTATTATTAAAATGTTTTTATGAAGGGTGATTTAAAAGTTCCACTCAAAGCAATATTTTAAACTCGAGATTCAGGTTACTTTATATATTGGCAATGGAGCAATGGATTACTTTTATTGTATTCCTGAAGGAAGATATGATACTAGCTAATTTATTTTAATAACCTGGTAGAAGGAGAGTTATTTTTGAGTAAAAAAATAGAGTGGAAGTATAAGTTTATTTAAACCTGGAAATTCGCCTTTTCATCCCAGTTACAAATCAGTACCAATAACAATTCTTGCAGATTAGCCATGGAAACTGATTTCACCATGAAAAGCAGGAGATTCCCATCAAAGCACATAAAATGGTTTTTTTGTTTGTTTTTGTTATGGTCTTTCACCCCATTCCCAACCGGTTGCATTCTTTAGGTTGAAACATTAATCATCTAAAGGAGGTCAGCTTCAAAAGCAGTTCTTACAATATTTTTGAGACCTAGTCATGGTGCTTTTGGATTTATGCGATTTATCTCTCCATACTTTCCTTTTTGTTAACTTCTGTCAGATAGGAGGAAGTTCTTTAGCTTTGACTGGAGAACAGTTTACAGCACTCGCTAATCCGCACCACAATGATACCTTATGATTTATGAAAGCTGGACCTAACTCTCTGCCATGAGAGTGAAACCAGAGAGCTTATTTTACTATTGTTGGCAATTTATTTTCGCTGAACCGTTCATAATCAGCAGTATGATTCTATGTTTATTATCTGTGAATAATCACACTTTAATTTTTGCTTAAAACTTTAAAGAATGAAGCTCTTGCGAAGCAAATGATTGAGGGTGAATTATAATTTATTAAATCGAACTCGGAAAATAATCTTGGTGGCTGTATACCTAAACAATGAAGTATTTAATTGGTAGAAGTTCTATCCTTACTTTATTCCTCTTTGAATCATCATTTCCGTGCCAAAAGATTGTACAATTATAGGTCCAACCTCTCTTTGAATGTGGGGAAAGTGCAATTAGGTAAATTGTATTAACCTTATTCTAATAGGTGAAAGTCCGAGGAGGCCAGCCAGCAAATTATTTTTTCGGTACAATGTTGTAAATTGTCTTTTTGTAAGCAAGCAACGCACCCAACATTGAAGAGATATTGCACAAAGTTCCACTTTTTGAAAATCGAGAGAATGAGCTGATGTATGAAACAGTATCTAAATTGCCGAGAGAACCCTCGGAAAGGTTCCTACATTCAAGTAATCCTATTTATTTTTTAGAGGCTGTAAAGCTCTTCAGGACTAAATTGGTGCTGGAGCAATTGTAATAATTTTAGTCACTTGGGGGGAGTCAGTAATTTTTGCGTCAAGTGAATGTTCGATGGATTCCTAGTAGCTTTGACCATGAACCTTGGGAAAGGTTGAGAAATTCTTTGAATCGAAGCAATGGACCAAAATACCGATTTTCATTTTTTTGTGAATTCAAATATCTCCTCATACGTTTTCTCCCTAAAATTTCATGCGGTGAAAAGTTCATGTGATATAAGGTTTTTGAAGTGGTATCTTGGGCTAATAAAAGGGGTTGCAAGCATTAGTCATAAAATAGAGGGTAAAAACTATAGTTTTTTCATGTAGGCATTGATGTTTTGTTTATGAAAAATATTTTAATTGTAACCAATAATCTCTGGCTCAAGAGTTGATTTTCGAAATTTTTCATGTCAGATATGTCCTGTGTGTCTAATTTTGAGGGAGACTTTTGTGAAGGTAGGACAGAATTCATCGGTTTCTGCTGGCCCATTTTAACGGTACCTAGTCTTTTACTGCCTACTTTCTCTGACAGAAGCTCTATGTTCATGGTGGAACAATGAACGTGGAAAGCACGTTTAAGCAAGATGCTGTATTTTTAAATAATGCAGTTCAAGCTACTTTATCCAATGAGCTTACTATCCACAAACAACGATCTATCGTCAAAATCAAGCTTTTACCATTTTGTGCTTTGGTAATTTTCACTGAATGTGTTTACATCATACTGGACGACTATCATCAGTGATGCTCTTCAGCAGTGTGATATTGCTGATAATGGTTGTCCGGTACAACTGAAAAGCGTCCAGTGGAAATTTCATAAGTAAGTACAACCTTGATTTTGACAATAACGGTTCTTGTATGCGAGCAACCTCTTTCCATCATGCTTCCCTCCATCAACTTCATTGTAGATTGATCACCTTAATGACCTTTTATTAATTTCTCCCCCTTCGTAATTTATTTGTATATTTATGTGTGTCCAAATAAGGTTAATCATCTGTAAAAATTGGGATATTAATCAACAAGTTCTGCAAGCAAATCTCCGTAGTTTATGTTCAAACGCCCTTTGAAAAGTGATAGTCAGTGCTAGAGGCTTTTTTCCAATTTAAGTTTTATGTACCTTTCTTTCTTTTTACTGTATACTTAATTTCATTATACCGTCTTGAATTTTCAGCATACCCTCTTTCATCAAAGCTGTCACGTCGAGTTTGAAGTAATTAGCACAAAAACGTTGATTTCCCGAACTGATTTTTTAGTTACTCAACTACAACCTTCTTTATATAATTTGTAAATAGTTAAATGTGTATATTGAGGACCCCTCGTAAATTTTTATTGTACATACTGAATTTTTTCTTTTTGTGAAAGTTTCATCTGAACAGAGTTTTTTTTGATCTTTTGTAAATTAAATGTTAATGGTTTCCTATCGGAAGGAAGTGAGCCTTCATCTAAAAGAAATATTTACAAGTGTTACTGAGGCATTTCTCTACTTTCTTCCAAGAGAAATTGTAGGTAAAAATTTTCTGCTGTTTCTAGACATGTTTTTTTTCTAAATTTCTCTGGCTCTCTGTTCCTGTTGCGAATCACATTTTATAAAAGTAATTCGAAGATATTTCTGAATCTTTCTTGAACTAATTCATGCTCAGCCTCTCGAACGTACTTTTAACAATGCATTTAATTTTATTGTCAACCAAGTATGACAGTATTCCTCAGACACAATTACTTCGTTGATGATGCTGTCAAGTGGATAGCCCACTTGAATCTGTATGTTGCAAAAATTCTGTTGATTTTCTAGAGAAGTTTATGAATTCGATTTTTTGAGCAATAACTACATCCAAACATGTTTCTGATTTTCACTCCTTTTCAATGAAAATAACTAATTGTAAGTTACCATAAATTGATTGAAATTCGTCTTGCTTCCTCTTGAATATTGTTTCTTAAATGAAAATTGTATCTAATTTTCCTCTCTTTTTTTTTCAAAATTATAAAAATAAATTATGTATTGATAAATTTCAAATCTTGTCTTTCCTTAAACCCACTGACCATTTTTTTGTACAGTTGATATTAGTTACAAAAGACTATCAAGATTGAAGAAGGGACGGTGCTTCATCAGACAGAAGTAATCGTTTACTGGATTCGATTTTTGAGTAAATCTTTGATTTGGCAGGCCTCTGGGCTTGTCAGCATTACTGATTACTGTAACTAAAGAGTAAAAACAGAAAAAGTTTGTAAAAAACAGAAACCAGATAAATTTGGAAAAGATTTGAACTTAAAAATTATTTACAATGTGTGCTTCAGAACACAATAGGTATGTAGGAGTAGGTTTTACACATCATCAGGATAAAAATAAGAATTACAAAATAAGACAGTCCTCAAAATGTAATTGATTTTTGCACGGTGAAACTGCAAAACTGCGTATCTTTTTTGCAGTATTTCAAAATATGCTCTCTAATTTATTTTTTAAAAGGAGACCAAACCAATATTATGACTTGAAATTTTCTTGGGATGTTCATCACATCGGGCAGAAAAATCGATTACGTTTTCAAGAACTAACGTTGAGTAGTTTTCCATGTAGGAAATAAAGTAAGACAGGAACTCAGAAATACTGCAGTCCGGGATAATAATATTTGCAGTTTCACCATCAATATGACGGATGAACATATGGATTGCTAAAGTTTGAAACCATGTATCCTCATTGCAGTGTTGTAAAATTTCTGCTCCGATTTTATTTTTTGGAAGAGAAACAAGCCAACTTTACAGNCTATAGATATTCAAATATTCTTGTGATACCAACATCTTTAGAATAATCTTTACCATTGCCGACTAATTTAGTGCATCTTCATTCATGTTATTCATGACTTTTTTCCCATAATATGTGGTGGTAAGAAGGTCCAATTGATCATAGGATGATATTTTGGTCTTGTGATTTGACTGAAAGAGGCTCTGTGCCAAATTTAAGCTGAATTCGCAAATATTAACCCGTGCCTGTAGATAGACATTTTATGGATGGTTTGTTGGAAAAAGTAAAACGATTTTTAGAACGTCACTTATCTGGAAAATCGCGAGGCGATGTAAAAAAAATTGGTTCACTATCGGACTCAACACCAAAAATTACTTGAAACCAGACAAACCAGCCACCTGGCCAACTTTCGATTTACTCTTCCTTTCAGACACGAAACAAGTGGATGAGTTTTATTATAAGGAGCCAACATTTTTTTTTTAAGTCAAGTTGTTTAGTGAATTCAAAACTTTGTCCATAAGTAGGACATTTTGGGGGAAATTTTCAGTTCCCTCGAAATTGGTTGTGGAACAAACCAGGGCAAGTTTTCAATTCAGGGGTCAAAATTTATGCAGGTATCCACATACAGCATACCTTCTAATTTGTCCAATTTTTTTTATAATGAGTTCACTTTAGTCAAACAGCCTTATTTGCCTATTTATTTCCTCATAAACTCTTCCAATTGTTTCATGTCTAAAAAGAAGGATAGGAAAAATTTTTCCAGGAAACTAGTTCTGTTTGGTTCTATGCAATTTTTGCTCCTGAGTCTGAAAATGAACTTAATTTTCTACTATTACCAACCAATTCCTGAGGAATTGAATGTTTCTCAAAAATAATTTTCTTTCAGCTGTAAAAAAACACACCTGGAGACACAAGTTAATATTGACTAATTCAGCTTAAACTTTGTACAGGGTCTTTTTCGGTCAGACGGATCAAATTTTGGGGGGTGAAACCAACAAAATTCTAGCATCCTCTAAATGAAGCGTAATTGATGTAGAGTTCACTGCATGAAGACTAAGACATAGATCGTCATGGAGGCTAAGATGTATCTTTATTGTAGGAGTCCTTTGCTCTTAAGTCATGTCTTTGCTCCTCATGTGCAAAGTGGTTTTTAAAATCTGCATTAAATATTGTTCTGTGATGTTTGTATGAACCTGATGTTGCACTTTTTGTGTATCCTCAAAGCTGGCAAGCATGAGCAATAAGATGAATAAGCTGATTGTGTTCATTGTGCGACCTTGTAATGTTTTTCAGTATATTTTCCAATGGCAAAAACACTATTACAACCTCCCAAGATACCAGGCCTGAGCCGGGTACCTTCAAGGAAGGGGGCAGAAAGATTATAAACTCACTGTACGCGGCAAAGATATTTTGGGAAAATGCCTTTTTGCATGATGGATCACGGATGGAAAGCTGAGGAAAATTTTTCATGGCATAGTTATTTTGCAAAACAAGTTTTCACCTACTTGGTGCTAAGCCTGATGGAGGGAGTTTGATTCATTTTCATTTCACTGATTTGATTTGAAAACCAGCCAAATCCTATGTAGAGCGTGGAGCGGGATTGACTTGGGGAAATGTCCTTTACTTCCAGCAGTGGATAAGTTGGTCTCAAAAAAAGAGAAACAATTTAGTCCACACAAACACCATAGAACAAAGTTTATCTCGTCCACAGGGCGAAAGTCTTCAAAAAAACCTGCGCAAAAACCAGGTTTTCTAAACTTCGACTTTTATTTCAATCATGAGCGGACTGGGAATCAAAGCTATAGAAAATTTTACTTACCAGCAGATAGGTCTTGTTTCTTGGAAAGCCTCAATCACTAATTAGGTACCGTAACTCAAAAAAGCCATCTTCTCACTAAAAAAAAAAATTATATTTTTAATAGATATCTTCTATACTAAAGAGAGAGAGGGGGGGGGCAGGAGGGGGAGAGAAAAAAGAGAGAGAGAAAAGAAACTATATCTTAATGCCATTTAAGAATAAGAAAGGAAACCCAGACTAAGAAGAAGAATTTATGAAGATTCTATCAGATTATAATTACAACAATTTGTAAGGCTTCCTACTAGTCCAAACTCTATCTTCCAGACCACTAAGGCAAAGGCCCAAAATTGGGGAAATACTTAGTTATATTTTAATTAGGATGTGAGAAATGAATTTTACTGCTTCTTATTCTCATCAGTATTGTGACATCCTCTAAATATGTGAGTTGAGAAGAGCACTAATGTTCCGGCACAATACTATATTCAATGATGTGGGAAATAATATAGAATCATGCTATAAGGGACTCCCTGTATCCATGGCCAAATTGAAAAACAATGAATCTAAGTTTGAGAAGTTTGGCAACACAGTGCCTAAGCAAAAATGGAGTTTTAACGCTTTGACTGGAAGTTGACAATAGGTATGTGCTTTAGTTGTGTCGCTATGAATCATTCACTTTGAAACACTGATGTGTCAGGTAAATTTGAGAAAATGACTGCTGCGCTCATTGCATCACTTACACTATAGTTTCACTCAGACCCTTCAAAATGATTGCAAGTACCTTATTTCCTCACAAAATGCATATTTGAGCAAATGGTCCCACCAACTACTACTATATAAACACCAACCACACTAACACCAACTATAGGAACTAAGACTGCTTTTTAAGCACTTTAATTGGAAAAAGCTTTTCTATGATGTTAAAATAGAAAATGTGCATGTACCATGACGCAAAAGTAGGATTTTACAAGCTACATGGATTGGTTCAGTTTGTTAAAAAATATTCACCTGCAAACTTACCTGCGAATGACAGAACATTTTCTTGGTCATGGATAGCAAACAAAATTTGATCTGATTGTCTAACAGTTTTTGAAAACTGACATGAATGAATAAAAACACACGAGGCAAAAGATGACCCAACATTCTTCCGTGCAATATCAGATCAGAGAGAACAATGGATCCAAAGAACTTGAGATGAGCTTTCCATCAGCTAAAAAATACAGGAGACCAAGTGTTAAGAAGTAAAAGCAGAATTGAAAATTCTCAATAATTATTTGAAAATGTTTCTAATTAACATACTAACAGAGATGCTGATCTGTGGATAATTTTGAATCCTGAACTTCATTATCTAAAAACAAATGCAGTCATCTCTTTCTACAATGACACTCATTAAAATGCAAATTTCTATATAACACAGGAATCATTCTGTCCCTTAAACTCATTACATTAATTAGATGTACCTTCCCTTGATGTGACGAAATAGTAATGCAGCGTCAGTGTCAACAGTGAAAGCATGCATAGGCATATCTTTAAAATTCTATGGAATTTCATGCAACTTAATACAGCAAAAAGAAATTTCATTAAGTCAAATTTCATTTTCCATCTCTGCGTGCATGAGCCTAACATTATACCTTCTACCACTCAACAGGTATTGGAGCCTGCTCCCTCCCACGATTTTTTAGCATCACAGTGCAAATAAAGCTGATGTCACGGCCTGTTAAAATTAGAAAATGTTATTGACGTCCATTTTTCTTCAGTCAAGAGGCAGTCGCAAAAATCAAATTTCTTCACATCATCATGAGTCATTTCATCATTCCATAATTCCTTCCACTTCCTCAGATTATTCTTGAATTTTTCATTTACCGCATGGCTCCTGATTTTTGTTGACGACTGGTAGTCAAGAGGAAATTTTTTTGTCACAATAAATCTTTCAGTCCATTGCCTCTTCTTTACGGAGGGTATTGTAGTATTCAAAAATAAGTATATCGTACAGAGAAAAAATTTTGGTAATAGAACATTTATGAGACAAGAGGCAAGTGCAGATTTTTTAAAATTGATTCACAGAAAGAATTTAAAAGATCATAGATACTACAGAAATGGCAATGGCATGACACCCCCTCCCTCCCTGCTCGATTCAAAGTGGGATTTTCTGTTCAGAGGTGCAATTATATCATTTTTTTCCCCTTCAAGTTAAGATTTGATCCCATCCCTACATTTCACATGCAGTTGAAAAACCGTGTTTCTTGTGTAAGGCATCCTTTATCTCATTTACTTAAACCGGTTTGGTTTCTACTAAAAAAAGATGGCAAGAGCAGGAAGGTAAGTATTTTTTGCCTGAGGGGCTGACATTCTTAAGGTACTCATTTGAACTCTTAGATGTCTTTGGAGCATGGCTTCAAAAACTTCTGATTCTTTTGAACAATCACATCCGATTCCTATTATGGTATTTTCATGTTTCAATCTACCACAAGCCTGGCCCCCATGGGCATTTTTTCAATATTTCCTCAGGGAAATTCATGGTAAGGTATGCTAGCTGCGGCTGTGGGGTTGTTGAAGGGGTTTGCTGGGAGGACACATGCGAATGAATCAAAATTTAAAGTGAGATAAAAATGCGAAAACCCAATACAAGAGGAATGGCATTATCACTTGGACGTATTTATGCTCAGGAGAAGTATGTTACACAGATACCCTATGCACATAGTTCCTTCCGACATAAATACATTTGCTAACATTTGTACTGGCAAGGAGATGTAAACTTACAAAGCGTTAAATGATAACTGTATTCTGCTCATCTCAGTTTTACTCATTTGTATTTGATTTTAAATTTTGATGCGTTGGCATGTGTAAAACAAAATCAAACCTGAAGATGGACTAGTACCCATACAAGAGTCGAAAATGGCCGTCATATTCTAACAATATAAAAATGTTTAATCGGAATACCAAGGTAATTTTCCAACTAATGGATTCAATGGCAAAGTTGAAGATGCTACAGACTGATTGGTCAAAATTTCGGAGCATCTAAGTATAGAGCAAGACTTGCATGCGGTAGAGATGATGGAAGGCTAGATTGGTTTTCTTCCAAAAATGTCGCTCTGACTGACAGGTAAGTAAGCAATGATTCAAATTGGAAACAGCAGGCATTGAGCGTGTAATTACAGAGATGCTATTGAAGATGTGGACAAAGGGGCCAAGAAGGTGCGAAAGAGGATGCTGCCAAGTACTAGCAACTCTTCGTGACATTCTGAAAGAGATGGCACTTCAGACAAGGTTGTCCACCCTTACCTTTAAAAAAACGTGATCTTATCATGAACTGGGACTAGATGTCAATCCATGAACTGGTCCTGGTGGGTAAATAGTGGAAAAGCCTAAAATTCAGCAAGGCTGATGCAACTGCTGAGGAGAAATCACCTAACGCCAGGTCGAAATTTCCAGTTCCTAGGCCGCACCTGCAACATTTTAGCATTAAGCTCTGTTTCGAACAATCTGATCAACTAAGATGCATGCATTTTTTAGTAATTTTTTCAGATCTTTCAGCAAATTTCTAGACTTTTTCCTGCATATAAGAAAAAGTTGACTTCTTCCAGACTTCTTGGACTTGTAGAAACCTTGAAAATAGATAGGTAAATGAGAGGCAATGTGATCCTGAATTGACGAAATGTGAAGTCTTAAATGGACATATTTCTGCCGAACGGAACTATGTACATTAAACCGTGAGTCCTGTCATGCTTATTATTATGGGTCTCAGGGCTCATGTCTTAATACACATAGTTTTGTTTGGTACAAATACCTCCAAATTGAAAAGGATCTCTCGGAAAAAGTTGAAGCTTTGCGCCAACCGGTCCAATGTTTATCATCAAAGGGCTCTACTAGATAATGATCCTTTTTAAAAGCTTATCTTCAGATCAGATCCTTCACTAAAATTGGTATTCAGTAAGATGCCAAAAGTGAAGTGACAGAGGTTCATTGCTGAATGCCGTGATCACTGAATCTTTGGGGTCCAACCATGGGGGATCTTCAGAAAGATTTGGTTTGCATCGTATGTACCTGTAAATCAACAGTTATCATTTTCCCCCTCAGAAATTCATCTGGAGACGATAAAAAGTAATAATAAACACGTGCTTACCCAATTTAGTAAACAAACATCACTCAAAGGTCAAAGCCAAAGACAAATGTAACTTCACTTATCACTCCATCAATCCCGCGCCCAAAGTTTGTTTACATCATCCGAGCGCCTTAACTCCTGTGCAATCCGCTTCCGCAGTCGCGCGCCACCACCGTCGTTCTGCAATCTGCACCCGGAATCTAATGCTGACAGCTCCCGTGTCCGGCACCGCTTACGCGAGTGACTCTTCTATAGGCGTTAGCTTTATTATTCTATGGTCGAGGTAGACGGTGCAGTTGGTGAGAGCAATGCACTTTCGTAGTTCTTGCTTGCTATTTATTTGTCGAGTTGTGTGACAAGTGTATTATCTTTTCCGTCTGATATTGAGAAGTTCTGGTAACTTTCGGTAATTAGTGGACAATGTGACTTTTCGTGACACTGTCTCCCCGCATTCGTAAGTATATTCTAGCATATCGGACTTCATCTTCTGTTGTCCGTCCCGAGTCCATTTTCTAATCGTACGTAACCCCGTATCCTTCTCGGCTTTTCTACTCATCCCGTCTTTCTCTGACAGCCAGTTTTCGATGTCCCAGTCTGAGAGAACTCAATTTTGCTGTCTGCTCACGAAATCGAAACTCCTCATAGAATACCACAAGCCTATTCCACTCCTGTTCAGAGGATCCAGCAATTGATATTGCCCTAGTATGGTGCCCTCAGGGACTTAGCTAACTTGATCATCAGGTCCATCATACAAACTGAAATTCTTTCAGTTGATCTCTAAACCTCATTGCATGGCACTTGGTGTTTGATCTCATTGCTTTAAGTTCTAAGTGTGCATATCATTGTCCCAGATTCTCTTCCTGGAACTCCTCACTCCCAAGATGAAAAGGTTTTACCTTTCACTACTTTCGAAGCAACTATGTCGGGCTATTTCATCTAATTTGGTTAAACTAACACTATTTTATAGTTGAAAGCTTTAGGTTGAATCTTGTGTATCTTTCCTGTCAGATTCTCTCCTAGACCTTCAGAGAATGTTTCCGATTTCACCTCTCTTTAATTCACAATTTTCCTAACCTGTTATCCTGTTAGTTTATCTCAGAGTTCCTTATTGCTGACTTACGTTGGTCATTTTATAAAGTAAACAGAACTATCCTCACCTGACTGAGTTAGAGTGCATATTTTCCTGTTGCATATGCATCAGATTGTAACAGAAATGACTGGACGGGCAGTGTAATTTGCTAAACGGCAAACTGTAAAGTGCTTCTCACTAGCCGAACAGAACCTCATTTTTACATACTTAATGCATAAATTATTGTCAGGAGGTGATGTACTCATCGTTTGGGAGGTTGCATACAATATGGAGAACTCTTACGGAAGTGTCCTCGTAAGCTTAGTGATAGGACATTTCAAAATAGGTATAACATAGGTATGACTTCAAAGCTGTATTTTGAAGTATTGTATTCTGTAGGTCTGTTCTCAACTTCCCAAAAATTTTCACTTTCCTAACAAGGTTTAATCTCACTGGAGAGTTTCATTCATTTTACTAGCTCAGACTTTCTACTCCTTTCAATAACCTCTAATACATAAACTCCGAAGGTCGAACAATTTATAGCTCCTTTGCTTTTTCTCTCAGGCTGCATATTAAGACGATGTATGTCTATTGGTTCTTTTCGATATCTGAGTCAGATAGTTCTTATAGATCCACATGTAAAGATTATAGAGTTTCCCCTAATTTACTGATTTGTTTCGTTCATTGGACCTTGTAAATAGAGCTCTTGACAGCAATCAACCCTTGTTCTCTCCTCAAATGAATGCTAACATGTCACGAACTAATTTTTAGTCTACTCTGCATGCTCAGCAATTACTGCTTCTTATTTAAAATCCACAATACGTGCTTTTATCCAAATCACCTTGAATTAAACATTTGTCAAGTGATTTGAGGGAATGTCACCATCCTTATGAATTAGTTTGGATGCCTTGAAAAATTGTGAATTTATGTTGGGATTCATGAGAATTTATTCAGTGGGAAGCTGAGCTCAAAGAAGTCTCTGAATGTTTTGACAGATGTTGCTCTTGGGTAATTTAAAATGCATAATTCATCTCAAACCTGGTAACAATGAATGCTTGTAAGGATGTCAAGAGCTCTAGTTTTCAAATACGAAGTCTTTGCAAGGGCTGTTAGCATACTACCGCATCTGACGTTTTTCGGCCAATCAGGGTTGAGAAAATTCTGTTTTCCAGTTTGAAGAGTGAGACAGATTCTGTCCGGTGCTTCCACTGCTATCATTAGAAAATGCATGATAAATTTTCTTTTTATTGAGGAAGTTTCATGAAAGTTCATAGGATGTGCAGGAGCTAAATGAATACGTGCCCCCAATGAATAGCTCAGAATTAGACTCAGAACTTAGAAGTCTGGTCTTAGTATGGCCTCAAAGTAAAGTTGCCGTAGCCTTGGAACCCAGGGATTATCAGTTAAAGTCAGAGAATCTTAAGAAAGTTCTGGGTAGGAAACAAGGTTAGTCAAAAGGAAACTTTCGGGCAACTTGCTTATTCATGTGAATCCTAGGAGTTCCATTTGTTTACACCTATGACTTTGAAATCATTGATTCAGTACCTTTTGGCTTTACTTGTGAAAAGTGAGGCAGAACTTTCTGTCGATAATTTTGGAAAATGATTAGGAATAACTCAGTTACCAGCTTCCACTATCAATGGCTGTAATGTTACTACTTACCAACCAGAAGTGAAAAGAGATCATAATTGGATAGAAAGAAAGGATGTTTCAGTGGCATACCAAATATGGCAGCAGTGAAATAGTTGTCACTGGATTTTCAGCAGCCTAATCATTTGATAATTTAGTGCCGTAGAATTGAAAAAGGAGATATAATAGCAGGAATCTTAAGCTCCATGGAGAAGAGATGATAATTAAAGTGTTGTAGGGGCAGGAGTTGGCGACCAATCTCCTGTACTAGTGCTATATTTGAGTTTTAAGGTAACCTATTTATGTTTGGACTTTATTATTACCCGGTCAATACTGATCCTGATTTGTGGTTCATTTGTGGTATATCTGAAAGCACCTTTTACCAGAAAAGTGGGTTATCGTAACTCACAGGCGTGTACTTAAACAAAATACTAACAACTTTCAATTGGAAAAAAGTGGAATTTCAACCTATTTTAGAATATCTCTTTGAAATTTGATCGCATTCGCTCGAGAATTTTTGTTTTAATTATTTCTGGGGCAGCGCAATGTCATGTGATTTTTCAGCAATTTTTCAGTACCTAAGTATTTGTGTCAGGAGGGAAAAAGAAAACTATTTTTTGGTGAGTCTCAATTTTTGGGAAATACGCCGAACAGAGTCAAAATTAATGTTCAATAGGTGAAATTGATTCCACAGGAATTTCTACTCAAATTGCTCAAAATTTGTCATTACAAGTTTTCACTTTCATTTAATCTTTTCACATTGGAAAGATTGTTTTGATGCATAAACCACACAAGATTTCAACTACCAATGAGTAGAACTACTGTCTCATAATGTCTCCCTGTTCTCAGGTTAGATCTGAAGGGAAATGGCTCCACGACGCTCCACTTTTGCTTTGGAATCTCCACCCAAGAAAAAGGGAGCTAGCAATGATTCAGAAGTTGAAGAGTTTTTACAAGAAGGAGAAGTTTTAACAGATATCACCAAAAATAAATGGAAACTAGGCAAATCAATTGGAGCTGGAGGTTTTGGAAAAATATATCTCGGTCAGTATTCAACTTTTTTTACATTTGCACCGAATAAAATTCATCAACAACCAAATCATCCATTAATGAAGGGTTCAAAGTCTTCTAGACTTGCACAGTTTCCCTTCAGTCTTTTTGTAGGGTTGGTCTGCAAAGGCCCCTAAAACGTTGAAAGATGCCTATCTCTGGAAAGGCCTTAAAAATTTGAAGACGTATGGAGGGGGGAGGGGGTGAAAAGATTCTGTAAATGTGAGAAGGCAAATATGAGAGGGCTGATCGAGATAGGTCTCTAATGTGGAAAGGCCTCCAAGATGTTGAAAGATCCAAAAATGTGGAGAGGTGTCTAAGCAAGGAGCACTATTAAATGAAAGATACGTCCATCAAGGATAAGTTGCGGAAGGATTTCAAAAGTATCATAGTGTTTAAAAGTCTTTTCACGTTTGCATCATATTCCCCAACTTGCACACGTTTTTCATTCAATGAGAAAAATGTGAAAAGATCCCAAAAATGTAGTGAAGCCTCCCCATTTGCAGTCGAAGTCAGTTAAATCGTGAAAAACATGTACAAATATAGTGAGTTGTGAAAGGATGATCAAGGATAGTGCAATATTCAGGGTCTTCTCTTGTTTACATCATTTTTTCAGAAGTTTAATGAAAAACATTCCTCCCCATTGGTGTATTTCACAGTCAGTTTGCTGAAACCAATTTTACTTTGATTGTTTCAGCATCACAAAATCTTTATGGTCCTGTTGACAGTAATGCAAAATATGTGATCAAAGTGGTAAGTGTGTGATCTTCATCAATACCAATTTAAAAATTGAGTTAAAGCACTTATAAGAGGCATCATGTTCAATTTACAATGTAATCTTAAATCTTAAACTACTTCCTCTCGCAAAAAACTTTATCCACTTGTTGCCAACAAGGAACAAGCAAACAGGTTTCCAAGAAAAAACCAGGTAGATACTCATACCCAAAGAACCTGTAGCATGATCGTTTCTCAGAATGAAACATACTTCTAAGACATTTTTTCTATGGTCTCAATTATACTAAGCATGTAGTCTCTTTTTATTCACCAATTAATATGTTTTTCAAGTATAAGATTCACTCTCCAAAAATATTAATGAAACTAGGAGTCTTTCTACTGAAGGAAATAATTTTTTTTCTTTTCTTCTTTCAGGAACCTCACAAAAATGGGCCACTATTTGTTGAGATGAATTTCTACCTTAGAGTTGCGAAACTGGATATGAGTAAGTACATTTGACTTTGTGCAGGACCCATGTGTTGTTGAGGTGGACAAAAGGGATATCAAGGTGGAAAAAAATAAAATGTAATAACTTTTTGCCAGCTAAGAGAGTTAACTCGGTGATGAACTCTGTATCATATGGCTCAAAAAACAAGACTTTAAAGTTACCTATTGAAATAAATTGCAAATTTCAGAATTGTAAATAGCTTGTCAGCGCCTTTGGTAGTTTCAAGAACATTAAATCTAGATCTTTTTTGGGGCTCAAAATTTTGGGAGAAAACAACCGTCTTCATGCTCTTTTAACATAGGTACCAAAAACACAAGAAAAAATCCAGGAAGGAGGAAAAAAGGTCGATTTTTCATCAACCCCATTAGCCTAAGCAATATGTTCCACAGCTTTTTCTTGTATTGTTCACTACATTTTGGCAAGGTGTCTAGTTTTTCTTGTTAATTTATCAGTTGAATTTACTCAGGAGGATCCTAGTTCTAAATCTTGAAAATTTCACCCGTAATGTTTTTTTTTTTTTTTTTTTTTCCAGTTGATAATTGGGTGGCAAGACATGAGTTGAAAAATCTAGGTATTCCCTACTACGTTGGTTGTGGCTCACACACATCTAATGGCAAACGGTATAGGTTCCTCATCATGCCTAGGTTTGGCACCAACCTGCACAACGTCTTTTGTAAGACTGGTCAGTGTTTCACTCCGAAGACATCTTTCACGCTGGCTTCATACATCGTGAGTATTTTTCCGTTGTCTCTCATCCAATTTTGTTCAGAGTTTCAATTACTCTCATTTAGTGCTGAAACAAAGCATGCAGAAGAACCTAGGTCCTACTTTGATATGTATATTATTCTGTTTTATTTGCCGAAATTTCTGAGCTTAGACGTATTTAAGAACACATTTACCCTATAAAAGTGTAGATTTGTTCCCAAAGTATGAATACTAAAATCAGGTCTTTCTATGTTAGATCACTGACCATCCTTGATGTAAAAAAATGTTGTCCACCTGTGATCCTTGCCAAAAACGACAAATTAACTATGTTCAGTCCCTTTTCTCGCTGATGGAAAAAGACTAAAAAGGCAGTAGAATTTTCAGAATTTCGTCAACCTCAAGTTTCAATAGCTCAGGCTCAAAACAGTTTCCATTGACCCTAATCTTTTGATAGGAGGTTAGTCAAAGCCAAGCAGATTAAATTTTGCAATTAGGAGCTACAACTTCTGGCTTAGTTTAGAAACGACGTATGTACCATAAGTTTTCCCTTGCACACAAGTGTTTTTATAGATAAGCCAGAAATCGTAGTTCTGAATCACACAATGTATAATTCTCCATTTGACTCTCTAAAAGAGTGCTTTGACCCCTCACCAATAGTTTGACGTTTGTCTCTTCTCTAATTTCTAATGTTTACCATCTATTTTTTTGCAGATTGATATTTTAGAATATATTCATTCATACGGTTATGTACATAGTGATATCAAGGGCTCGAATTTGGTCATTGGTCGTGACAATCAGGCCCCTATTTATTTGTTAGACTTTGGACTCTCCGCAAAATATCTTGATTCTCATGGGAATCACAAACCGTATCTGAGCGATGCAAGGATTGCCCACAATGGAACTTTAGAATTTACATCACGTGATGCTCATACTGGAGGTAACTTTACTTATATCATTCAAATATTAATTACAGAAAAATCTATAAAGTGGTAGAATGAAGTGGACGTATTACAAAAATTTTACCTAGCATCACTTCAGTAATTTTATTGTACATTTTCATCCTTCTTGTTGAATCCTAATGTGACTAAATTTGAGCGCCTAAAAGCCGTTACATCATCGTCTTCCGCATGAAAGAATGTATCTTGATTGCGCTGTTTCAGTATCTTTTACCAGAATTCTATTATTTTCAAGAGAACTATAAATTTGCCTGAAGTGTTAATTAATTTTTCTTTACACTTGTGAGAACAGAATTTAAAATTTCTAGACAAAGATGTAGATGTTTTAGGATTGTAGATTTGGATGTGTAGATTCTAGGTCTAGATGTAGGATGGTTCTCTGATGAAAACATAAAATATTTGTGGAAATTGTAAAATATTGTAGACTAGATATATTCTCCAGTGCTGGATAACATATCTACAAAATGTAAATCAGGTTATCAATCTCTCCCTTGTAATGTGCTTATCTTGTCAAAAATAGTCTTTCGTTATAGATTTTATAGTTTTAACATATCTCATTACTCAAAATACAGTTTCAAATGAAATTTAAAATTAACACATCTTTCCTTTTTAGCACATTCTCGAAGAGGAGATCTAGAAATACTTGCATATGTCTTGATTAAGTGGCTTTGTGGTAAGCTACCATGGGAGGACAAACTGTCTGATCCGGAAGAAGTAGCATCCATGAAAAACAGTGCAATGGCTAACATTCCGCGATTTTTATCGCTGTGCTTTGAAGACTCCAAGCCTCCCTGTAAGTACAATGTTTATTCTCTTGTTTCTTTAAGTGGTAGTACTAAATTGAATAATTTGGAGCAATGTATTTAGAGATGGCTACCATGAAAATGATGTCAAGCAGTCTTCATAACATCTGCTTCCCAATAAATTGTTTACGCTCGTGTCAATGGTCGTTGACAGTTTACAGGGTCTGCGATCCGATTTGAGCACTAAGGGTAGATACACTTGAAAATTTCCTAGCTTATCTCCTCAAAATAATTCCTGAAGCAAGCTTCTAAGATGCTATCATTTTTTTCACTTTCACTTGTAATTAATTTTGTATAGGAAAAAATTCCTTTTGCTAACTTTATATCATCTCTCTCCTAGCTAATTTTAAGTTACAATAATTATGTATTTTCACTATTCAATGATTTTGTATGAAGTGTTCAATTTGTCTAATTTTATTTCCAGCGGCGCTCGTTGAGTATGTTAAGTATGTTGTCAGCATGAGTTTTGATGCAAAACCAAATTACAAGTACTGCAAACGAATTTTCAAGAAAGGTGTGCAAGATGTAGGATCGGTTTTCGATGGCAAATTAAGTTTTGAGNGGCTTTTATCAGCTCATCATCTGATCCAATAATTTTAATTGTGGCATTTCATTCGGCATGTCGCCGCACGACTTCTATGATACTCAAAGTCTCACATATATAATTTGAAAGGGGGGGTCTGGGGGGGCGGCGCCCCCTCAGCAGGTAGCTTTTGCTACTTGTTTCTATCATTTTTTTAGTTTTTATGAGTAGAAACTACATAGTTTTCCATTTTAAAAATAAAGTATAATGTAAAATTTGTATTTTTACTAATTGAGTCATGTGTCTCTCAAGTTTCACCTTATCTTTCTTCTACTTGGTGCAATAACTAAAGAGATCATCATCTTCATTTTAACAAGAATCTTCACAGAGAACCCTCTCTGATTCTAGTTGATGCGCTTATGCGAAAAATGTCAGGGAGTGAGGGTTGAAGTAAAAGAGCTTTATCTCAAAGCAATTGAAATTTTGATCTGGCAGAAGATGGTATTATTTCAATTCTCAACATCTAACTTCACACTGATTTCATTATTCAAAGTTCTAAGAAGAATTTACTCTTATGGATTTTTTATTTGTTTAGTGTCAGATGCAAGGCAACAGTGAAGCGGAAAATATTCCAGTGAAGAAAAAGAAGAAGCTCATTAGACCAGATCTGAAACCACTGACTGCCCGCCAGCTCCTTAACTCGCAAAATATTAATAGGTATCTTATTTTATCATCTAAGTTTACTATCTAATTTTGAAAAGAAATTGCTCCATTTCAATATTACAACAGCAGTGACCTTTACATGAAACTTCTACTGAAGCCATTATTTTTTTACTTTCTATTTATTTATATTTACTCATTTATTTTTTTTTTTTAAAAAAAAGAACAAACATACCTCCACAATGTTTTGGTAATAACACCATATTCATAATTTTGTATGAGGGGTATCCAAGGGGCAAAATTTTCTTATTTTTTCAAGTAGATAAAATCAAATAATTTCAACAAATGTCACATGGTTGTTTGCATTTCTTCATGTTCCCTGTTTTTCAAATCTCTCAAGTTAGTAATTATAAAAAATATTCTCTTATGTTTTCGAGCTCTCAAGCATTTTTGAGCTCCCTCAATTTAAATAATCAAAGTAACTTAATGGTTATTTTATCGGCTCAGGATTACTAGGACTGTCAAAAATAAGCTGGCCCGCACAAGGCACCGGAAGGCACAGCTTGGAGACCATGAGGATTTTGATTGGGCCAAAATAATAGCCAGTAATCCAGAGAAAAAGACATCACACACACCGCCCAAGAAAACAAGACTGTCTAGCATTTCACTCAGCTCTACTGTTCCTGACCCATCTGCTAAGTAAGTCAAACGATATTATAAAAACAAAATCAAATCATATGCATACCTATTTCAATCCAATCTTTGTATTTCAATGATTCCCCCCAAGAAGAGTCGTGGAGGCTACTCGCGGAAACTCACAATTAACTTTGACTTTCTGTAACTAACCCTTAAAGTTAATGTCATACAAGTGTGAGGTTTTCTCCCTAATTACATTAAGTCAATGGAGAATTTGCACACAAAACTTTCATTGCTTCATTTGAGAGTGCTTAATAAGCTGAGTTCGCAGTATTTTTCATAATTTTTTTCTGAAATGCGAACTCGGAGAGAAATAGATTTAAAATTGAGAAAATGTGCTGCCTTGTGACGTCATTTGGTCGCATTTTCCATTTAAACACATGTATTTTGGCGAATTAGGTTATTCTGTCATATTTCTTTCAATAATTGTTCAATTTAGAAACTAAGGACATCCTCGTGCTCAGCTTTTTTAACAGTTTCATTTTAAACATGGAATCGACAAAATTTTAGACACCTGCAAATCCTCCAGTGTGTCTATACTATGGTTTCTAAAAGGTATAGCACAAATAGCAGATGTGCTGAAAGTTGAAATTTTTCAGCTTTCTTTGCATAATCTGATGATTATGTTGAGTCTTCATTTAACAAGACTTGTCTTTCGTGTTCAAAGGGTCCAACCTCCAGCCTCAGTATTAATCAAACGAATCGAGGAGTCTCCCGAGTTTCAAAATCCAACCCCAGCAATGAGGTTTCAGATCGACAGGATGAAGCAAAGACTCTACGAGATACCTCATCAGTGTGCACCGAACAAAAGAACTAAGAATGAAAGGTATGCAGTACAAGATATTGAACATTTTTTTTTATTTTTTCATATACTTTATTATAATTTGAATATTTTTTCCTTTTACTTATTAAACTAAATCGGTCTTATAATTTCAATGTCTTTGTCAGATCCTGTGTGTTCATAAGACATCATGACCTCATGCTGTCAGTCGTGATGTTGTGTAAAGATTCTAGTTACTTGAGAAGCATGCCGCAAATGAGTTAGAAGCACGGAACAGTACTGTTATGAAAGAGGACGCACATGTTAAGGTGACTCCAAGTAAAATTAAAAAAAAAAAACAAAAAAATTAATAAATTAAAAAGGAGAAAAATACCCAGCTAATTTATCCAATTAAAATCACAAATATTTGTTCTCTTGAAAATTTGCAACGCAAATCATTCTCATCTTCTGGATCAAGTATCCTTCCCCCGGAAATACATAAACCTAATTAATTCCTGTTTTTGTTCTTAGTAACCACCACAATGGTACAGCAGAGGCTGGAAAAAGCTCCTCGGGATACGTGAATGGAGTCAATGGGAAATTGAAATCATCATTGGAGAGGAATTGCTCCCTGCGCAGCAAAAAAATTAAATCCAGTAATGTTCCCGCCAAAAAAGGTACAGAATCTGCTTTACTGTATTTTTGGCTGGTCAAAATAATTCACTCATCACCATGAGCTTGTAAGAATTACTAAGCATGACAGCCTTGAGTAAAAAATGATTTAAAATTCCATCGTTCGGGAAAACAGCTCACCTCATTCTCTGAAGTAGGTATCAAAATGCTCAGTATCAGAGTAAATCCGAGGTACAAATTCAGACCACAAGATTGCCACAGTCGGGGAATAGCAGGAAATGTCTTGGAAAATGACAAATGTGTCAAGGAACTTTTTTGAATCCCTTTTATTTTCTTTTCAAATCGGTTTCTACACTTCCAACTGCAAATTTTGTGTAAAATCCAGCCGCTTTTTCAGATAGCATGGTCCTCCCTGCCATTAGTAGAAGGGTCCAAATCTTTAATCTCCATATCTTCTCTTTCCCTTCCTGTCTTTACCTCTCTCTCTTTTTCTGTTTTACCACTGTTTTCTTTTTCTCCAATCGGACAGTTCCTTTAACCGACTGGCCCATTGGGAGAAGTCCACGTAGTCCTGTTAACCAGTCTGAAAATAACTGAAGAAATATATCTGTGTAGCTATCTCCTTGTATTAAATACTGAAGTGGGGTATAATTTCTCTCTTTCCATTTTTCAGATAAAGATACTCCCACCGCTCCGATTACAACCAAGAGGAAATTATCATTCGACTCAAGGACTCATTCTTCCAGGAATCGCAAACGGTTGAGGAGCTCTAATGTTTCCCTTGTTTAATCGTGCTGTAGGGAGCCGATCATTCTCAAATATTTCTAATTTTCGTAATTCTCATCATGTTAATGCATCATTTCAGTTCTGCCATAGCCAGTTCTGGAGCCCATCGGCTCTTCTATTAATACTTTTTGCAATCTCCATCATATTAATAGTTATATATGGACTACATTTTGCAATTAGGAACTATAAATTCTAGCCCGGTTTAAAAACAACGTATGTGCCATTAGTTTCCCTATGCACACAAGTGTTTTTTCAGATGAACCAGAATTTAAAGTTCCAAATTGCAAAATGCAGTCCATATAACCAGGAATGTGAATCAGCTCCTTCAATTATTGTTTCACAACTTTAACTTTGCCTGAAAAATCATGGTATATATATTTAAAACTCAACTTCTATTTCGTTCTTTATCTTGGCTGTCTCATAGCAAAAGATTCAAGATTTAGAAGTTTTGAGATGTTGTTAATCCACTTTTAAAAGGCATTTCAGTGCACTCCTTTTCTCCGGTGCTCTTGCTAGTAACGCTTCAAGGGCGTTGATATAAAAAATAGGCAAGTTTTATACTAGACTCATGCAAAAAGCACAGTTTAAAAATGGAAAAATTAATGGTAAGCATACTGTAAATCTCTGTGATCATAAGGCCGATTATTATTTTGCCACTCTGTCATTGATCATCAAAATGATCGATCTAACTCTGTTCGCAAAGCCAATGTAACCGCCCAATTTAAGCTGTTATCTTATGTATTTTTGTCTGTTTAATTCCCCGTGCTTTAAATGTTTGACTCGCAGACCTATTTCCTTCATTTCCTTGTAAACTTAGCGCTTCGCACTATTCTCTGTTTTGCGCCACAATCATTTCAAATTCAAATGATTCAACCGTTTTTCTGCACCTCAACTATCACACCACTTACACAATAGGGTGTTTAGTAAACTTTCAATCGACACCTGTGGCTGTATCCAAGAAACACTCTCGAAGTACACTCTGTAGGGCCAGCCAGGAGGTAGCTGCAATGACTAGAGAATATTTGATGATGGTTTTCAGCCACTAGAATCACAATGTGTTTTCATAGTGTCACTGAAAGTAATACGCTCATCTTAGTCATTTATATGTTAAAAAATACCACAGAAATAATTTATTCATTAAATAAATTCATTCAGTTACTAGTATACGGCTATTGCAATTGATATCCAGTTCACCATTTCTTTAATCATGTAACAATAAGGCTCATCACAAAAATTATGTTCTTTTTGATGCTAACAGTCCTCAAGAGATAGTGCCATGGCCCTTCAAAGGAACCGGTTGAATTCTATTGTGTTTGTTGTGAAGAGCGTACCACTAAGAGCATCATCATTTGTCGTTATTAATCGTTCTGTCAGAATTAGTAAAAACACTATCGGAACATTATAACAAACATTAAAATTTTTTTACGAAATAACCTATTCAAAGATTTAAATGGGCACTAGCCAAAGTACATATTTAAGTGTCCTGATATGTTTTGCTGTCTGAAAGTTTCAAGTAGAACATGGCTTGCCCAATAAATATTACTAAAATCAATTTCTAACGAGAAAAACCAAAGTCCACGTTAATCAAATGGTCGACTAGCCTTCCATTGACGTTAGTGATGGTTTGCTCAAAAGACCTTCTTTGGTTCAGACTTGTTTCAAAAATGTAAATGAAATTGAGTACTGATCAATTGATGGCAAAATTAAGTTGCTCTTTGTGGAGGCTCTTCAGAACTTTTCAACTGTCCTTACTACTTAACTATCAGTTAAGATGCAGTTAAAATCATTGTTCCTATTCAGAATATGTTAATAATTGTAACTTTGTTTCTCTTTTTCCCCTTTTTTTTGTATAGTCTCGTTTAAATTATTCGCATGAATCCTCGTTTTTGTAAATAGTTAATAAGCTTCTAAAGCTTTACTCTACGTTTAATTACTATCAAGTCTCTTCTGAAGTCCTAGGAAACTTTGTAAACAAATTGTTATTTCATATTTTTTGTTAGAATTGAATTTATCGGTTACATATTTATTTCTCGGATAAGACCTTTTAAGGGTTATCATTCCCTGAAAGAAAGGGTGATCCTTTTTTTCATATCTGTTGAATCTATCGAGCATTGACCTTATTCATGTGGTTATTAGGAAAGAAAAAATCATCTGTAAAGACTATGGTTTTATAGTTTTATCATTTCAGTATTTTCATCTGGTCGTATTAATACTTGTTCAATTGTTCACTTTGAACTGTCAAAGCAACTGACCAATTATTGTGTGTCCTTTGCTCTGCTTCAAATGCTGATATTCAGGGTAACGATGCTGCCATGAGCAAAAGACGTCAGGTTAACAATTGCACAAACACTCAGAAGAAAATAATTGTCGCCTCACCAGATGCAAAATGTAACATTGTACTGAAAGAACTTATTTTTCACGTTTGTTCATCAAATCCCATCTATTGTGAAATTCATGTATTACAAAGATTTTTAGTTAGAGGAAGGTTGGTGTTCACCTCATTCATTTTTGTAGTTTCTTTCCTGCAGCTACTAACTGCTTCATTAAATCTTTACGTTTGTGAGTTTGGGTAATTAGTGAGTGTAAACATCTTTTAAATTAGTCCCTTTGAATTGCTTCAGAAGCACTAAACTTCATATCCAAGTCTGTCGCATTATCAGCAAGTTAAATATTTTAATTTAACCAAGAGTTTTCACTTCTTTTAATACTAATATATCTGCCGTGATAACGAAGAGAGCAGTAAGTGCACGATGAACCTCGAGACACATAAAAGCATGTCCTAACCGTGGCTCATACAGAAGTGCGCTTGCTGCTCTCTTCGCTATCACGGCAGATATGTTCTCTGACTGGAGAATTATTCTTTTCCTTGTGTCGAAGAGTCATGCTGCTGAATAGTCCAAGACCATGTTTACGAAAGGAAATTTCCTAATGCTAACAATGACAGTAGGATAACATGTGATTAAAAACTATTGACTGAAAAAGAATCTCTCAATGTAATATTGTCTGATTCGACTTAGATAATTTCTTCTATTTCAGTGTGTAATCTAGGTAGGCTTATAAAAATTGTAAAATTAACTTAACACGAACCACTCTTTCGTTTTTTCAAGTTGGAACTGTTGGCAGCTTTCAAAGCTCCTAGGTTCTTTGCAACTTTTCCTGTCAATTGACCATCAAATTGTCAAAAATAATGGGGCTATCTCTGTTTTCAATCTAATTGGTAAAATCAGCAAAGCGCCATCACTTTAGCAGTTTTTATCAGATTGTGCCAGCTTCTCATTATTTCGCAAGAATCCATAGAGAGCACCCTCACTACATTTGGAAGTATTTATGGTAAAAGGAACTATGTACATTGGGTTTGCATGCAACATAGTTCTTTTTATGATAAATACGTCAGTCATGACAGAGTGGTTCTGTTGCATCAAAATTAGATCAATATTTTTTCGAAATCGAAACTGCTCCCCTAGCTTCGGTTATGTACTGGGAAATTGGTTAAAAATCCACCCCAAATTTTTTCCTCTCCTTGTTTATGTTTTTTGAAGGCTGTGCAATTTTACTTTACGTTGTATCAAAAGCAAGGTTGTAAATAAATTGTGAAAGACATAGTTTCGGCTCTAGCAAGTCAGTCTTCAAGCAATTATCTTCTCTTTACTTTAACGATTTAGTAGGTTTTAGAATCTTCGTCTCTATGTTATGTTTAACAGCTCGCATTCAGTAAATTATTTATAGTTAGAGTTACTCATATGATTAATTGATAAATAATTTGATAAGCTAGAAACATTAATACGATATGTAACTTCCTGCGCTAGCTAAGTCTTACTAACACCAGTTACAACCATTCAGTAGTCATTCGTTTTTTCTTTTAAGTTTTTCCCCCATCAAAACACTAAATATGCGATAAATCCCATTCATTACCTACATCGAATTGGAATCTGACTGTTCTTGTGAATTTTATTTAAACTATTTTAAATTTTTGTACTTAAGGGTCTATTGTAGCCTGTTATATTCAATTCCTCTCTAGTTGATAAATTTTTTAATAAATTTTTTAATTGCCTCGAAAAATCATTTTTTTTCTTCCCGTCATTTTTACCAGGAAGGGAGTCTAATGATAACCCTCTCTTTCAACCCTCAGTACACCTCTTAGGTAATAAAATGAATCCTAGTGTAATGCATTCTTATCCCTCTTTATTTTACAGTAAATTTTCTGTCTGAATATTTTGACTTAAAATTCACAGACTGTTGTGAAACTTGAAAATTCCAATTCATCTAAAGTAACAGTGATTCTTGACATCAGACTGAGTTCTTTCTATGTTCACTAGCTCTCCAACGAGCTCTATTGCTATTGGTATTACGTTCTTTTAAAAATTAACTCAATAACTGAATTCTTGGAATTGGCTTTCCTGCTTTTTTCATTGACTGAACAGCTTTTTACAGATAACATGAAGGTCCATAATTCTGAATACTTGAATTGCGACAGAATCTAAGGACTATTCTCTGTTCATCACCGGAAGTAATGCAAGGATAAGGTCTCTTCTGTCTTGCACTTAAAATGCATGAACTTATTTGACAGGGACTCAGGACTTAAATTGATGCAACTGAAATATGTATCGAAGATAGAATCAAGTCACTTTCTGTTTCGGGTAACATTCCTAAACCTTTTAAGTTGTAATTTTAAGTTTGTAAATTCCAGAGGTTCAAAATCTATTGAAGTCAACGTCTTTTAAGGTAGCCTTCAGCCTTCAGCATCCATAATTTTAAAAGCGGGGGCAGCTTAGCCTTCTCCGAAGTGGGAAATGCGGCAAAAATTCAAACCAGCCGCTATGAAACTGCACCGTTGGATATTTACATCACTAAACATTCATCATTTCGCGAGCCTGACTTGCAGTGTTGTCGGCTCAATAAATACATTCATACGAGATATTTAGTTTATGAATTCAATAAGTTTGATAGGACATTGAGCTACATAATATTACTTTAAAGAAAACACCTGAGCTCCAACCCCCTCGTCACATTGTGTTTTTCAGGCTTTTGCGCGTTAATTCCTCCCCTACACATTGTAAACAAAGGTGCAAGTGGCAACATTGAAGTCCTCCATATCAATATATTTTTCAGGTTATCTTCAAAGTCATATCTAGGCTGCCGTCTTCAAGTGAATTTGAGGTGAGATATTTATGCATTTATTTGTGCCAAACATGATTATTTCGTTTTTCACGTTGATTTCATGGCATGAAGAAACCAGGTTCGATAGCCCTTTCACTTTGAACCAAACACATCCGCAGAAAATAGTCAATTTTCTATGTTTATTGCTATACTGACACTGACCCAATATTCTTCTTTAAATTGCCCATTCTTGCCTCCCAAACACTAATTTTTATTGAATGCCTCACTTTTATTTGACTTTTCTTAACTTGTAGATTTTCAATTAAGATGGCATCCATCGGCAGATCTGTTCGCTCCGCCTCTCGTCTCTTGTCCGCAGCCAGGCTCACGGCTACTTCTTCGCGGACTTATGCCGACCAGATGAGCTTCACCCTTGCTGCAGCAAATCAGGTATACTTACTGCACTTTTACAGCAGAAAATTTTTTTAATGGGTTTTTTGGGAGTGGTAATTCTGATCGATACTTTCCTTCATCCTTAGTTCATTGATTAAACTTCCATCAATGAATTCAGCAGTCAACGCCTTTACTAAATTCAATCAGCGCCATCATCTATTGAGCACTCCAAATAGACAGATGCTCTTTCTTTTATGGTTTCAGGAGACCCCAAGGTCTGATGATGAATCAGTAATTTTCAAATTGGCACCGCAGGTAATTTGAGCTTGGGCAGCAAACACATTGTTAAAAGTGAATTCTGCCTCAATTCTATACCCTCTTGTAATTTTCTTTCCAATATCAAGGAGTTTAAGCATCCTTGATCGGTTTTAAAATTGCCCTCTGTGACAATTTTTTTGTGCTGAATCCAAGAAATTTGCCCCTCTGTTTCTGATTAACGAGTTGTAAGCTTAGATAAAGTGATTGGGGTTTATCAAGTCTATATTTGTCCTTTACTTTGCCAGTAATTGCAGTTAGTCAGCACATTGTGCAATCATTTGTGTCTTGATCCATTAATGCCATCAGAAATAGGCAAAGCTCAGTTTGTTCAGTTATCGGGCGTAGGCTTTAAATTATTCGAAACCAGTGCGCTGATGCCCTCAACGTAAATGGAGTCAAGAATGATGAAACGGCCATCAGTGTGATGGTGTTTCTGATATCCTCAGAAATTTTTATGCTACCAGATTGGATACCTTAGATGTAAATCAAGACCACCTGAGATCTCTTAGTGATGTTGAAATGGAAGAGCATTTTCTACTTTTATTGCCAAAGGCACTTGGAGACTTTATCCACTCATTTTCAATTCTCAGTAATAACATCAATTGCTTTTTTCAGGTATTCTACGCCAATCAAAGTGTGAAGCAAGTAGATGTTCCTTCCTTCAGTGGTTCATTCGGTATTCTAGCCGACCACGTACCAACTCTGGCTGTCTTAAAACCCGGAGTTATCACAGTATATGAAGATGATGGTAAAGTTAAGAAGGTCTTCGTCTCCAGTGGAACTGTAAGCTTTATTTCTTTCCACAAAATAACGTTTTCACACTTTGGAAATTTACTAGTGATTCACATCCCCCCCCCCCCCAAAAAAAAAACCAGATGTAATACTGTAATATTATTAAGTAGTCCCAGATTGCATCCTGTTTTGTTTGCCTTTCCTTACCTCAAGTCAAGTCATTGAGCCAGTTAAGTTGTCAAACATTAATGAAAGTAGGTATCGCTTTTCAAAAGCTTTGGATGGATTGAATAATTCAGTGACAACACATTTGATAAAATTTGACCTAATAATAAATAACTCAATTTCTTATTCTTCTTAAACTAAATAGAATAGAAAAAGTAATACGAATACTACAAAGATCTCCTGGATACAAGTAATGCTAATTTTCTCAAGGGCAATACTCGTTAGATTTTGATACTTAGTGTTATTGCTGACGGCATCAGCGTTACTCAAAATAGTGTTAATACTTGCCTCCAGAAAAGACACTAAAAATTAAACCAACCCGAACACTAAAAGCTGGTACAGTCCAAGCTATGTTAAAATTTTTTTGTCTTCCTATGTCTTAATTTTTGTTTCGTTTTCCCTAGGTTACAATCAATGAAGATTCATCCGTTCAAGTTTTGGCTGAAGAAGCCCACCCAATTGAAAATTTAGACCTTTCAGCAGCTAAGGAAGCCCTCTCCTCAGCCCAGAACTCCCTTGCTTCAGCTAAGGATGACAAAGAAAGGGCTGAGGCAGCCATAGAAGTTGAGACAGCTGAAGCAGTCGTCCAAGCGATTTCCGGATAATTTTAGTCCCTTAATTTAAATGGTAAGAGCTGAAATTCTAACTTGTTTCTAACACTTTTGTGAGAATTGAAGTAAGGATGGTGTGAAGGACAACTGTAAACCAAAAACTCATGAGCTATAGGGCCCCTAAGCCAGTACCTAATCGAGACTCATGTCTTTCAGGGCCTTAACGGACCATTCATTTCTGCCTTTTAAATTATTTTATTTAATTTAAGGATGAAATCAAAGTTATATCTGAATAAATTACTGTGATAAGCATCAAATGAGCGATGTGTTGATAGCCGTGGGCAGAAGACTGAGTTGCAGTTTTTGTACTATCATTACCACAAGCTTTCGGACCCCCTGACTTTTTGTTTTTTTGTCACTGTTTGGTTGGACCGTTTTGTATGATTATTGTGGCTATTTACATGCGATATTTTTATGATGAGCCTACTTGATTCAGATTTTGAAAATATGACCTATATTTCTCTATATAACCCTGTAAAGTTGCGAATTCTCTCATAATAATGTGAATTCTTTGTCACGCTTTATTTGGCAGATGTACTGGGCCAATTTTCATTATTTTTGCAGCTATTAATAGGAAATAGTCTCTAGATGAGCCTGCTATATTTAGATTTAGTTACTTATGAGGTGCCTGCAAAGCGGACCTTAGGGTGTTGTATTTACTGTTCAGCATGAAAGCGTATGGAGTGAAAAGAATTCGTGAAGACAGGAACAAGCAGAGAAAAGAATTGTAGTGGGCTTTTGTCTCAGAAATTCATTTAAAAACAAATCGTTATCACCAAGCTTAAATGAAGATCTGCCAACAGAATTAGAGTGTTTTAACGAAACCATATTTTATACTGGAGGAAGATCAACAGGTTTTTCATTTTCTGTTAAATTTCTGTTGCAGTATTGTAGATTGATTGAGCGCAACCGGCAACCAACTCCGAAGTTCCAGCTTTACCTCAGCGGGAAGCCTTTCTAATGGAAGAAGCATTTCTATGTACAGTTTCTATCTTCCTCATGTCATCTTGAATGTATCATTCTCTTTATTTTCTTTTCTATTGTTGTTTTAATGTTCGTTCCTAATGCGACATTCTTTCTCCTTTTTTTCCCTTAATTTAAGTGAAAAATAAAGTGCTTCTGTTAGTTTTAAATGGTAATAATTTATTTCCTCTCAACTTGGATTCGATTATTATCATCTATCAATTTATTGATAAAATCCCAAAAACTGGAAACTGACTTCAAATGAATTTGTGAGAATGTAAACACACACTCCAATATCATGGAAGATGTCCAATTTTCATGGAAGCAGTTGAAGGTGGTGCATGTATGCCAACTTGGGCCTTAAAAGTGTTCCAAAGTAAGTGTCTTTTGACACTAAACAGCTTTTTCTTCGATCAGCTTCCTCACCTACCGCACAGTTTTTTATGTATCTTGAAAATTTCCATTTTCTCGAGTTGATGCATTTTCATTCTCTTTGATTAAAAAATGACTCATACTCCTTGTGCTTTGTTGACATTTTGAGAGGGACCTGAACAGAAAATTTTACTTGCTGATCAAAATTCTGAGAAAGAATCATGTGACTCTTTTAGAGTAGTGTAATATGAGCATGAGGAGAGAAAAAGAGGAGTTAGTATGGTATTTTCTCATTTTTATTTCATAAAACAATATACACACAAAAACCTATCTAGTCTTCGTCTTTGACTCCTGCATATTTCTTGATTTCTTCCTTAACATCAGCAACTGATTCTGGAGTGCCATGTTCCTTCTCAAAGTTCAGCCACTTTTTGTACAAAGACTTCATCTTCTGTGGTTTCAATTTTTGAGCGACACCTCTTTCTATAACTTGCCTGAAATGCAAAAGCACAAAGATGTAAGTTATTGAGTTTATTTAGAGACACAAACCGGATGGAGAAAAGGAAATATTTTGACATTGAAATATTTTTCCATGCGAGTTAAATGCGACTGAATAGCAAGAAAAACAGACATGAGACGGGAATTCTAAAAGAAGGGTTAAAAGGACAGTCAGAACGTGAGAGAAAGTCCTGGGAAAACTTGCCCGCAACTTAGGCAAACTGAGATTGAAAATTGGTCCTGAACAGCGTTCGCAAGTAGCTGGTTGGCCCTTTTATCTTTAGACTACACAAAACTCTTATAAAGTATTTTATAATATTTAGTAGGAGCAAGGTTTTACTGTCTTAATGATTACTAGGAGATATCCCTTGAAATTCATAGGAAATTTTAACTAATTTTTTGAAAGGGCTAAGAAATTTTTCCAAGAAGGGCCTCAGAAAAAGGTAAATTTTACCAAAAATGATTTGTATAGATTCATTTTAGCGTTTGCTAGTCATGATATGATGATTTTTTGAAGGGCTTTACATAGACAAAACGGAATACCTATATTTAAAAAGATTAAGTTAAGGTAGTTCTATTAAAAAATATTCTGGAGGGCACTTACCTTGCAAGATCAATCCGATTTGCTTTGGTTAACAAATCTACATACGAGATCCAGACATCGATTCTTTTAGGAAATGTAGTCAAAATATGTTCAAATAATGTTTGTGCCCTTTCCTGATCTCCAAGTCGATTTTCAAGGTGGGCAAATCTGACGGTTAAATCGACATGTTGCTTTTTCGGCAAAGCACTCAAAGCCCGCTGCATAATGCTACGTGACTTCTCTATCGAGCCTACTTGTAACAAAAATTCTCCACACTGAACATAAACATCGAAAGAGTTCCGAAGTTTCTTCGTCGCCAAATCCACTAGTTTCTCTAACTCTTTTATTTTCTTGGAGGTGACATAGATTTGCATCACCCTGGAGTAAACACTCCATTCATCATTTGTTTGGAGGGCTTCAGTAAAACATTTCTGAAAGCTTTCAGGGGTTCCATACATATTTTCTAGATTCAGCAAGGCACTCCAAACATTCAGTCGTTCAGCCTCTTCTCGATGATTAATGGTTTCCAAGGCACGTTTAGCTACACTTTTGGCTTTTTCAATTTCAGTTCCCTGGAAAAAAGGAGAAAGAGAGATATTGAATAATTACAGCTAATATGCATATTGGCTCATCAAACGGAAGTACAATTGGATTGCATTTTGCAAAAAGGAACCACTAGCATTGCAATGTTGCTAAGATTGTGCAACTTCTTTTGTCTTGGAGGAAAAACCTGATTATCCATTAATAGTTTCTATTTTACTCTCTAAAAACTGTAAATTTAAGACAAAAATTGCCATCTAAATTTCATAAATTCTCACGATTTCCACAATTTTATTGCAAAAGATGAAGTTGCACAATCTTAGCATCATTGCAATGCTAGTGGTTCCTTTTTGCAAAATGCAATCCAATTAGTCTTACTGATTGGTCCTTGTTTCAAGCTGACCATCATTTTATTTAAAAATTTAGAATTACTTTTTTTAGTTGTAGGATTTGAGAATAATTATCTTGAAAGAAAAAATCGCACCAAAGTTTATGCAGTGATGATAATTATTTGCTTTCATTTTTATACCTTTTTTTTTTCAATTTTGAAGTAAAGTGATTTGTCTGATGCTGTAACCGACATTTTTAACCATGCATTTCTGAACAGCCTCAAAGTTGGTTAACACAGGTAAATGTTTCCTATTGAGCAGTGTAAATTTTCTCCATTAATTATGGCCAGCTGATTTTATCGCTAACTTGCTCATGATGTGTAAATTGTTCAATCAAGCAAAAGAGCTTACCTGTAAATGATATGCCATGTATTTGATCCAAAGTACCGACTCGTTGGGTGATGCCAGAAGTAGCCGATCAAAATGATCTGCTGACTGGGGATTCTTTTCAGCATTCAATAGTTCTTCTTCGGCTTGTCTGATTTTTGCTTCTTTTTGTTTTGATAATTCTCGTCTTTCTGCAGCACTTAATTTTTTCTTTTTCTTCGTTGGAACCTCAGCAACTTCTTCTTCCTCGCTCACGACATCACCAGCAAGCGATTCTTGCAGCGTTGCCAGAGATGCATTCCAATCAAATCCAGTATCCGACAACTTGGTTTCAATCGATTTTCTTGGTTTGGATGAGTCAATTAAACACATAGTTTCGTCATCTTCAAGATCCATTTTCCTGGTTTCCAAAACTTGTTTTGGGGTCTTATCTTTCTTATCCTTACTTTTCAATCCATTTACTTTAGGTGACCTCTTTTCTTCTTCATCATCTTCGCTATCATCTTGAACCATATCATCAAGCATCATGAGTAATTTGTTTTTCTTTCCTCCTACCTCCATCTTATCGACTTTCTTCTTCTTTTTGGACCCTTTATCTGCAGTTTCAGATTTATTTACTTTTTGTATTGCCGTGTCTAGCACAGTATCTAAAGATCGATTAGATTCCATCTTGATAATCTCTAAAGCATCAGTCAGAATGCCGAGGATAAAGCTATTTTCTACCTTTAAAATTTGAACATTTATGGTATCCGCCACTTTGACACTGATCTGACTCAACACTCTTTGAAAGTCATTCTGATGCAACTTGGTCAATACGTATACTGCTTGTCCACTTAAGCTTTTGTCATCGGACACAATAACCCCAATATTGAAATCTACATGTTTATATAAAATTTTACACCGGACTATTGACCCCTCTTTCGTCGCAGTTGGGTCTAATTCAGGATTGATTGCATTCTTGTTGCAAACATACACTGTGTTTTCTGCAGGATTTTCCCATAAAACAGATGCATTGACAATAGTACCAGTTTTGATTTTATTTTCCTCACAGAAGTCTGCGGCCAAATGTCCATGAATACCGGTATAGACTGAGAAGTTCAGTTTCCAAGATCCATCACTATTTCTGCTACTTGCTGTACACTGGATGCTGGTCCCTGTGCTTAATCTTTGAACTCTGGCCATCTCATTTAAAAATTCTAGAAAATATTCAATGCTCTGGAGCAAATTGAAGTCCCAAACTTTGTGTAAACGGCAGTCAAGGGCAAGCTCTGTTTCGTCATGTTTTGTTACTAAACTAAGGATTGTCTGCTTGGAATCTGGTCGCACTGCTGGTAAATCAGAGATGAGCAAATTCTGGAAAAGAAAATAATGGGCTAAATGGGCAAAACATCGAATATTACCATAGGATGAAAGCACAATTTTGAATTATTAATTAAAATTATATAAAAAATATAAAGGATTAAAATGAAATAAAGATTAAAAAAAGGATGGCGTTATTTGACAGTATCATACCGCTGTAGAATACAGGGTGTACCAAAAGTCCGCCCCACCCCTGCTAACTTTTGAACGAATTGAGCTAGGGTAATGAAACTTTGGGAATGTTCCTATCTCAAAGGGGACCATCTTTTGAGGGGGTCAAAATTTTGGGCCCCCCTCAGGGGGGGCGCGGGGGGTCCCCAACTTTTTAATTTCAAATGGCAACCCCTATCTTGTGATACATCATTCGAAAGAACGTAAAAAACTAAGAATTTTGGCGCAAACCGCAGATCAATATCTTAATTTTTGACCGAGTTATGATAGGTCAAAGGTCAAATTTGACCTATTTTCAAAAAATCATAACTCCGGTTCAAATTATCGTAAAGAAAAAAATAAAACGGGCAAATCTACTAAATTGTGTCCGCTTTTAAGTAAAAATTGCAGAAATCACATCGCTGTAATTTTAAGGGGGGGCTCGGACCCCCAAATACGTCAAATCAAAGGTCATTCAATTTTCCCGCGAAAAAAGGCAATTTCTCCTAGATTTGCCTCCACATTATCTCAGTAAGGTCAAAATTAGTTCAACATTACATTGGCAAGTCCCCAAATTTCGGGAAAAGTTTAAAAATAACGAAATTTAAGGTGATTAAATTTGACCGTTTAAATTTCGTTTTTTTTTAACTTTTCCCGAAATTTGGGGACTTGCCAATGTAATGTTGAACTAATTTTGACCTTACTGAGATAATGTGGAGGCAAATCTAGGGGAAATTGCCTTTTTTCGCGGGAAAATTGAATGACCTTTGATTTGACGTATTTGGGGGTCCGAGCCCCCCCTTAAAATTACAGCGATGTGATTTCTGCAATTTTTACTTAAAAGCGGACACAATTTGGTAGATTTGCCCGTTTTATTTTTTTCTTTACGATAATTTGAACCGGAGTTATGATTTTTTGAAAATAGGTCAAATTTGACCATTGACCTATCATAACTCGGTCAAAAATTAAGATATTGATCTGCGGTTTGCGCCAAAATTCTTAGTTTTTTACGTTCTTTCGAATGATGTATCACAAGATAGGGGTTGCCATTTGAAATTAAAAAGTTGGGGACCCCCCGCGCCCCCCCTGAGGGGGGCCCAAAATTTTGACCCCCTCAAAAGATGGTCCCCTTTGAGATAGGAACATTCCCAAAGTTTCATTACCCTAGCTCAATTCGTTCAAAAGTTAGCAGGGGTGGGGCGGACTTTTGGTACACCCTGTATGTTATTCAACAGCACCAGGTTTTTTATAGGTTATACTAAAATTGTTTGGAGAATGTTAAAAGTGACTTTTAAATCTGCTAGGATTTTGAAGAGTTTTTTAGAAAAACGTTGCATATGAACATGTGCGACAACATTAGTTTTGCTTACACCTGAAACAACAAATGTATTCAATATTTTTTGCCATGACAGACAATAGTCAAAAGTCCTAGAAAATCAAGAAGAAATTTTAAGCTTTTTTAGCTCTTTTCCGTGTGACAGGGCCTTCACAAGGTTCGTCGGGGTCAAGATCTGTTTCCTTCCGTTTATCGGCTACTGACCTGTTAAATGAGCATAGCTGCCAAGCTGGTCGCTTGGGTCTGCCGCAACTTTTGAGCTTAGTTTTAAATTTTAAGTTTTTAAAGCAGCAGTCGACCTCGGTAGTGCTTTGTGATGGCGGTTAAGAGTGCTGTGCTGCCATATGTAATTTTAATGCCATAGCAAGTTGATTTTTCTAATGTTCACAGTATTCCCCTTCTTTCGCTTGTGCGGGCTTGAGAAAATATGATTGCCATATCATGATCTTTTTCTGACAGATGATTCCTAAGAAAGATTTATAATCTTCTTTGGCTAGAAAAATTTCTTAGAGTGAGATAAAACTTTTTTCATCATTTCAATTTCATTGAATACGCTAATCTTATTTGTGTTTTACAGTTAAGTATTCAATGTAAAACTAAAAATAATTACCTCATCAAATACCATGACTTGCGGAAATGAAGGAACGTGGGTTGAGACAACAATTCCTGAGACTCTACGATCGATGACTTCAGAAACAATGCAGGGAATACGCATTCCTTCGACAACTGATGACCAACCATTAATCAATTTGTCCCCATTTTCTTTGAAAAATTGCATCATCGAAGGTTTTACGCTGAACACAGGGACATTGTCATCAAAGTAGCAAAAGTATGCTTTTTCAATGATATCATCTTCACAATATGATTGAAAAAGAAACGATGTTAGTTCAAGATTATCCGAGAGCTCACTTGTCGGTATAACACCGATAATATCAAAATCATTCACCTTTACGCAAATAAACTGACTGGTGACTTTGGTAATGGTCACTGAAAACTTACGACCGACTACAAGCCAATCTGGACGCGTCTTTAAGCGCAAGTCACCTAAATTCAGATCTGCCTCTTCAAAGTCACTTTTTACTGAGCACAGGTAGATTTGATCTATGTAACTGTAGTTTGAAATGCAACATGGGATAATTTTTAGAGCCTTCAATTTCTTCTGCAATCTATTGAATGTATTGGATTGGGAGGGTGTCTTTTCAGGAGCTGGTGTATCTTCAATTGAATTATTTGACGCATAGTCTGAGTCCGTTGCATTTGTCGCAGTATCTTTAGTTTGGGTTTCCGGCGTCTTTGGTGTTATTAATTTTTCGGCACTGCTGAGAGAAATCACTCCCTTTAGAGATCTACCATCTTTTAAAAATTTGACTACAACACCATCTTTCCGAACTGATTCTACTTTTGCAGAGTCAATAGTTGCTTGATTGGGATATTCAGCTTTTGGGAGCTGTAGTGATTGCAAGCAGGAGTGAGATCCGAGCAAAACTTTATTTTTCAGAGTGTCAGCATACAAAATGACCGCTGGAAACTGGGCATTTAAGTTTTTATTTTTCTTGTTTTTTGATGACCTGTGGAGATCATTGACGAAAGCAGGGCAACGCAGGCCTTGCGCTGAGACTTTTACTCCATCTGATAAAATCTAAAATTTGAACAAAATACAAAAATGATAAGTATTTAAGGAGCCGATACAATGATAATGGGCCAATACACAAAGAGTACGGTTTCTCATCATAATTTTGCCAAAATTGGACATTTTAACTCCAAAACTGCTGAAGAGAGTTTTTTGGAAACAAGTATCAAACAGCTAGACTTGTTTAAAGAGTGGCAAAAGCGCTGAAAAAATGAACTGTACAGACTGAGCTTCAAGGTGATTAAACTGAAAGTCTAAAAATCAATATCAACTGAATTTTTTACAATGACTAATAAATTGTTTTTTTGCACAATTTTTTTTTTTAAATTTCTGACAGTCTTCATTGTAGACACCTTGTAATATTTATTTTTTTTGCAAGAGATCACGTGCAAGCAATTATTTTTAAATTCTATATTTAAGCTGCAGGAGTTTTCTGAATTCAATATCAATCAATGTAATCTCATTCTTGCCATTGATTTACAATCAGAAACAATTTGACAGTTATTTGTTGGTTCTTCATTGATAAATCTTACCCTTTTGACAGAACAGTTGACGAAACTTCCAGGTAAGACATTAGAGATGTTCACATTACTATTGATAACTAGTTTTGAAACATCCAGTTCTGTTGTTAATTCCACATTAGATGCATTATTGTTTGAGCTTCGTTTTGATACAAGACACCGAATCAACTGGCCAACAGCTGAAAAAATTAAGAAAGAAAACTTCTAGTCTAAGGGGAAAAAAACTTTAATGTATCAAGGCGAATTTTTCTCAAGCTCAGTCAAAGAACTAGAATTTGAGTTTTCGATGAGAAACATTTTTTAGCAGCCCACACAATAGATTCCGGGTGAGTTTTTATTACGATCTGATACTTTCCGACCCTGAACAAGACCTAATTAAAGTTTCAATAACTTTCTGCAAACCTTAAATCATCAAAGCTCTCTTTTCAATTTACGGAGTCTACATATTTCAGGAATAAAAACTTCTCTGACTCTCCAACGTTTTTCCCACCATAATGTACAAAATTTACCTAAAGGTTTTCCTTCGTTGAGGGTTTTACACCAATTTTCAGCAGCTTTCGTGGATAAGAATGTACGCAGATTCGCTATCCCACTGTCAATCACATAACCATGGTCTTCAACACTTTGAACGACTCCCATTAATGACATACCCACATCAACAGCTGAAACCAAGAGTTTGAAAAATATGAACAAAAATTAAAATTGAAAGGTTCAAAAAACAATTAAAAACCAGTAGGTATAAATTCATCTCATGGAATATTTAGTCAAGTTTTTACAAATATTTAAAAAAATTGTGATAAAAAATCATAAATTTATAACTGCCTTCATTCATAACTTTGTACGACTAGATTAAATAAATAAATGACTAATTACTTTAGTAAGTTAATTGCCGGGAAAGTTACTTCCATTATCAATATTACAGAAGAGATTATTTTGACGTCACTCAAAAAATCTACTGTGGTGACAATTGAGGGGCTTGGAGGACAAGTGGGATTGATGCAGGTTTTGCTATTTTCAAGAAAAACGTTTTTTAAGTTTCAGAAATACATGGAGCCTTAACGCGGAAAGAAAGTTCAAACTCACTTTTAGATGCTTAAAAATTGGAGCTTAGGGATGAATATTTCACAGAATACATTTTAAGACTAGTTTCAGTTAGAATCATTGATCTCTAGATTTTTTCAAAAATAGCGCTTGTGCTGCTTGTCATCCAAGCCCCTTAATTGAACATGAATAAAGAGGTTCTGTAAAATGATTTTAAAGAATTATTTTTTTGAAAGATAAATTTTAGAAACTTCAGTGTAGACACAAAAGAATCAAACAAAATAATCATAGTTACCGTAGTGAGGTATGTGGGCATTTACGTTGGCCGGATCAAGAGAAACTAGAACTCTCCATGTGTTATCAAGAGATGCTCTTTTTGAGATGACCTTGCATACAACAAGCTGGCGCTCACTAAGAATGTCTCGTAAATTGATGTCCTGAACAATAAGTAAGAATTTTCATTAATTTTCTACAGCATTATTTCATTCTTTTATATTGTATTATTTCTTATTTTATTCACTTTTTTGGTTAAAAAGTTCATTTAATTTTACAAAGATCCATCCCTGTAATTAGGAGCTTTTGTTTTGTCCTCTAGCAGTCAGCTGAAAGTTCAAAAAGTCTAATTATCAGTGGTGCTTACACACAAACAATTGCACTACATTTTGAGATTAGGAATTAAAATTTCTGTCTTGGTTCAGAATCAGCATATATACCATTGTATTCCCTATGCACATAAGTATTTTTCTGGATAAGCCAGAAATTGTAGTTCCCAATTGCAAAATGTTGTTCAATTACGGTTTTACCCTTTGCTAGAGCCATCTACAAGCTTAATTATTTTTTGGTTTAGGGTACACGTCTTTGTTCGGAGCAAAAGGACGTTCCTTAAAAATTTGTGTATTGAAATCAGGAGGATAAAAAACACGAAGCGTAGCGTCATCCAGCAACACGGTTTCTTCTACCTCAGTTATATCTGTATGTTAAGTCAAGCAACTTTCCCAAATGCGTGTATCACTAATTGATGAACCCAAGATGGAAAAGCGCGTTTTTTGAAGGGTGTTTTTTGTAGTGATAAAGGACGCAGAAACTGGGTGATTTGATGGATCTTGATATTTTTTGCGCGTCTAGAAGCTCAAATGATCAAAATACGATTCTGTTACTGACACAACTGACCCATTACTAAAAGGTTTAGATTATCACTATTAGAGGGACTTACTCGGTGAGGAGTAATAAAACTCTTCGGAGCAACAGCAAATATTGATCCTGGTAATGATATTGTAACTCCAGATGGGGTTATTTCAGACACACACCCAAGTATAACTAAATCCGCTGACACAGCCTGAAAAAACACATTCGTGAACATAAAAAATATGAACAGTGATTCGGGAAAAAATCTTAGAAGTAGATAAGCTTTAAAAAATGGTGAGGGTTTCTTTAAGGCTGATAATTTTACCTCTTGGCTGGGATTTTCAGTTAAAAGGTGATAAAGGTCAACACGTCCCTTTAAAGTTTTGTATCTTTTTGAGCCAATGTTTGCAATTTTGGATTAATTTACTTCGATTTTTTTGAGAAAAGATCTTGAAGATTGTTGAAACACTTCCTACGGTACCTCAAATTTGAGTCTTTCATAAGATTTTACAAAATTTTTTAACTTGTCTTCCTCATTCTAATTCAGTGGGGCCACTTGAAACTAACACACGTCTTAACTAGAACACGCTTTCCTTCAAAATTTTATGTAGAGAAGGAATGAAACAGCGGCAAGTTTGGACACCAACTCCTGAATGAGATATTAACAGGTATTTCGACACAGATTAAATGGAAGTTAGATCATTTAAAAGACATCATTCGTATTTGTATTATTTAGCTAATGTCATCAGTGAACTTTCATACCTTGCTTAGGCGTACATTTTCAGACTTTCTGTAGCGTGATTCGTTTTCTTAGTAAAATTTTAAAGGGACGATATGTTGTATGGTAATTTAATTCATACCTTGTCTAGTCATTCATTGCAAAGATTGCTGGAGGGAAGTATAATGGAGGCTCTACCCTTTTTAAATGGATTCTGAAGGCAAGGGAGAAGAATGATGGAATAAAATACACCGCAATCACACGCTGAATGTGGGAGCTGAATGTGGCTTGAATGTGGAAGTCATCGGCCCGATGCCTGAATTTTGCGCGTGACGCGCAAAATTCAACAACAATTCTCAGCAATCATCGGACCAATTTTGAATTTTTCTGAACAATTCGAGTAGATTTAATACACATCTGGATGAAAATAACTCGAATTTGCTAAATTTCAGCCGTTGGGCAATGACTGTTGACTTCCACATTCAGCTGCTAAATTCAGCGTCTGATTGCGGCATGACATTGAAATTAAAGACTTCTGCAATTTACCTCATAATTCAACAATGAGCAATCATCTTTGGTAACTATTTTTACATCAGTTACAATGTCTGCTTTGTAAGTTTTTGACTTTTTAAATCCTTTTGACTTCCGTTTCTCCTCCTTGGCTGCAGGAAGATTGTCTCTTTTTCTTCGTTTGGCCTGGAATGAAAGAGAAACAACATCGAGATCCATCAATTATTTGACTTATAATGGGTCTGTGGCACCTATTTTTGTAAATTCATTTTTTGGAAGTATTCTCGGCTGTCAGCTTTTTATTGGTCGCATTGTGATCAGCTTTTCTTCCCCTTATCAGTGCATTTTTGAACTATTTAATGAACTTTTTGGGATTATTACAAAATTTTACAGTTGAGAAGTTACACCATTAACCTTTAAAATGAGCCAGTTCGGCTGAATTTTTTTATTACATATTATGAAAGTCCTTGGTGAAATGAGTATACAGAATTTTTTCCAGATTTTTTTGAGCCCTCTGGCTCTGAGAAATCTTACTTCAAAAACGCGAAAAATTGAAGGTCTCTGAAACGCTGTTTGAATCGCGCGGGCTGAGAGCTGACGTCACACTTTAGGTGGTGACCACCCTTGGTTTATTCCAAGTTAGTCCGAACAATATGGCTGCTGCCCGGTTTGTTTATTTAGCGAAAGTTTCTAGCTGTACATTGTGATTTAGTGGTAAAATTTGACGAGAAATTTGTTGAAACATTTGGTTTCGTCACAAATTAACTCTTTCTTGATGAAACAAGGCGTTAAAGTTCGCGAAATTTATTCACCGGGCGACCGCGAGTGAGCATCGGCTATCGGGAACGACGGGCTCGTAAACAAACGAAGATTGATAACAGGAAGGATCCAAACAACTCGGAATCTTTTAATTTTCTTTACCTTTAAACCATTTCTGACTTCTACAAAGCATCTGACAATCAGTTTTATCGTATTTTACAACCTTAAGCTAGAGTCTATCGGCTCATTGTGATGTGTATTCAGAGCATTCTGAAACAGAAAGTCAGTTCTCATAAGTTCACACCCAGACATTCTTTTCTTGGATCATTCGCTTTTCATTTTCGCCTCAAATCAAGTGTTTTGTAGTTTCCTTATCTGAAGTATGTGGTTTTGAATTCATACAAGAGTTTGAAGTTCACCTTTTTTTAGCATTAAAGCCTGTTGAGCCCTCAAACTTTACCGATATGATTACCTACAGTTCAAGGTTCCTCTGGTCCGTACCAAGTGATTACACATCAAAGATGTGTCTTATGGTTCTTCAAATTAACAGTTCAGAAGTAAATTAGAGACTACAGTAACTTAATCCACTCCTGCCCTTTCCTTCAGTGTTTGTTCGTGTCTGTTCTTTATGCGTTACCACTCTAGTGCATACACCGGTAATGTAGGTTAGTTAGGTATTATCGCATATTTTCTACTAGCAGTACCTTCTCTTAAGCGTTGTAATTTAGCAAAGAAATTCCACCAGTTGCAGAAAATTGTGTGCGTAATGAATAAGTGAATATGAATACCTCCTTTTGGTGACTCAAAGTTTCTCAGATCCGTCTCAAGGAGGTTTTGCATGTAGGTGCATGATCAGTTTTGCCAGATGAAATTACTGCTCTTGCAGCTTCAAATGTATACTTTGATCTCTGATTCACTAATAAATGACACTTTATGGTGTCATTTATATTTAATCAGTTCAAAGCTAATTCGACAAGGAATCATCAAAGGTCCGATGGAGGAAGGAATTTTCCGGTGAGTGCCACGGCTGAATCAACATTCCAACTAGACTTGCGAAGGTATCAACCCAAACAGATTCATGAGGAAGTGATACCTATATGGTAAGTGGTAATTCTATTAAGGCTCTTTCATTTCTTAGGTGCGGTGTGCATTAAAAATTTCTAAATCTGCTCATCTGCAGTCATATACTTGAAGAGGAGTACAACATGAAATGTAGGTGAAGTAACGAAATCGTGGGAATGAGGTAATCCTACAGCTTCTCTCCACTGAGACACGGACGAAGTAATCTGAAAGCCTTAAGCTGGAAGTTGCTAATGATGGAGGTTCCATGGTGTTTTTCCTGCCTTGAAAGATAAGGTTGTGCTGCAGGCCTTAAGCACTATGGAAAATTTGAAATATTGTGATTTTAAACGCAGGCTCCACTTCATCTAAGAATATGGAAATCGGTCTCAAGTGCTTTCTCCGATAACTTTCAGAGTTTTTATTTTCATATTTAAGAGACAATTATGAGATGATTATCCTACTATTCCTGGTATTTCTGATTGAGAGTCAACTTGTTCACTTGATGCATTCACTTTCCTTTCAAAGAATGAAATATTAGAGGTGACTCTCAAACACTGCAACCGAGAAAGGGCCTTTTTGCATCCAGTGACTCAATTACGTATTGACTACGGTGTTCAAAACTTCTACTTTAAGTTTAGATTTTAAATGGAAAACAAGTCGACTTACTGCTCTACATATTCACAAAATTTTCTGCACGTAGAAGATATAAATATCGCACACATTTCAGAAATTTTGTCGAATAATTTTTCCATTAGGACATCAAGAGAAGCAATCAGACTAAAACTTAGTGAATGAAGGTAAGTACTTTCTCAGATTAGCCATGCCACTACTTTTCCTCGCTTTTTCATTAATCATTATCCACAAAGTTAAACATACTTAATCTAAATGTTACACTGAACTCGTGTATTTAACCTGATAGTACCTCAGTAATTATAATTATCTTACCTGTTAAACTGTATGATGCAATGAAAAAAATTTCACTTCGAGACAGATGATCATTTCCTGGTTGATACCTTCGCAAGTCTAGTTGGAATGTTGATTCAGCCGTGGCACTCACCGGAAAATTCCTTCCTCCATCGGACCTTTGATGATTCCTTGTCGAATTAGCTTTGAACTGATTAAATATAAATGACACCATAAAGTGTCATTTATTAGTGAATCAGAGATCAAAGTATACATTTGAAGCTGCAAGAGCAGTAATTTCATCTGGCAAAACTGATCATGCACCTACATGCAAAACCTCCTTGAGACGGATCTGAGAAACTTTGAGTCACCAAAAGGAGGTATTCATATTCACTTATTCATTACGCACACAATTTTCTGCAACTGGTGGAATTTCTTTGCTAAATTACAACGCTTAAGAGAAGGTACTGCTAGTAGAAAATATGCGATAATACCTAACTAACCTACATTACCGGTGTATGCACTAGAGTGGTAACGCATAAAGAACAGACACGAACAAACACTGAAGGAAAGGGCAGGAGTGGATTAAGTTACTGTAGTCTCTAATTTACTTCTGAACTGTTAATTTGAAGAACCATAAGACACATCTTTGATGTGTAATCACTTGGTACGGACCAGAGGAACCTTGAACTGTAGGTAATCATATCGGTAAAGTTTGAGGGCTCAACAGGCTTTAATGCTAAAAAAAGGTGAACTTCAAACTCTTGTATGAATTCAAAACCACATACTTCAGATAAGGAAACTACAAAACACTTGATTTGAGGCGAAAATGAAAAGCGAATGATCCAAGAAAAGAATGTCTGGGTGTGAACTTATGAGAACTGACTTTCTGTTTCAGAATGCTCTGAATACACATCACAATGAGCCGATAGACTCTAGCTTAAGGTTGTAAAATACGATAAAACTGATTGTCAGATGCTTTGTAGAAGTCAGAAATGGTTTAAAGGTAAAGAAAATTAAAAGATTCCGAGTTGTTTGGATCCTTCCTGTTATCAATCTTCGTTTGTTTACGAGCCCGTCGTTCCCGATAGCCGATGCTCACTCGCGGTCGCCCGGTGAATAAATTTCGCGAACTTTAACGCCTTGTTTCATCAAGAAAGAGTTAATTTGTGACGAAACCAAATGTTTCAACAAATTTCTCGTCAAATTTTACCACTAAATCACAATGTACAGCCAGAAACTTTCGCTAAATAAACAAACCGGGCAGCAGCCATATTGTTCGGACTAACTTGGAATAAACCAAGGGTGGTCACCTAAAGTGTGACGTCACAAATCGGCGTTCGCGCCACGCCCCGGATTCAAATAACGTTTTTGAGGGGCACGATTTTAAAATCGCATTTTCTCCCCTTAGCAATGTTTTTCAAAACTTTTTATTGTGCTCATCGTTTTTCTGGTGAAATTTTACATATAGTGCAATAGCTTTTAAGCCAATCCCTCACCAGCCGAACTGCCTCATTCCTTGCTATTGCCCCATTATAATCCCAGTCTCGCTTGGAACAAGTGCATTGACTAAAAATTCCAGTTGGATCAACTAAAAATCCAATCATTGCACCTATTCTGATTAGTTGCCATTTTAATCTGGGTAGTGAAATAATCCTTTCTCGAGCTTGGCAGCAGCTGATTGTTTCGATTGTTTCATTACTGCTTTTTTCCTCATGTACCTGGTTCAGGACTGTTCAACTAAATTTCCTGAAAGTCTGTCCAATTCGATAATTTTAAACTAACTCACCTTCACGTATTCATCAGCTGCTTCATCATCGCTATTGTCTATGAAACTTGAAGATTTTCGCCGCTTTGATTTTGACGTTTCTTCGTTTGACCGTTCAAATTCAGGCATTCTTACAAGGGAGACTTAAATTGTGGATGAAAAAATTACGTAAATTTCCTCGACAGTACTGAAAGATAGCAGAAAAAATAATGTAGAATTAAATAGAATATAAACAGAATTTAGATACTTAATACAGCTATATTTTCAGACATCTGATTCAACCTCCATGTGCGATGAGCTACAAATGAATTGAGCTAAGTACGTTTCTATGCGTACTTTCAATGCGCAACTACTTTGGCAAGTTACAGAATATGGACTCAGCATACATTGAAGGCAGTTCATACAAACTCGAGATTTTTACCAATACCCTATCTGAAAATTGCGCATATTTGTGAACCGTAGTTGGAAGCAAATCTAATGGTTGAGGCTATGAAAAGGAGCCTTCAAAAGGGACAAATTCAGTTCTTTTCACATTAAGAGGAGGGTTTAACATTAAAACATCACTTCTGATGCAAATATTAGGATATGGTACAACTCTTAATCTACGTCATGGGGAACCTGTTTTCAGTTGATTGTGCATGTGGCAAAACACTGATTATCAAAGCACATCATTTGATGAGAGTTGCAAAATACGCATTCATCCTGTGCTGAAATGCTCGTCGAAACGTGGCTGACACATGAGCTAATGTAACAAAATGCTCTCTTACGAATTGAGAAAAAAGACACACAAATGTGGCATTTATGTTCCCGTGAGAGACATTTAATGTTGAATGCATGGGATCGGCAACTAGCCAACCGTTTCTGACTTTTCTGTTGACTGGAAATATGTGACCTCGTCTCAAATTAGAGAGTGATTTAAGACTAAAAGATCTACCATAAGATAACCAAATTAAAGAATTACTTACCTACACAATTAGAGACGACTCGGCCTGCATGTATCCTGTATCAACGACTTGAAATATTGATCCATCTAAAGAAAGTCAAAATCAGTAAAAGGCAGGCAAAGTAAGAGGAAAAACTGGATTTTTATATAATAATTTATAATAAAATCGTTCGAATGAAGAAAAATTAATCACATGCTTCCTCACGATGACTTTTTTTTGGGAAACCTACGGAAAAGCGAAAAGCACATGGGCCAACTTGTTTTGTTGTCACAAAACCATAGAGTGAGTTTCGACCAATAGGAGTCTACAGGGTCTTTTGGGCCGGGCGTCTAGAATGCAGCACACTATCATCAATTCGAATATCATTATAATGCATATTAATATCAATATCTGCAGAAATTATGGGCTTAAAAGTGACATTTGCCGTTTTTTCATCACAACTGAACCATTGAGCTGTTCAAGAAGTAATACATTATCTGAATAATTAGTGATATGGGTCAATTTTGAATTTCCCGCAATTTACTACCTACTTTTCAAAACATTCAAAACCGAAGAATGTCTTGTGGTGATGTCTGTGCATTAGCTCACTCGATGCAATCGGGAACGGTTTTGAAAATGGCGATCTCGACATTTTCTACGATGAAGTTGTGTTTGAAGTGATTTTATTCTGTTTATTTGATAACTTTGTGCTAAAATGTCTTCTCTGCAGTTTGTGGTACATCCTATTCCTGGCACCGACGATCAAGTAAATGACAGGTAAGGCTTCTTGATCGTTCATTCACCAAGTTTCAAGTAGGCCTAATCAGAATGAGAAAATTCCAGACTATCATAGGCCTTCTATTTTTCTATCTTATCAAAGAATTCTGACCAGACGATCGTCTACTACCCAGCTTGCACTTTTCTCAATCATCTCATTTACTTTTCCGTCGAATTTTTGCGGTACGCACTTATTCAGGAATCTGTTCTACCCATCTCTGCCTATTGTAAGGTTAGGCCTATGTTCCACAACTTCAGACACCATTTTGGTCACCTAAATCTCCTAAGGAAACCCATTGACTTCATCACTATATTCACAGAAGTTATAGCCTCTTTCTGTATTTCTTGCGGCTCCGAATTGATATTAGTTGCTTGCAGTGGTATGAACACCTACTCATAGGTCGTATCACTCGGCGGCTTTTCTGTGATGTCATCAGTGAATATCAATTTCATCGGCCATGACAAATCACCAAGCGATGTCCTGTGACTAGCCTCAAGTTGCTTCCATCAGGCAGAGATTGCCTCTCTGGTTTAGTTTACTTATCTACCTAATCGTCTCCTTAGCAGATCATTTATTTTTGATACGAGCAATGTCTGAATAACCCTTTTTGTCCATTGAAAGGTAGGGCCTCTAATATAAAGCACCAGCTAACGCCACCTTTCCAACTGCTTTATTCCTTCAGAGGTAGATAATATTGCCTGTTCCTAGCTTCAGATCGAACATTTTTCAGGGTCCTCTGAAGTTACGAACGACCTCTCTCTTGAGACTTATTTCTTACCTTGCTGTACTAGATTCAGGCTACTTCAAGCTTTCATGTAGTGATAAAAATTTAAGTTATCAACATTAATCTGGAATGGCCAGTCTATGGCCTAGCAAAATTACTCTCTTGATGATGCTTTTATGTATTAGACCTTGAAAAAGATAAAAATGGACTAATGTAATGCAACCTGAAGTGCATCAATTATCAGTACTTAGGTATGCCCATTGGGTAGCATATAAATTTCTGTTTAATGGTGCCATTTTCCAATGTGACAGTTGTCCATTCCTCTTTTTCCCCAGTTCTAGTACTTTACTCTCAGCCATATCCATACTGGAATTAAATTCTTCTAAGTACACAGTAAGATGAAATTTATTAATAAAGTCACTTAGGGTTAACGCTCAATTATTGACTTACTGTAAAGGGCTCAGCCCCTTATCAGCCTAATACACCAAGTCCAGAAGTGGTTTTTGATCACATATTATTCCCTAGAAAGCTACCAGGCAGCACTGAAAGTAATTTCAAATTCCACTTTTCCACAACTTCATTTTTTCGTTTATATTTTCCCTGTGCTTTAAGAAAGTGAAGGAATATTCGTCTCAGTCAAGTTGGAGCCGAGCAAGACACTCACTGGAGGGTTTGTAGCTCTCCAATTCTGAATCTATAATCTCCTTTGAATGATGAATGTCTTCAGGATTATGTGAAAAATGTAATCCATTAAATCACCAAATAATTTACCTCCTACAAAATTTATTTCATTCAATCACTCTCTGGTTTTCAGGTTAAAGGAAGTATCAGATCGACTCAATAGATTTGGACAAACTTCACAGATACCAACTGCTCTCAGCAGTTTGAAGGTAGCTGTCAAGCAAATTGCAGTTGGGCCAAATCATTTCGCTCTACTGTTGGAAGATGGGCGTGTTTGTAGAGTTGCTTTTTCCATTATCTCCGATCGTTTGGACTTATCTAAAGCTGACCCCAACAAACAGTAAGTTCAATAAAAAATTCGCTCTATTTTTAACTGTCATTTTAGTCCGTCTCAATTTGTATATATGATAATACTGCCTTCTGGAAAAAAGAAAAGTGAAAGTAATTTCGAGTTGAACATTTTTGGGGGTAAGGGCAGCAGGGGTGCAGAAAATGCTCAAACGCGCAAGCCTTGGCTTGCAAGTGACAAGAGGATGGTTTTTGTTATGAAGTCCTTTTTTTGGCAGCAATAAATCACTCAGAAATAGAAAAGCGCCGATTTCTTAAACTTTTTGTTTCTCAGATTTGTTAATGTCTTAAAGGAGTGCGCTAATTTTGAAAGAGAAAAAAAAAATTGAGGCTAAGGTTTTGTCTGATTTTTGCTCCAATGAAATTTCAGAATCCCTGGAGGCGGGAGTGGGGGAAATTGAAGCTTTTTAATGTACCTTGTAGAGTTAAGTTATTGAGGCTAAAATTTTAATGGTTTTTAATTAACCTGTAGTTTTTATCTTTACATGTTTTTTTTGCCCCCCCCCCCCATTTTTTGAACATAGCTTTCCTGCTTTCTAAAATATTCTTAAATTTCTTAGCGTGTGTGAAAAAAGTTTTTTCCAATATCTCAACTTATAATGATATGTGGTTCGAATAACACCTAGTGCTGTCAAAGTTGATTTCTTATGAGTGCTTTTAACCTTCTCATCATTTTTGGTTTTTTTGTTTGCATTATTCTCATATGCTCTTCAGTTTTTCTTTAATATAAAATCTCATAGAAATTTTTGAAAATTTCTAGACGGGGAAATGCACACCTAACACCTATATTTCCTCAACTGAGTGATTTTAAGAATTTGTTTGGTTTTCTGGCAGGAGACATTATCAACTCTGTGACTCATTTGCTCATTGAGTCTTTAATTTTTTATTTTTTATGCCTCCATTTTTATGTTTGCTAGTGTTTGTTTTCTTGTTTTTATGTTTGTTTACATTGCTGCATCTATATTTTTGTTGCTTTCACCTTAAACATCTCTCGGGTTTGTAGAATCTCTCAAGCTCTGAGACACTCCTTTTTTTCCAGACACAAACCCGGCTCCGGGGGTGGTGGAGGCTCGTCTGGTGGTGGCGGAGGAGGAGGTGGTGGGGGCGCAGGCGGAAGTGGAAGCGCAACGAGTAATGGAGGCGGACGGCAATTAACGCGCACTCGGGCTCGAATTATGCGTACCTCTAACTCTGTCGTCCGAGGCGGTATCACTCCAAGCAACACATCCCGCACCTCCTCCAGCGTCATCATGGGTAGTGGATCTATTTCCAATGCCAGTTCTAGGCCTATGGTCCCTGCGCCTGTTTACGTGCCTGAAGAATTGGTCTCTCAAGCGCAAGTTGTGCTTCAAGGAAAATCCAGAAATTTAATCGTGCGAGAACTTCAGGTAAGATTTGGGAATTCTGACTCTCTTTTTATATCAGATCTGTGTTTCTTTGTAAAAAACTTCAGACTTTTTTAGCAACGACTAGAACATGGTTGCCACAGTCAGGGAATGCTAGGAAAACCGGGAAATGTCAGGGAATTTTTAAAAGTCAGGGCAAACCCAGAAATGTCAGGGCAAAATTGAAAAGCACCTTTATTTGTTCTCTAGAATGGGTTTGACGTATCGAACAACAAATTGTACCCAAAAACTATTTCTATTTATGTCTGTTTGACCATCTGCCATATCTTTAATTGTCAGAGAATTTCACCAAAATGTATCAGGAAATCAGGAAAATGTCAGGGAATTTCATTTTTTGGATTTGGTGGCAAATCTGATTGAAGCTTTGATTCCTCCTCAAGATTTGAACATAGTAGTTTACAGAAAATTTGGAAACATCAAGAACTACCATCAGCTTGAAAAAATTAGAATTTTTCAAGCTGAAAAAAAACTCTTAAAAGTCTCAGTCTCTGTCAATAATCAAATTAGACGAGAAACTTCTAAGAATTATCATATGAAACCAAAAAGTATCAGAATTTTTGCTCGTCAATCTTAACCTAACGCCAAAAAACCCCTGTTTACAGAGAACAAATTTAGATGTGAACCTTGCTGTTAACAACCTTCTATCACGGGATGATGAAGAAGGGGATGAAGGAGATGATGGAGGGGACTCGTATGTCCCGGAGGACCTCATCTCATTGCTGGATGGTGGTTTCCACACACCTGACCACTCAGTCATCATTGATGCTGAATCAATGTTTTCTGAAGACATGTTCGGCTATCCTCCAATGCGGAACCTGTAAGTATTTAAACTCATCATTTACAATTAATTTTAATGAAATGAAGAAATACCTGCCATCTCAAGGAGAACTGACAAAAATGAGAGATTATAGTCTTCTTGTATCTCCTAGTCTTTCATGGGTTCAGGTTATTAAAAAAGAGAGAGAGTGAGTTGCAAAAAAAGGAACAGGTGTGAATGAAAAAGTTTGCTGTTAATTCCATGACTCAATTTTTTTTATCTTCTTACACCTAGGCAGATATGAAAAACCTTCTCTTCGAATCTGCATGACCTGAAGGCAAATGCAGTTTATTTTTCATATTTTATCAATTTCTTTCTTCTGAATAAAGCAATGATTTGTATTATAAATTTTACCTTAAATGACACTATGCTTGTATTTTGTGATAGAAGAGGAAGCTCAAGCAGTTCTCGCAGGCTCGGAAGCACAAGTGAACGGGATCGTGGAGATGGTGCAGATCGTTCAGATCGGGACAGAGATAGGGATCGAGACCATGTGCGAGAGCACTTTTCTCGGTGGCGCGGAAGTCAGTACTTCGGACCAAGACGGTGGTTAGAGACGGCTCTTCGAGACTCTAGCTGGGACAAAGACTCAGGTAATTCATCTGGAAAACAAAGGAAATTAAGTTTCAATGTTCCTCTTTTGATCAGCAATCATTGGATTCTGCAAAAAGCAGTTATATTCTTACTATCTACAGATTTGCATCAGCTTCATTGCAAGAAAAATTCTGTCATGACCAAACTCTGACAACTTTTGTGGCGAGGACTGTAACAAGGTGCGTTAGAAGAAAGTGTCTGGGGATTTCTTAAGAACCAGTAACGTCTGGAGAAAAATTAAGAAATAATTCTCTTACTGTCATGCATTAGGAAATTGTAGGTCTTTCATTGAATCTTTACCGGAAAAATAGCAAAGTAATTCTATTGCTGGGACTCCGCTGGAAGTCATGGACTGTTCTTGGACTTACAGGAGAAAACATCATTGAAAATTACATTGATTTTCATTCAACAAAGAAAAATGCATTCCAGGGGAATTTTCCACCTTGCTTGATTCTCAAGTTTTCTTGACAAATTTACCGTATTATTTTTTGTTGGTAACCCTAGTTCAGGTTCTCCTGTAATTACTCTAGCAAACTAAGAGTATCATCCTTTGATAAGTACTTTATTTTTTCCTCTATTGTTTCAGAGAGTAAAAAGAAAGAGTTGGCACAACAAAGTCCTCTATGGATGTCCGACGATGTCGAATTTTGGTCAGATTACAGGAACCCCTACAGTCCTGTCCCTAAATTTGTTGCCATCGCATCTCTCTATTCAGAGTTGATCGCTTTATCCTCTACTGGCCAGTTACATCAGTGGAAGTGGAATGAACCAGAGCCGTACAGAAATCCAGAAGTAAGTAATGCTACTTCCCTTTTAGTGTCTTAAAAATCTTCAGAGTTTAATTCATTCATGCATATTTAGTTTGACGTTCTACTTTTTAAAACATTTTTAGTCTCTTGCATAAACTAGAGATTGTATTTACTTGCAATAACTCATTGCAATGTGAAAAAAATTGATTAATAAAATATGAGTCATATTCTGAGATCTCCTTCAAAAAAAAAAAAATCTCATAGAAATTTCCAAGTCTGTAATTTCAAATTCTTATTTTTCATGACAGTGCAGCAATCAACAGGTAACTAGCAAAATTTTGGTCAGACCAATACAAATTTTTCAAGGAAACAAAAACTAAGTTGAATTTTCTATAATATCATCCAATTTCTTTCATTGTAATCCAAATTTTCCTTTTTCATTTTGCAGAATCAAACCTTTCATCCCAAAACTATTCCTCTGGGCCTAGCTAGTGAAAAAATTCTTCATTTATCTGCTTGCACCATACGGTGTTCGGTTGCTGCTGAAAGCGGCAAAGTAGCAACCTGGCTTGATGAGTTGTTAAGTAAGTGTTCAGTCCATTTACCAAAAGAAATTTGAAGATCTAGGCCTATACTGGCCCTTTTGAATTGATGGCGAGTCAACATTTAATGCAGGGGTGCTGAAAATGCCCGATTATGCGCCCGCCCGGGTGTGTGAACATTTGAAAAAGCCCTCACAAATGTGGCAGCAGCAAAAATGTTTAAGGGTCCCAAGTTAAAAATCAAAGGATCGAAGAGAGAGAAGGTCCTCTGATTTGAAATTATAGGGAAATTATGTTGAAACTCGATAAGATTCTGCACCCCTGCATTCAATGTACATAGGTTATGCCAAATATAAGTAAAGTAACGCCGCCATTTCAAAACTAATGATTCTAAATACATGATCGGGTCTCATTTTAGTCATCAGATTCTGAGCTATCAGTTGAGACCCTAATTATTTTAATTGCTCAAAATTTGACCAAGTCATGTTAGTTTTAGTGAATAGGTAGTGAAATGTTGTTGCCTACGAGTTTTGTGGACCACGATATGTGGTCCCTAGAGAATTCCTACTAGTCTAGATTGTGTACTGATGAAAACATAGGAAGAAGACATGTAATCCTCTGGTTATTTTTTTTTCTGGACAAAATCTTAATATGTTGTCACATTTCAAAATCATATTGTGGAACATCTATAAAAATACTCAAAAGGTTTTCTCTACGAGTCAGTTTTTCCGGAAATGGCATTTCTCATCCTGTTTTAATTAATTCCTATCTGCCTTCCACAGGTCATGCTGCAACAAGCAAGCTAGAACATCCAGCACAAAGTTACACAGAATTCTCTGTTGATCCAATAGTGTCTCTTCACACCTGCTCTTTGTACACAGTAGCCCGTTTAGAATCTGGGGCTTTGTACTGGTGGTAAGTTTTCAGTTCTCAAATTTTTTAATCTACCATCCACTCAGTCCTCCAAGCTTTCTCATTAGAGCTGTCAATGAAAATGAAGAAAAGTTTTGGTCAGAAGTTATTGCTGGTTTTTTTTTCTTCTTTTTTTTTTTCTTTGTGTAAACACTAGATTATAAAACTTGTGCCGGGCAAGCATTCACATTTGATCAAGACGTATAGTCAACAGATATAAATCTTATCTGAGTCTGATCTGCAGTGCATGGCAGCACTGTTGAGATTGGTTGCCATGGTCATATTGACACCAGGCAGAAAAGACGTCAATTGGTAGACAGCGCACAATAATCAATTCTCAAAAACTGTCAACTCATCTGTGCCAAGCTCTGATCGACAAAAAACTTACTATGTGAAAAGATGATGAGTTACAGCCATCTATTCAGAAAATATAGATGAAACAGGAATGTTGGTACTGGCTCGCTTGGTTGTTACCATCCGGGAATAGCAAGCACAGCCCCTTTTGTCGTTTTAATTCGACAGGTTTATGTATTTCTAATCGATGGCTTTGCGCTTTTTTCAGGGGTGTCTATCCATTTGCTCAAAGGAAAAAGTTGTGGGAAAAATTCCGTGCCAAGTCTCACAAACAACGTCCATCATCATCAAATGGAGAACTTGTTGTTGGCAGTCAAGTCTGCATGAAGAACAGTCCCATGTATCAGGCAAAAGCAATTGGTAATTATCATCACTTTCTTCATTTATTTTAAGAAAAGAGAAAAGTCAGGGTGTCTACTGCATGAAAAAAGTATGGATACACCGGTAAAGCACAGATTTCAGAAGGTCGTCATGAAAGTACAGAAAAGGTACGGATTTTGTGCGAATAGATTGCGTGAATTCAAGATTTTCATAATGAGCTCTAAAAAAACGTCCTTAGGGTATGCAATTTCTTAACATATTCCATTTATCAAGTTTCCAGTTGGATTCCTCGTGTTTTTTTGGTTCATTCCCCTGTCATTCCATCATTCTACTCCACCATTCCGAAGTACATTGATTGATTATGAAAGATAATTGAGAAAACTATACATCCTAGTTGTTGAAAAAACTATCTATCAAGTGCCTGCAAAATAAAACACAATATGAATTTTCTTCAGAAAATATACAAAAAACATTCTGTCCTTTGCTTTGTGAAAAATCTGTGTGAGGTTTAAGGAAAAAGCAAGGATTTTTGAGAATCCCCCCGACAAAAGGAATTTTTCAAAAAAAAAAGGAAATAGCAACGTAAAGGTACTGAAAAAGCAAGGATTTTTAATAACTTGAGTAATAGTAGACACCCTGAAAATTAAAGAATTCAATAGGAACAACAATCGTTCAGTAAAAAGTCTCTATTGTGAGCAGAGTACAAAGTGTAGCAATTACATTATTTTTATAGAAGAAAATTATGGTTGATTCTGAGCACCCTCTCAATAGCTCCTCAAATACTCTTGGGTATTTTTCTACAATCATAAAAACTCAAGTGTTTTACACTGGTTTTGATGTTTCCCGAGTCTTTGATTTAATTCCTCAATGCGTATCTTAATTTCAGGTTTCTGCATTTCCAACGGTGTCCCGAAAGTCGGGCAGTTGTTGAACGCCGCATGGAATTTGAACGACGTGTGCCGTTTCCAAATTCTGTCGGTTCCTCAAACCTCATCGCCAACCACTTTGCCTTCATTCTCGACTTCCTTGGCGCAGAGCTCCATCCCATCCTCTCCGAGTTCTGGCAGTATGCCAGAAGCTGGTGCTAGCCGTCCGTCCTCGCTAACAGCTGCTAGCCTTGCGTCTAAATCATCACTGACACCGAGTCAGAAGGAGAACTCGGACCGACTAGATATGCCACCCCCTCCATCCCCAGCATCAAGCACCTGCAGTGATACCCCAAGCACATCGCACAGTAAGTGAATTTCTATTCTTACGTCGCGCAATGTAGACTGAATGAAACAAAGAGTAACTTAGTTTAACTTGAATGTGGCCGAAATTGGAAAACACATCAATTTTAATTCTGATCGCGGCTCTAACTTGTCTTTGTCTCATTGGCTATATCTTTTTTCAAGGGGACCCTCCTTCGTTCTCATCAGTATTTTGGACAGTAGTGTTCTCTTATTAGTGAAATTCGAATTCTCCAAATTTTTGGAGAACATTATTGAAAACATGTAAAAAGAAAGGACCCCGCACACCTCTTATGGGAAGCTGCACCATGACCGATCGCTAATTGACTCATGTAATTCAATTCTCCTCAAGACGCTGATCAAAAGTTATAATTGCGCCAACTTTCTACGATGCACCGTTTTCACAAAAAATCAAAGAGAAGATTCAACTATTCGGCGAATATGAATAAAAAAGAACAAAGCATTTGAGAACAGGCCCGATGTAAATAAGGAAAAAACGTAGGGCGTGTCCGTCTTCTTATCTGTACCTGCAGGCTCAGGGGCCATCTCCCTCCTGCACTCGCCCGGTAGACGTTCAGACTTTCCTGTTCTTATGCTCCTCAAGAATCTGATTTGGATTTTCGAGCAAAACGGCGTGTTGAATCCGAGATAAGACTGCCACTTGGTGCGGGAGTCCCCATGATTTCCTTGTTGACACACAGCCGCTTGTCAATCGAGCACTGAAATGAGGAATCTTTCTGGCTTTTTACCACCGAATAATTGAATCTTCTCTTTGATTTTTTGCGATAACGGTGCATCGTAGAAAGTTGGTGCAATTATAACTTTTGATCAGCATCTTGAGGAGAATCGAATGACATAAGTCATAAAGCAATCGGTCATGGTGCAGCTTCCCATAAGAGGTGTGCGGGGTCCTTTCAGGAAGTTTTTAAAAAAAATCTTGATCGACTATTTTATGTGATTTAATTGCAATATGAGTTTTGTAAGGTCAAAAATGAAGATTTATGCATCTGTCTTTCACTCTCATTGTATGTATAAGGCGTCTTTGGAATCCATCCGTCAAATATTTCATAAAATCAACTGGAATGTATGTGTAAGTGAGCAATTTAAATGTTGTTGAAATTGTTGGTTTTCCCTAGTCCAAAATATAATTTTATGGTCAATGGGATCCATCTACACATTCCCTTTTTCAGTTGAAATTTAACTTGGTAATGGTGAGCCAAGTCCAAATCATTGAAAATTATTAATTATGTTGACTTCATACTGACCTTATGACTTATGACTTTTTTTTTTATCATTACAAATTTTGAGCAATGTGCTTTAACAATCAGTTGAGAATTGAGTAGGTTAACCTGCCTGTAAATTCATTCATGTCCTCAAATTTTTCGTTCCAGAACGCCCCAAACGTGTCGCTCCAAAAGACAACAATGAAGATTCAGAGAAGAAAGATGAAGAAGAATGGTCGTTGAATGACGTTATATTTATTGATGACATGAAAACACTCCCTATCGGAAGAGTCGTCAAGATTGATGGCATTTTCGCTGCTGTCAAACTCTCAAGCGCAACTTCAAATCCGAGTGCCCCTGCCAAAGATGCTGCTCCCAATAAAGAGCAGAAAGACCCAAATGCGTTCAATGATGAAACCATATCCATCCTTCAGGACTGCCGATTGCTGAGGAAAGATGAATTGCAGGTTTGTTTATGTTTGAATTTCCAACCTTGAATTATGGTCAGAGAATGGAAAAATCTGCAGGAAAATTTTTACAGTGTGCTTAGGAATCTGAAAACCAGGCAGAAGCTCTGATAACAATCCCCTGATCACGAAAATGAGAAACAAAATAACGCAAAATCGGCGATTTTCCGGATTTTATGCGTAATCCGCGAAATCATCAATATTTATCCATGAAAACTGTGAAACCCGTACATTTTCGTGAAATTTACGTATATGTGCATGTAAGACGAAATTTGCCCCGCTTATTTTTCAAAAAAATAATATAAAAGTATAATGTAGCAATATGGAATTACAGAGTTGTTTTGAGCATTGGTCATTATTGGCTACGGCCTCAGTGCCTCTGTAAAATAGGACTAGAGAGAGAAACACTGAGCCATGGCCCGGTACATCAAATTAAAAGCTTAATTTCAAGCTGTCAAATGCAAAAAGCGCTACAAAAATAATGTCGAAATCAGCAAAAATAACATGGAAATTGGTGAAAAATAACAGAGAAATTAGGAAGAAATAACAACAAAATTTTCCAATCTCTAATTATGGCGTAACCTGAAACTAAATATTGTCCGTTTTGGCAAAGCAAGACATTTTTCTTAGAGGTCTTCGGTTAAAAATTTCTCATGGAGAGCTGATAATTGACTTTCTGCATTACCTTTTTGTGAACTTCTTGTTCACTCCTGTGAAGTGTCAAAAGTTGGTACGTAGAGCTGTTCTCAAGAATGAGTTCTCAACTTTCCCAAAGATATTTTCTCTGTTTTGCTGATTCCATCTCTACACCACTAACTGCATATTTTGGCAGGAACCATACGTAGACCAACAGAAGTGATATAAATTTTGTGTTGCAACTTAGTTGAATTACACAGCTTTCTTACTCAAAGTCAAATTTCTAATAACTTTTTTTCAATTATTTTATAGGTTATCAAAAATAATATGACATCATCCAGAGCTGTGGATTGTTTCCAACGCACTCCAAGGCGAATCAGCATTCCAGACTCTGGAAACCAACAGCTTCTCACGGTGGCAGTAGACGGCCAAGGTATGTTTCTTCATCATGTTTCGCCAAATCCTCAACTCTAATTGTCTCACTCAAGCGAAATTATACTTCTCAACTGTCAGTGTTTTATGTAACAATTCTTAGTGGGAAATCTAGTTTTCGTGAGCTGTATTTAGCTGTACACAGAGTTATGCAGTCTTAAATGTAAAACTTGTCGCTTGGTGTGCAAAATTGTTAAAGGTCAATCTTGGAAACCTAAATATGTTGAAAATTTTAATTGAAGTCACGCAATGCTGTTTAAATATTAAGTGATAATGGAAATTTTCAAGTTTAAAATGGATAAAATTTTGTGTTACAGGTGTACATGCCATCGTTAAAACTGGATCCAAGGTGAGCTACATGATCTACAATGTCACCAACGGAAAAATCGAGCAAGACAGCCCATTCCCTTCAGATACATCCTCCCTCTTGGGCCTGGATTCCAGTCAGATCTCTTTCTACACAACAGGAAGTGTAAGTTAAAATTTCACCCGTTTAAGACCATATCGACGGTGTAATTCGGTAATCACATAACTCATTTGCGGTGTCTAAAAATCTCCGCCTCTATGTTATTTTTTTAAAGGAGATCAAATTGACATCATTCCTTGAAGTTTTTGCAGAATTTTCTTCCCACAGAGAAGAAAAATCATGGCAGTTTTAAAGAATTGTCGTTGAGTGGTTTTCCGTTTAAAAAATAAGATATGACAGGGAGTCTGCGACGTCGCAAACCGAGTTATGTAAATGCCCACTTACACCATCGATATCTGTAGCAGTGGCAGATGTTGATATAAGCCATTTTACAAATAAATTTTTATTTTTGATTTTCAAATTTTATAGAATGTTTTTGCGAAGTTTCCGACTTCTTGCACAATTTTTTAATGATATTTGAATGATAAACAAATGTAGTTAAAGTTACACAGGATGTTAGAAAAGTCCCCCCGCTCCACTAACTTTTCATCTAATTGAGGTAGAGATTTGAAATTTGGGGAATGCTCCTCACTACGTTGTGATACTTTTTATGAAAGAGCTCAAGAAGAAACTTTTTCGAGCAAACCCTACATCATTACCTGAAACTGTTCCAAAATGGTGGCTAGTGATAGTTCAAAATTGACATCTTAGTTTTTTGCTGATGAATCTGCCTAGAACTAGACATCAGCGGCTATTTTGGAATGAAGAATAAGAATTTGATGTTAAGTTTTCAAAAAAACAAAGTTCATCAAAATGACAGTTTGAAAATGGCACTATGTTTATAATCTAAAAATAAAGGGGAGATATGCTGAAGTAGGTGTATCTTTCAAACTTCAGGAAACTTTTGAACTAAGATTGGTAATTCTATTGTGGCAAAGCAAGAAGTTTCAAGATTTCTTGTTTATGCTCTCCTATCATTTTTCCGTCTTATTTTGTTGTATTTTCCGTCTCACGTTTCTCTTTACTTACATTCTATTCTTTCTTACAGAGTACTGATAGTGTGTTCATACTGCGAGATGGAAACTCAAACATATTACCGCTGGCAAAGGACTCATTAGACTCGATGAGAGATGCCCAGTGGCTTGACTTGCCAGCAATAAAATGTGTTGGTGCTGGCACCCATGCATTATCTAGTGTTCAGTCCTCGGACATGAAGAATCAAGCAGCTCTGATCATTCTTGCCATTGATACCACTGTCCTCATGTCTCACATACTGCGGTGTCAGATAGATAATGTCAAATCTGTGATTCAACAATTGGAAGTTGACAGTAAGTTTTCTCAAGATTATTTTATCCTTCTTGTCAGTTTAATTACATGCCCTTAATATGCCTATTTCCCCTTGTCGCCACTAGTGATGTCGCTATTTTCTCAATTTCCTCTGAATACCATCCAATTTTTTAAGCTGACTTTCTCAGTTTTGCTTGGCAGTAAACATGTGAAGGCCACATTGGTTTTGTCCTAGTTGTTAGATGATTTTACCTAAAATTTTAAAATGAGAAATGATGAACTTAGGCCGAATCTGAAAGATTGGAGATGTTCAGTGGCTCCTCGTGCTTCTATGAGTTGAGCCTTGACACTGCAATCAGTGATATAATTCGGGAAGCGTTAAATTTTTTTTCTGATCTCAGCTTTTACCCTCAGTGGTTGCTGTTTTTAAAATCTTAAGCGAGTTTTTTGTCGCACTTGTTTGTAACTTATAACTTGGTGAAACTTGGGAAGTTTATTTTGGCACTGTCGTTTTTGTTGCAGAGAATGAAAATACTATCAAAACAATTCTGAATGAACGGTGCGATGGAAACCGAAATATAATTCATGCGTGTGTTTCAATGTGCATGCCCACATCTAATAAAGAAAACGAAACAGGTGAGTTACATACTTTTATTTTTCATTGCTACTGAAGAATCCAGTTTCTCATCAATTCTGTGTCAAGAAAAAGTGAATTAATTTTATCCCCGAAAAAAGGCAGGGATCACCTTTTGTCCCGTTGTGACACTTTTATTGTCAGTGATTTCAAGCAAGATGAGGCACGTCAGCAGAACGGCTGATGTTGATAGTTTGTTGGTCGTACTCCTTGTTTGACATCTCTGGCATTGAGCGGGACCTAGTGCTCGTCTTTATGAAGGAAGCACTGTGTGTTCCGGGGGCTCTCTCTCTCTTGTTCATCTGACTTACCGGCACCTTTGAGTTTGGGATCCAGCTCAAGTGTGTCTGGAGAGTCACCTTTGAAGTAAAACACGTTGTGCATAATATAAAGTCTCAACCGCACACATGGGTTTCCCTTCACTCTGACCACCTCCCAAAATCCTCTGCTCAACAGTCCTTAGGTTTACTGACTAATGGACCCCTAGATAAGTTACCAATTAAGCATTCTGATAGATGTAATATAATTTTTTACCTTCATTACCTCCTGCCTCACTCTGCTATAAGTGATCTCTCTCTCTTGTCAACAGATAGCTCAACGCCTTCTAGCGGGCTCGAGTCAATAAATGTCATTACCAACGCTCTAGGCTCACGATCTGTCAGTCTCCGTGAAATGATGCGAAGAGCATCAGTCGCTGTGAGAATGGGTAAGTTAGTTTATCAGCATTTCTAAAAGTTGCCAGTTTGTTCGTATTTTTTCATTTTTTACAGGTTAATGAAATGTAAAACTTTAGTCATTCCTTGGAATGTACCAAATTAAAAACCCTTTCACTCTGAAAAAAATGTTTTCAGACCTAATGTATGCACACAAAGAGAAAAAGCTGCATATGCCAAGTTAAAAAATCCTAATTTATGTTCTAAGCCATGTTAATAAACCCTAAAGAAGTGCAATTATAGTAGCATCGAAATCAGTAAAAAACAGCATCAAAATTGCTCAACGTCCTGTGCTGGGATTTTTTGAGTACTGATTATGCAGCTGTTTAAATAATTTTCATGCTCTTCTTTTTTTAATCATAAAATCTGCAATGAATTACGAAAATATGTGAAATACCGGAAATTTTTTTTTCTTCCAATCCTCATTCTTGCTCCCTTTTGTAAATTACAGATCGAGGTAGAAGTAGCGACAATGCCAGCTCTGGCGCCTCAGCGCTCCAATCAAATTTGGAAGACAACATCCCGTCACTCTGGCCAACCAACGAAATGGTGGATACCACAAGTGGGGACGAAGACAGTCTTCTTGGTGCTAACAAAACCTCATCGGGGACTCCACCATTCAATACTTCATCAACCCCCTCCAACAATGTCAACAATAACAATGTTGTAGACCCCGTGGAACGGCGAATAAATGCTCTGGCAATATTGAAGCTGATCTGCGAATCTCATGTTCTCCAGCCGCACCTTGTGCAATTACTCTCAGCAAAGTAAGTTTCTTCATGAAATTGTTAGTTGCAGTTTGCTTAGTTTATTTTAGATAGATTTTTTTAAGTACGTGTCTGTGCACCTGGTTCTCCTCTACCAGATCATTCTAGTTGGGCCATTCTTCCCCAAAGCAGATGAATGAATCCCACTTGGTTAATCAAGGGATATGGTGCCAGCTAAAGCTCAGTATTATTTGACATTATATTGATTATTATCATATTGATGTTCCCTAGAATGATAAACTTTCAAAATTTCTAACTGAAACCTTCCAATAAAACAATTTCATTGTCGTATTTTCCAGAGACAGCCAAGGTCAGACTCCGTTCATGCTGGCTCTCTCCGTGCGTGCGTATCAAGCAGCGAAAACAATTTACAGCACGATAGACCGTATTGTCAACAAAATGCCGCCACCACCATTGGTCTTGTCTCAGCCTACAACTCCGTTCGCTCAGGAGCAGCCGCCCCTTGTCGATGATTTGACGCACTATTCATCCCTTGCATCTGGAAACAATACCACACCAACAAGTAACCCATCTGCTTCTCCTAATACCACTCAACACAAGTTAAAGTGTGTCTTGTCTGCTTGGTTCGCCAAAGGTAAATAGAGCTTTTGCTGATGTTGAGTTCGCTCTAGCGCTAACTCTCTGTAGAATCAAGTATTGGTTATCCTTTGTGAAATTATTGCTGTTAATCTTTTTTCAAGTGGCAATATTGACAGAATGGAAGAGCAGATACTTGTATTTTTCAACAGACAAGTGAGCCTATTACTTACAAAAAAAGAAATAAATACAAACTTTGGCAATTGGCAAACAAAAACAGATTTAAAGGAAAATACCAGCAAAATACTTTGCAAAAGAACTAAGATATTAGTTATCCCTCTCACTAAGCGTTCAATATATTTTGATTTTGATATATTATGAGGGTTGATAGCCACTTAGAAAACCGGAAATATATGAACACTTCCTAACATCCCAAATGTTCCACCTATAGCTATGCTGGAACATGTGATGGAATCATATTCCTGTTTTATTTTCTGAAATGTCAGTCACTGATAATTGATTTTTCTTGTGAGCAGATGCTCAGCCAGTCGCAATGAACTACAAGAAGACCAGTTCCGGGTCTGGGGAAGAGGATACATCTGGATCAGCTCGCCAGCAGAGTTCGTCAGAACAATCGAAAGCTGGAGCGAATAATTTAAGCTCTGAGTCGTCTCAACTCATGGAGTCGATGATTTTTCCTCCTGGGTCGAATCTTGACTTGAACCCTCTTCACATTATCTGCTGCAATGACACATGCAGTTTCACGTGGACAGGAGATGTTCACATCAACCAGGTACTCATCTCTTTCTAAAAGCGTTACTCTTCCATGCTATTACGTATGCTGCCATCAAGAAGGATGGCCTTTGTTGAAGGTTACAACCATCTGTGTTGGAGAGGGAGGAAAAAAATCATCAAGGTTCTGTCTCCTAAACTTTTATTAAAGGGAATCTTTGCCAGCTAATGTTTTGGGTGGAAGGGGGTTTAGGAAATATTAGGGTTTATCTTAATTTATTCACTAATCCCCCCCTCCTTCATTAAACGCTTTTTATAAGTGCAAAGATCAATTTTTTAGTGATTTTCAAAAATTCCGTCTAAGATAGATCCTCTCTTTATCCAAGTTCTATGATAGCTGAGTTTATTTGTCACTAAATTGCTCTCCTTTTTTTTTCGCTTATGACATTCTCTCTCTTTACTGGGTGCGGATTTGTAAGAACTTGTATTACTTGTTTTGCATGGGCTACAAACCCAGTTGTTTCATAAACACATAAAGTTAGAATTTCAACTAATAGGTTTGACTGACATTGATTTGACACTTGCATTCTTAATTTTGGCCAGGGACTCCTTGTATCTTGTTTTTGTTGAATTCTCATTTGGCTCTAATTTTTATCAGGATATTTTTGAGTGCCGTACGTGTGGATTGATCGGAACGTTATGCTGCTGCACAGAGTGTGCCCGAGTCTGCCACAGAGGTCATGACTGCAAGATAAAACGCACTGCGCCAACAGCCTACTGTGATTGTTGGGAAAAAGGAAAGTGCAAGGCCTTAGTTCAGGGCAACCAAAATCTTAGGTTCTCTCTCCTCTGCACTCTCAGTTCAGAAACGGACCTCGTTTTGAAGCCAAATAGTCGGTGAGTATTTGACCATGTTGTAATTTTTGCTTGGTTTAAATCAATACTAAAGCCGGAAAAAGTACCCAAATTTACACATTGATGGATTATAGGAAGTGATGGACAGTTAGTGATCTGTACCCACCAACATGATGTAAGTGAACAAAACTAAAAACAGGATTTAAAACAGGTACTTAAAAAATCTTTGAAACATATTCTTAACTACTTATTTCACTGGGATAGATATTTCAGCCATAAATATCTGAGAAAGTGCTTTATGCCTCTGAAATCCTTTATTTAGCAGTGTGAATTCTTTAAAATATGTGGTGTCGTCTTTGTAAAAGTTCTAATGTCTCAATTTTTTAATCATTTTCTAGTGGTGAGAATATCTTGCTATTCCTTGCTCAGACAGTAAGTCGTCAAACTGTAGAGCAAAGACAGTACCGCACTTCAAGGTCGCGCTCAACTTCTGCCACAGGATCAAGGAAAACGCCCGCAGCAGAGATGGACACAGATGTGCCAGAACACGACCTTGAACCACCTAGATTCAGCCGCAACGCACTTGCTCACTTGCTAAGTGACTGGCTTGCTGTCAAGAGCATGATTTTATCAGGTATGAATCCTTAACTTATGTCTCAAATGTGTTTTTGCTTTGACCTCTTAAGAGTAAATAATTATCCAATCAATTAATATTTTTTTTTTATTTTACACCTTAAAGTAGGTTATAATGATTAGGCCATTCTGCAATGTGTGTTTAACGTGTTCCATGTCATAGAAATGTTGAATTGATATTATTCTGCTATGGAACAAATCATTGAAGAGTTGAGTTCAAACAGCATTAGCCAAGTTTTTAAGTATGTCATGATATTACTAGACATCAGAAAATTTTGCCGCAAAATTTTTAAAATGTGCTTAGGAATCTGAAAACCAGACAAGCACTGATCATAACCCTCTAATCACGAAAATGTAAAGCAAAATAACGCAAAGTCTGCGAAATCCGCACATTTTCGTGAAATTACGTATGTATGCGTTTAAGACGAAATTTGCCGCGCTTTTTTTCAAAATAAGAAATTACAGAGTTGCTTTTGAGCATTGGTCGTAATTGGCTACTAGCTATCAATGTTCGCCAAAGGTATTAAAATACTTACGAATGAAATGGCGGCAACCGGGGCATAAACCATGTGATCATGTGAAAGCTTTATTTTAAGCTGTCAAACGCCATAAGCGCTACAAAAATAACAGCGAAAGCAGCAAAAATAACAGCGAAATTTAAGAAAAATAACAGCAAAATTCTGGAAAAATAACCCTGAAATTGAGGAAAAATAAAAGCAAAATTTTCCAATGCAATGTCTAGGTATAACAGTGACCTTAAACTAACTACGATTTGCGTCGTTCCGCTAAAAGTTGTTATATCAAAGCTAAAGTGTCAATAGAAGAAATTGTGTCCTACGGTGAGTTTTTATGAGCATCGGTTTTTCTGTTTTGTTCTAGGTATTAAAGACGATGACTCTAACTCTCAGAAAAATAGCTCTAACGGAACATCAGGAAGTGCCAACGTTTATTCTGACCATATGTATCTCAACAGTCAAAACGGCACTGCACTTTTGGACAAGTTTACGCACTGTCTTCTGGTGAAATGTTCAGCGGATATGTTAGATGTCCTTCTTGCGACGTTGATCAGAGAGTTGCAAAACACATCTGTACCTGGCCGTCAGAAAGAAGCCACCCTTGTCGCTCGTCGCTTCGTGAGATCTGTAGCCAGAATATTCGTCGTGTTCAGTGTTGAGATGGCCCCTGCCTCTGATAAAAGAAGGGGGTAAGTTGATTGCTGTTGACATGTTTTCAGTTCACGCCAGTTTTTAAAAATCTGCAGGAGTCCAAGTCTCAGTTTGCAGCTTTGTAGACTTCCTGTTATACTTAATTTTTTACATCGAAAAATACTGAATATCGTTTTTTGAAAACCCCTGTCATTTCTCTTCTCCATGAGAAAACTATTATTTGAAAATTTTGAACCATGATGTTGGTTTAGTCTTCTTTTAAACTATAAAATAGGAGCTGAGATTATAGAACATTGCAACGGAGTTACTTATTTTTGCGTTGCCACCGTCCAAATGTGGTTATTCTAAAGGACTCCTCTGACATTGTGTCTAAAATCCAAGAATCTTTTAGAATAAGCAGCTATTCTAGTGTGGCTATTAATGTGTACATGATAGATATTCAAAAACTTCAGAATCTCACAGATTTTCCTTTATTTTTTCTATACCTCTGACTTACCTTGTGTTAACGCATTCACCTAAATATTGACTAATAAATATTAATTACAGTAAGTATCGTCTAAAACTGTATTTAATTTTGATTATTTTTTTCAGAATCAATAACATGTCTGCACCTCTAGTGAAGTGTAAACGCGTTTTTCAATCCCTGGTGAGGCTCTCAGTTGAAGAGTTGGCGGAAACAGCCGACAGTTTAATAGCGCCTGTCAGACTTGGTGTGGCGAGACCTACAGCTCCTTTCTCGCTTTCAAGCTCAGCGATCGAGGTTATCAATGTAAGTTCAATTCATTTTCTACACTACATTCTACTTTTCAAAACCTTGAAAATCTGCTGGAACTCTCTCAAACGGAGATTTCAGTGAATCCAATCCCTCTTTGAGTTTTTTCTCATGAAACTTTTTAAAGAAGTTAAAGAGCGATCACCTACCCAGAATAGATGTTCTTACAGGCGAAGAAGAAGCCCTCAACTGAAAATCATATTCCACGAAGAAGTACCAATTTTTCATCAATTCACAAATCATATTGAACTCTTCTAAACTTTCAATGATATTTTTCATGTGCAGAGATACCTTCATTGAACTGACTCAGTGATTTCATAATTAATATGTCCTTAGTGTTCACGCCTCTTTTAAAGGAGGCCTATTAGGATAAGTTTATTCTTTAAAAATCTTGAATATTTAAAATATTGTTTGATTTATTCTTTTCAGAGCTCTGAAGAACTTTTCTCTGTCGAACCATTGGCGCCTAATTCAGGCAGTTCTCTAAGACATTCCTCCGATATAAGTAGCTCAGTGGGTCTTTCATCCTCAGCTCATGTCAGAAGTCAAGTCGAATTTGAAGATTTTGAAGATTGTAAGTATCGTGAAATTGCCTGTTTTCTAGTTTGACTAGGGGGCTGCGCCCCCTGGCCGCTCCGCCCCCTGGCCGCTCCGCGGTCCAACCCCCCAGAGGCGCTTCACGCCTCTAATAAGCAGATATCGTGAGATCGTTAAATGATCATTAAGAGTTAGGGAAAACCTGGTTAGGAGATGGCGGGAAGCATGTGAGCATGCGCGGCGGGAGGGGAGCGGGGAGTGGAGGAGAAACTGGTTTGTGACATGAGTAGCGTTACACCCTCAGCGTGACACGGCACCCTTATGATTTTATACTATAGAGTAAGATTCTGTTCATTTGTCCAGTCTGCGCATTTCTCTAGATTTTGGCCTGAGTATGTATTGATTTCGACCATTGATATCATTTGCCAACATTTTTAAACAAACTGTAAGAAAATGCAAGGAATATATACATCATGTAAAGTTAACATTTGAACGGCCATTAGACGAGGTACGAATTTAAGCACTCTGTTTCATGTTTTTGAACTAGAATTTCATGTAGAACATGATTCTCTCATCGAAAATTACTGAAATTAACTTTTAATTAAGATATTAATGCTTTCATCGTACATCGGTTACGGGAAATTTGAATTGCTTGGTCACAAGAAACCAATACTCTACGTGAGTCAAATCGCACCTTACAAGGGTTTCGGCAGGCTTCTCAATTGAGCATTGTTCCTTTCCCACGCTTTATTGTTCAAAGTGTAAACAATTTACTATAGCTCAGCCAAAGCATCATGATTGAGGCTACTATATTTTTGTATTGCAAAGACTGCCACGGTAACATTTAGTGTGCGATTTTACTCAAGCTGACCCTTGAGTTTTCACAAGCGGAAGGTTTGAATTCACGCGTCAAGAAACATGGAATATCTTGGTAAGGAGTTAGTCTTTGTAATTTTCGCTCCTTGCGTCGTGTTCTACGTGAAATTTTGGTTGAGAGGCATGTATCAGAGTGCTTGATTTTGTGCCTTGTCTAGTGGTCCATTTTCATTTGATTGTGTGTATCAAAATTCAGTGAAAGTATAAAATTTTTAAAATAATATTCCCATGATTTTCTTTCAGCATTGGCAGCACTAGCCAATGAAAATGAAGGGAGCGACACTGAAGAAGGAGCAGTGGAGCGAGGTGCCGCTAGCGGTAATGGTAACGGTGAACCAGCCTCGTCTGTTAACAACGAAGTTGGTGGTGGCAATGATGTTGAATCTGACACTGAAGATTTGATGGTAGAATCTGAGTCAGATTCTGACCAAAGCAACCAAGATGGAAGCGCTCAGAGAAGCGTGCAAACTGGAGCAACAGCTGGCTCAGATGCAGGTAACGATTTTGAATTGATATCTAAATTTATACCTCTACAAATTTCAAATATGCTTTTTTCATGTCTATTCACAAACTTAATGATTTCAGGCATACTAGAGTCCTTCCCAAATAATTTTACGCACTATTAGAGTGGGGTGGAAGATCAGTTGTCTTCAGTTCAGCACTGAGAGTAAGTACAAGAATCAAGATGGTGGATTGTCTGCCGCACTCTAAAAGTGTGTAAACTTATTTAGTGTGGACAATCAAGTGCCATTAAAGTCTACAACAGATTAAAAAATGTTACTATTTTTTTTTCTTACCTATACCTTTGAAAAAGTGGGTTTAAAATGTCAAACTTGGGTCTTTCCAAATTTTTAAAGTAAGTGCTGAGAAATTAATGAGAATTTCTAATAGAATTGAACTCATTTTTGGAGCCGATATATGTAACATTGAAGTAGTTTGTTAACAGACAATCATTAAGAACCGAGAGTTTATTCAATCAAGGAGGTGAGCATATTTCTGTCTCCTTCATTAATTATGTATCTCGAAAAATTTTCAGAGGATGACTCTGGTGAATCAACTCAACAGGAAGATGAAGAAAGTGAAACAGGAGAAACCGATGACATGGATAATGATGAGTTGGTTCTCCCTGATGAGCAGTTAGAAAGAAGGAGCACCAGCAACGGAACTGGACAGCGTTCCAACTTGGCTCCGCAGTCAATGCAGTGGGCAATCAGAACGCGAGACTCAGTGTCACGTTCTGCCGGTTTCCGGGTGAGCTCGGGACAGTCCGTTGTTTTGATCGATCCAACGACCCTGAGGAGAGCCAACACGGCAACGTCAGCCGTCACAACATCCACTCACGAACCGATCACCATGGCAACCACAGCCAGCTGTCTTGCGAGGGCGTTCGGTATTGTCGTACGGCAGATCACAGATCTCCTTGTCCTCATCCATGATTACTCCACTTTGGCCCCATCCTTGCCAGTCTTGCTGGAAACAAACATGCAAGATCTGTGCCACCTGCAAGTAAGTGTACATCCTTAACTTAGAATATATTATCTTAGATTTTATTCTCCGAACAGAAATTTGGGAGTTAAATATTTTGAAATACAGTGTCCTTGAAGACCACGAGATGATAAAAAATACCAGGGAAGTTTGACTCTTCTTAGTAAAGAAGTCAGAAAACTGTAAGTTTTGGCTCAGACAGCTTCACTCCTGAATTTTATCCTTTTTTCTCTCTCGTAGAATTATCTAAGTCTAAATTTACTGAGAAAACTTGGTGGTTTATTCATAGTCCATGCCCCCAAGAGCGTGAGTTGAAGAATAGAGTTAATAACTGGCTTAACTATTTTTCAAGTGTTGAAGTGTAGTTTTAGGGGATTAATTCAAACAACCCTGGTTTGTTAGAGCCAGTCAACCCTCCAACAATAGACGGAGTCGCTCATTCGCTTAATTCAGCTCCTAAACCATCAGTCTTCATTTTATAGATCGCGAAATGTAAAATATCCAGTGTACACCAGCAATTATATTTTGAACAGCATTTTTCAAGATATAGATTTTTTTTGGCATTTATCGAAAAACAAATTGAATTCATTTATTTTTTAGACTGATCTACATCAGAATCAATTTTTCACACAATTCTTTAAAATCCATCAAGTACAAATGAATTTGACCAAAACTCCGAACTTTGAAAATGATGCCAGTATTGATGTCCTCAATGGTTTCCATTTGAGTCTCGACGGTTGAAGAAAAAGATACCTACAAAAATTGTTTTTATTGGTTTTACGAAGCATTAATTTGTCTTTAAAGTAGCTTTATTTATTATTTACATTCTATCAGGAACCCTCTATCCCTTGTCATAAGTGATTAAGATGCGTCGTTCAATTATTAAGCGTGTCAATATGAAATTTTTCAGAGCTATCTTGAAGGGCCGTTCAAGCCAACCTGGGATTGGATGTTGGCCGTTATGGATTCGACAGAAGCCCAACTGAGATTCGGAGCCTCATTGACTCATTCATCTGAGCCAAGTCATCCGGCCCATCCTCTCCATTCCAGTTCTATCAGTGCTCCATCAGGTGTGTGCATCATTTGAATCTTCTATCCCATTTGATTGTCAATTATTCCTGGAATTTCCAAAAAGTGGAAGAACGAATCGTCACCTTCCGGCCAAAGTATCTAAAGCGCCTTAAAAACCTTTAAAAGTTAAGTATTAAAGTAAAATAAATTTAAATATCAAATATACCTAAATAAGATTGATAATCTTTAATTAAAAAATATATAAAAATGCAGAGAATTAAATTTAGATTTTAAATAAAATTATTTTAGTATTTAATTAAAACTAAATTAAATCAAAGAAAATAAAATGATTAAATTAATATACAGTCTAGATTTAAGTTAACAATTAGGCAATTACCAGGTTTCCATCTGTTTATCAAAAACATAGTTTAAAGAAAAAAATTTTAAATAAATTCTGCTCAATGAATGAATCAAATAGCTGCAGTAAATTAACCATCAGATTGTGTGATTTGATTGTGTGATTGATGTGATTGTGTGCCAATCTCCAATCGGCTGTTATGAACTCAATCAAGACTCAAAATTTACTTGTTCAAAGTCACTGTTAGTATCTGATATGGATAAAATTTGAAGGATAGAGTCAAATTCAGTGTCCATTTTGGTGCTTGTGACAAACTATTTTTTATTTCTGTAGCAAATTCATATAAAACTTTAGACGATAGATGTTTTTAGAAGAGTTCATAATTACAACTTTTGACAGCTGAATTGTTAGTTTTAAACCAGAAAAGTCTCAAATCCCCAAAAGTCAATCTATATTACAATTTGTCATCATTAGCGCTTATGATGCTTTGGCTGGACGGTGACAAAATATAGGCCAATAAGAAACAGAAATTAATACTTAGTATTGTCAATGGAAATTTCCATCGTCCCTATAATTTAGGATGGGTTTCATATTTTGCTCTCAGTTAAAAAAGTTTCAAGACTTCCGAATACTCGGGGAGCAGCACGCAATTTTCATTACCTAGAAATATCTCCCCTTCATGATATGAACCTCCCCCTTCTTTTTCAAGATTTTGTGGGAAAGAGTCACGGTTCATTTTTTTCTTGGTTGCCCTCTCTCTTGCATATTAAATCGATTCCAAATTGATGAGGTCTAATGATCTTGAAAAGTTCTATTGTCGAATTAATATGACCAATTTTTAATTCTGTGATCAGGCTTAGCGGTGCGCTCCAATCCAAATTCGCTGCTTTCACTATCAGCAATAAACAACAACACAGCCACATTTACCACTAATGCACATCAATCAGGTAATGACCTAATTTTGCAATCCGCTGTTGATAAAACAGCTCCTTTAGAGCAGACATTTGCCTGCTTAGCAGTTCTCTGTCCTTACTGAAAAGTTCATTTCATTACCTTCTTTGGTCCTGTTGATTGGCCTGCCAATGAATCAAGCCTTTACTCCTATTTAAATTTACAAGCTGAATGTAAAGCTAGGTTCATTTTCGTGAAGAATGTTTCATATGAGACTCCACATTCTTAGGCTAAAAGCCTCTGTAACCAGTAACCAGTCATCACCAGTAAGACTAAATGTAATGGAAAACAGAGAATAAAAGTTTTGCCTTTTTATGAGGTGCAAGAAAAGTTTATGGAGTACCAAAAAAGTTTTTCAGAGTTCCTGATACTGTAGAACTTAATTTTGGAAGTTAATAGCCAGGGTGTCTACAAGTCCAGAAATTTCCGGAAAGTCCGTAAATAGTACTGATATTTTAAGTATGGTCCGGAAGTACTGAAAAACAGTGGAAAATCTGTAAGAAAGTCCGGAATTTATTTCATTTTTGTGTCAATTTGAGCAAGAAGTTCAAATTTTTGAAATTTCTCAAATTTCGTCAATTGGAGGTACTGAAAAAGTACTGAATTTTTCTGTCAAGGAGGTACTGAATTTCCTTGGGAATGTGCTGAAAAAGTATTGATTATCGGCCTGCCTGTTTTAGTAGACACCCTGATAACCTAAAATTTTACAAATTTTAACGAACTTAAACTGTAACCAATGTAAATTGAGTTTTGTCTATTCCATGGAGTGGTTGCTTTAAAGCAGTGTGAGCATTGTACTGCAAGGTTATTTCATCTATGCTTGTATTCACATTTTTCAAGACTTGATGAACAAAAAATTAAGAATTAAGCTAAAAAGTTTTCGAAAAACAAGCAAGCAGTCCAGATCGGATTTAGCAAATTTTTGCACTTCTCACAAAAAAAAAAAAAAAAAAAAAAAAAAAAAAAAAAAAAACAACTCATCTGCTAACAAATCTCCTCACTAATACTCAGCCAAGAAGTATCGAGAAAAACATTGTCAAGGAAACACACATCCTGCATTAGTAAGAAAGTAGAAGTGTGTGATATAAAGGTTTTGACTTTTCACGTCCTTCGTCCAAAAAATTCACCTAAGATTCTCTCTTTTCAAATTATATTTGTACTCAACTCAATCCTCCATAGTGTAGACTTGGCTCAGACCATGCTTTATTCTGAGTAGAATAACCCTATTAATTTAACTAGGCATTTTTTCTGTCCTGTCAGGCTCCTCCAACACTCATCGCTCCTCAAGTAGCAACAACGCCACCAATTCAGGTAATCACCGTTTTCTGCCTGCCGCTTGCAACACCACGAGGCCTTGAGTTACCTCATCCCATAGTATGTAATGTGATGAGACTATAGTCTGGAAACATATCATTTTTGGCACATAATTCGTCCAAATTGAAAATTTTATTTGTTTTGTGTAGAACACAAGTATTCATATCATTCATTTACATCAACAAATGGTGGCTGTAAAATGTGCCATTAAGACGTTTTGAGGTTTGTCATTTTGGAACCAGTCAATTGCCTTAACTTTCTGAATAATTCAAGGGATACAGTAACGACAGTATTTCAATTTCAATATATTTGTATTTCTTCGAAGGTATCTCACTGAACAATTCTTTTATCACTTTAGGTGTGGAACAAAATCCTGCTAGGCGGGAATTCCTCTCCTACTGTCTGTCGTTGATGAGATCACACAATGCTGAACATGCTGACTCACTCCCAGTCCTAGATGTATCTGCGCTGAAACATGTTGCGTATGTCTTGGATGCTCTGATCTACTACATTCGTGCTATGTCAGGCTATTATCACAACAAAATGGACAGCCTTCTAACAAGCATACCTCTGAACACGGAAGATCCAGTTGCTGGGGAAGCTTGGAATGAGCAGGTAAGGCCATCTGCCTAGGATTGTGCAAAAGTTAGAAAAGTTCTCAAAGTTAAGAAGTTTTATAAAGTCCCTGAGAGTCAAGGAATATTGTTTGTTTTACATGATTGTATGAAACTATAAATGTACAAACCAATGATGTCCCCACCGAAGAAAATCTATCTCTTTACAAGTAGAACTGACGGCTGTATTATCCTAAAGATCCGCTTTTTTGCTCAAGTCAAATTCTCATGAATTCTGAAGCCTTAATATATTCGAAACTGAATTTAGCTCCGGTATATCTTTAGTTGGAATGAGACAGTGGATACAGGATTATTTTGCAACTATTTAAATGTAAAATTTTGTGAAAATTCCACAAAATTGATTTTAAAGTTCAAAACAGCATTTCTAAGGATAGAAAAAGCTAATTAAAATCAGACCAATCAAATTGATGTAGTAAGGCGATGCCTGAATATGAGTTCAACCAATCAGCAAGCCCCTTTTCCCTCTTTTAGGTATATCAGCATCCACTAAAAATTCTGTTTTAAATGAATCCAATTTTCCCCATTTTCAAAACGGAGGGCTCTTAGTCATTTAGGAATTGGAAAAAATCCGAAAAAATTCTCAGGACCTTAGTTCACTCTGTATTTTCAAAAAATGAACTTGAAAAATATTGGTGCCACCGACCCAGTATGTCAATAAAATTTTTTACATTTTTAACTCTGCTTGTCGTTCCCAGGATGAGAACGAGAACGAAGAAAACGATGATGATTTGAGCCATTCGGTGATGAATATGGACACGGATTCAACTCTAGATGAACAAGAGGCTGCTTTAGGAGCCACGGTGAATCTGATAACAGCACCGACAGTATCTTCAACGCCGGCGCAATCGTCCTCCCTCTCGTCAAGTGGCAGAGGCAGGAAACATGTATTCTTCCAAAGATCTGATTCCACTCTTTGTCTTGGTTGCCCGCCTCCAGACCCATTCGACACGCCCATGGCCGAGGCACTTCCGTTGGCAGACCAGCCTCATTTATTGCAGCCCAATGCAAGGAAACAAGATCTGTTCGGCACACCTAAACAAGCTGTCACTGTGCCTGTTACAGGTAATTTCGTTAACATTTAAAAGAAAAACGCCTGTAAGATTTTTCTTTCTTATTTCTGACGATTTTTTGCATAGTTTTGAAAAAATAATCTGATAAAGTAAATATTCATTCTTCCGCTACTTATGAGGTAGAGAGTCTCAACTGTTGACATTGCCATTTATGCCCAAGTTAGTACTAATTTATCAGACTGAGCGTCGTATGGGTAATACTGTCTTAATGTGTTTGAGCTCAATGCTCATCAAGTACTCATTTTGTCATCAGCTCCAGGTGTCTCTCTTATTTGTAGCATTGAGGTATGAAATAATCCCTCTTCATTTCCAATCTATTAACAAAGTAACTGCACAATTTGTATTACTTTGTAAGAATGATTCAAATATCCTGTTTTTTTTTTTGTTTTTTTTATTTTTATTTTTATTTTCTAAAAATGCCAGGATTTGTATCAATCACATCTTGTCCTTAATAGTCAATTTTAGCAATAGTTAAACGAGGGAATAAACGAGCCTGCAATGCAATCGCCGATGAGATGTATGATAGGACTGTCTTCTTGACAACTTTTAAAGAAATTGAAACACCATCAACTTTTTCTGTACACAGAATGATTTTTTTTTTTTTAATTACCTTCAATCTTAAATACAAATATTCTCTAAGGAGATCAAAGCATCGTCTGCCCTATCTAGGCTAGCCTCAGCATACAACTGAGAAAACATAATTAAAAACCTTAAGAAAATGTCATGATCTGTTATGAAAGTCAGTTTATGACCTCAGGGAGAAAATTCCCTCTCCATTTTTCTTTATTTTACTCCTCTTGCTGAACATTAACTTATACTCATGTTGTTGTGTTCTTTACTCCTAGGTGACGGCCCTCCCGGTTTAGCAAATCCATTAGAAGTACTCCCAACAAGGCTAGGTTTGTCGAGCAGGAAACGCCTGGGCAGCTGCTATGCATCTGAAAGTTCTAACACAGAAACCGTTTCTAAGACTGAAAATGAAATTAGTGATGATAAAGGTATAATCAAATTTTTCACTGTTTGTACCTTTTTCCCCCATAGTTCGTCTCAATGCAGGATTTTTAGTGAAATAAGTTTATTTTTTTACTCAACCTTTAGTTACTAAAGAGAGATACTCCGTGTATAGTTCTTTTGTAAATAAATGACGCTAAAATAGAAATGCAGAAGCTCTCCTCTCTTTTTAACAACGTGTTTGCATACTTACGAATTTGTAATCTGAACTACTCAGATTACAACTTTTCTTTCTGAGATCTTACTACATATCTGTCATTTTGGAAAATTAAAGTGACTATCTTTCATTCTTTCTACTTTTGTTTTATTTTTCAGGTATGATGGCAGAGGATAGCCCGCATGATCTCTCAGTAAACAAATCAAGCATGGAGAAACCTGCTACTGCTGATGCTTCCACAGCAACGCCTGATAATGATCCTAACAAATCGGTGCCAATGGACGTAGATCCAAGCATAGTGCGAGCCCCCATCATTGTCGCCGCACCTAGCACAAGTAGCCAATCGGAATCTTTTCCATCTTCAGGAGTCCTCAAGAGTGTCATCGTTCGTGCAGGGCCTGCGCAAGAAAACTTTGCCAATGCCTTCAATGAGACAGCCTCTCCCTCTGTTTCATTCTCCGAACCTGCAGCCTCAGCTAGTGATGCCTCTAAAGAAGGAAACGCCAAATATATGAACAGTAAATCATCAATACCCATCAAACCCAACACTTTCGTAGGTCAATCGATTTCCCACGATCTTCTGCTTGGACGTTGGAGACTCTCGCTTGATTTGTTCGGGCGTGTGTTCATGGAGGATGTTGGATTGGAGCCTGGATCAGTGGTTTCTGAACTCGGCGGTTTTCCTGTGAAGGAAGCCAAATTTCGTCGGGAAATGGAGAAGCTGCGGAACATCCAAAACAGAGACTTCACACTGAAAAAGATGGAACGCGACCGAGTCCAGCTGATTCAGACAACTTTCAAAGAGCTGAACGCTTTGTATCATTCAAGACGCTCAGCAGGCTCTGCCCCGCCATTGGCTGTCAATCGAGTCAAAGTGACTTTCAAAGATGAGCCCGGTGAAGGCTCCGGTGTGGCGAGAAGCTTCTACACTGCTATCGCTGAAGCTCTCTTAGCAAATGAAAAATTCCCAACCATTGAAACAACACCATCCGGTTCTCAGTCTGCCGATTACTCTGTACTGCACAGGATAAAATCTCGAGATAGAGAGCACAGGAGACTGTCCACCAATCAGAGATCTGGAGGCACCAGTTGGTCTCGATGTAGAGAATCAAGGAGAACTTTGTCTTTCGATGCTCAACCATTCACACCTAGTAGTAGTAGTAGTAATGGTAGTAATAGCAACAATGCCAATGCAGATGCATCTGCAAATGGGGTGCCACCACCAGCATCGCCAAATCATTCTTTGAGCGATCAACAGCAGCAGTACGGAGATAGACTGTATCAGAAAGTCCACGCATTGAGACCATCGTTAGCTGGTAGAATCACAGGAATGCTCTTAGAACTGTCTCCCGCACAAGTATTAACAATGCTATCTTCTGATGATGAATTGCGACAGAGAGTTGATGATGCGATGGACATTTTACTGCATCATGGTGATGAGCTGTCTTCAGATTCCATTTTAGGTATGTTTTTTCAATTCATTGCTGTTTGTTATACCTCGTATTAATCTGCTTCTCCTCACAAATCTGGTCATATTGGAATTGGTCATATTCCCCCCCCCCCCTCTCCCCAACTCAACCTGATCTTAATGGAGCAAAAATTGATTACCGTTTCCCATTAGCAATTAATGCAAGATCGCTATCTTGAATTTAAAGTTACAGCAAATTACTCTGACCTAAGCCTCACTGAAAGCATTTCTTTAATGTGCTAAAACAGACAAAGCCTGAAGTCATATTGTGCGAAACGATGTAAGAAAGGAAATGAGTTTTTTATAAGTGGACCGAACGTTTCAAGTTCAGAAAATTTTTCTTTTCATCGTACCAATATTGACTAAAGCATGTCATTTTTATCAAATACTTATTCGTGAACTCTTGTAAATTTTCTTTCAGAATTAGAGACTACCGATGATGCCGGTGAGGATAATGCACCCTTATTCTATTGTCCTGGCAAAACAGGGTTCTATTCACCCAGACAAGGCAAAGCAACATTTGAACGTCTTAGTGCTTTCCGCAACACGGGCAGGTAAAGATCAAATTTTTTCATATATTCAAATTTCAGAGCTCAGGTGATACCATGGTACTTCTTCATGGAAAGTACCAAGTATTTTCTGCAAGTGTCATAGGTTCACTAGTCAGTACGACCTGAGAAATGAGTAATCCTCCCAAACTTTCTTTAACATCCTGATTGAGGGTGTTGAAAGTGCTTGAGGCCGCAAGCTCCGGCTTTCACTTGATGTGAGCTGATATAAAAGTTATTCAACTTAAATGGTTTTTTCCCCATTTGTTTTAATTTGTAAAGCGAGAAATGAGAGAAAATAGGAATGCATACTGGTTTCGAAATGGTATTAGCTTAATGCCAACTTGTAGCACTTTGGTGGAAGGAAGAATTTTTGAAGCTAAGATTACTTCTGACTTTTGCTCTAAGAAACTCTTTGCTCCTTTGATTAATCTCGATTGTGCATTGGCCAATTTCTTAAAAATCATCGATCTTAAAATCAGCTCCTCAAACTGGACATAATTCCTGAACTTACCCCAGCAAAAACACTTTAAGACGACCGTGTTGAATAGAGTGACTCTCAATAGGTCTAAGAGAGCCAGTTTTTTACTGTGACGCGGCAAATTTCATCTATCTTGATTTTGGTTTTTCTCACTGTACCATCTTCTAATTTACGTCTTTGTTTTTATGTTACAGATTATTGGGTCTGTGTCTACTTCAAAATGAACTGTGTCCAATGTTCTTGAATCGGCATGTTATCAAGTGCATCCTTGGTCGACCCGTCAGATTCCATGACTTAGCATTTTTCGATCCTATCATGTATGAAGGCTTGCGACAACTAGTAGTAGACGCTGAATCGAAGGATGCTAACTGTCTTTTCTCTGCATTAGAACTTAATTTCAGGTACTGGAATTTCCGTTTTCTGAGTATTTATAACTTTTTTGGGGTGATATTTTGCCTCTGTGCTTCAGAATTTCCGACTGGTGAATTAAGGCCAACAATAAGTCATCTGATGTTGTAATTGAAAAAGCCTGGACAAGCTCCATCAAATCAGAAAATAGACTTTTCCTAGCCAAATTTTGCAATTTCAGAAAACAAAAATATTGCAACGGTGCATGCTTTAATGAAGAATGACTTGAAATTATTTATGAAGTGTAAAATTGTAGGTTTATTAAAGATTTTTGGTTATGATCGCAACTGAAAATCTTTGTTGCCCCCATCAGTTGCATTAGTATAGAGTGTGTATCTTTGCAACACTGCATGGCAGGGATGCAATTCTTTGGAGGGGGGGGGGGGTGGCTCCAAACTTTTGAGGATGCCTTTCTAAATTTCAAGGACCAGCAAATTCAACTTGGTACTTAAGTTGACCAGAAAATGGTTGGTTTTGATGATTTCACTTTGGCCGCCGATGCCATTTAACCTTGAAAAAATGTGAAAAATGAAGAAAAGCTCCACTGACGACTTTGAAGTTTTCATATTATCAATCTGGGGAACTTTTCTGACACTTTCATCCATAAAAATCCAAGGTACATTTTACTACAGGTATGGACAAATGGAATTTTAGAAAGTCGTCGAAACGCGTAGATTTGACAGCGTCCAATGGTACGACTGCGACGCCATATTGAAAACTTTCTTTTCTGAGAGTGGGTCTCATCAATTTTGTGTTATTTTTCTGTGTTCCTAGTTAAGTTTTTTGTTATTTTGAGTTTTATCAATTTTTTAAATCCATCTGATAGCTTATTGAAGCTCCCAGATCTGCCAGAACCTCCTTTTGAACTGCACGGTAAAGACGGTACGACTTGCGACGTCACTCGATGGCCTATACTCTCAGTGCCCCTTCGGCACCCTGTGTGTCCATACCTGCAATAGAGTGTACCTTGACAAAAATCAGGGTTGGTTTTCAGAAAACCTAAAACATTTTAAACAAATCTTATGCTGTGAATTAATTTCAATCTTCTCATCTATTTCAGTGTGGACCTGAGTGCAGAAGAAGGTGGTGGTTTTCTAGAATTAGTCCCAGGTGGGCGTGATATTGAAGTGACAGCTTCCAATGTCTATGACTATGTTCGCAAATATGCAGAATATAGGATGGTGAAAGCCCAAAGTAAAGCAATCGATGTAAGTGCAATCCTCTCTTTTTAAATTTTTCTTAACACTCTTAATCTCTCAAAATTGCAGAAAAGTTAACAAATTATTAAGAGCAGCCCAAGACAATGATAACAGTGGAAAAATAAGGATGAAAAAATGGGAAACAAGGCTGAAAATACACAATTAATGAAACCCAAGACGTTTCGACTTAAAACTGAGTCATTTTCAGTCGGAAACAATAAAAATTTAAAAGAAAAAACGATAAAAACCTGAGCCCTGCATGGTGGCAGCCGGGATCTGAGAAAAAGAGAAAATTGATAACAAACAGGGCACATTGATGCCAGCACCGATGACCGAAAATGATCAAATGCTAGTTTGCGATCCTATCATAGATGGCAGCACTAACCAGTGAAACCATGCTGCCATCTATGAGTGGATCGCGAACTAGTGTTCGATCATTTTCGGTCATCGGTGCTGGCATCGATGTGCCCTGTTTGTTATCAATTTTCTCTTTCTCTCAGATCCCGGCCGGCACCATGCAGGGCTCAGGTTTTTATCGTTTTTTCTTTTAAATTTTTATTGTTTCCGACTGAAAATGACTCAGTTTTGAGTCGAAACGTCTCGGGTTTCATTAATTTTGTATTTTTAGCCTTGTTTCCCGTTTTTTCATCCTTGTCTTTCCACAGAAAAGTTAACTTGATATCAATGTAAGTTATAAAATATTCAAATTATTCAAGTGCACTCCCAAGGTGCAGCTTATTTCAACAAATTAAAATTGTGTTAGTGTGACCGCGAAAAGCTGTCTCAGAAATTTTGTTTAATGACTCTTGCAAAAATGTATAAATTTTTTTCTAAAATCGTATTCAAAGCTTTTGATCACTGATAAATTATGATAAAAAGACTGTAGCCGTTGATTTCTATATCCTCCAACTACTTCATTTTATCGAACAACTTCATGTAATGTCACCTGTTGTTGAAAGATGTTTTTTCATGTATCATTTTCTTTTCTTTTTTTCCTGCAGGCTATTAGACAAGGTGTATTCGATGTTCTGCCACCATCTGCCTTGGATGGACTAACACCAGAAGACTTCAGACTGTTACTAAATGGTGTCGGAGACTTCAATGTATCCGTATTGATATCTTATACTAACTTCATAGATGAATCTAGTCCCAATCCTCACGAACCTAGCCCAAGACTGCTCAAATTGAAGAGATGGTTGTGGTCCATAGTTGAAAAAATGACTCCGGTAGAAAGAATGGACTTGGTAAGTTTCGGCGTAGCTCATCACCCTATTACTCTGATCTTTTATCATAAGTATCAAATAACTTTTCTATTACTGTAAGAAGTAGAAATTTACCGGTGTAACTAACATTTTCTCAGTTTTAAAGTTTCAGTGATGAAACTAGAATAATTGTAAAACGTGCTCCTATTTAAAAGGGCATCACCAAGATAGCATCCGGAAATATTCCTCCTGCTGCAAGTGTACTTTCAGAAACATGCTCTCTCTGCCTCAATCCATGGTCTGTGCATTCACAAAGGCTGCATAGACCATGAATTTTGGCTGAGGGGTTTAGTCGTTGAAAAACATCCATGGTGGGAAAGGTGTTTTAGAATGCCTTTCTTGGTGTTGCGTGTCTAATGTTAAACTTTATACTCGTTTTTCATGGTTGTATAATATCCCTAAAAATTTCTGAATTAATTACCCAAAACATCATCACCATAATGATAATAAACACAATTGAATGCCTTTCGTACCTCTAATGATATTCAATAATCTCTGTTTCACACCAGGTTTACTTCTGGACTGGATCGCCAGCTCTACCCGCCAGCGAAGATGGTTTCCAGCAAATGCCCAGTGTCACTGTGAGACCACCGGATGACTCATACCTTCCTTCTGCCAACACTTGCATTTCTCGCCTTTACATCCCCCTCTACAGCTCTCGGTCGATTTTGAGACAGAAGTTAATGATAGCCATCAAGAGCAAAAATTTTGGATTCATCTAAATATGGTAAGCAGTCTCTCAAGTCTAAATTTCTCACTATCCGTTTTAGAATAATAACTTTTCTACATTTTATGGATTAGTTTCTTGTCTTCAGCTTGTGCAATACTTTTCTCAGGTATGGTTTAAAATTTTTGAGGACCAGTGCCGAAATTGCCTATTAATTTTTTTGTGTAAACCTAAATGTAATTTTAAGTGTTTACTCTCTTGTTTCAGGCCTCAACGACTTTGGAAAATAGAGGATACACTCCCACATCCAATGTGCATTCAAATATTCTTATTATACGTTAGCGTAGTCGCGATAGCGATACTTGTCACGAAATCATTGCGAGTAAGATTTATCTTGTTTCGTTTGTAGATTATTTATTTTCCAATGAATAGAATAAATTGGTCGAACCTATTTTGTTAATGCTCCAATTTATGCTGACTGTGACCCCCACCCCTCCCCCCCTCTAATCCTCCCCCTTATCCTGTGAAATATGATTTGTAATATTCTGTACATTATTTCATTTTAGTTTTATTTCTTTTTGTCTACTGATTAAGTACTCGCTTAAGTTTCATGTTGAAAGTTGTTTATTTTTTATCGTTCAATACTTTTCAAGTATTTAAACAATCAAGACTTTTTCTTCGCTAGCCTAGCTGACTAATTTCTTGCAGTGACAGTTGTGAATAATTCGAGACTCTGTTATACAAACTATCGTGTTGTATCTGTTAAATATTAATATTATTATCTAATGATAGTGTAAATTGATTAATTAAAAAGAATATCTTTTTCGACTTAGTGACTTCTCTTTCCTACTTCAAGTATTCCTCAATCTTTTTATATTTTTTCTCTCAGACAACAGGGTGGGAGTGGAAATAAATCATGTTAATATGAAAGGAATGGCTTGCTTTGAATACTGCTCTACTTTGTCATTTTACGGTTCTAGTAACATTTAGTGATATCATAGCATTTCTTTAAGGATAGAATATATGGTTGTTATTTCTTGCAAAAAGTAAAAAGAAAAGCAGAAACGTCGCATTGAGTTGAGCAGTTTTTGAAGCAAGCCGTTCAAGTAAGACTGATTTTTTTTTTTGTCATTCTTTATCTTCTTTGCTGATGATGTACAAGTGAAATCACATCAATGCAACAATAAAAGGTTTATCAAAAGTATACATAAATAATAAAATCCAATAAATTCGAAATGAAGGTACAGTTTTATTATTCAAAAATTTACTTTAGTCTTACAAAAAAATTCAAGTCTAATTTTTAGGGCAACAATTTAAGGCTGTTATGTATTCTCTTAACATAACTATTGCCTCTCTAATCACACATTATCCTTGTTAAAGTAGGAGCTGGTTGAAAAATCCAGCAGAAAAGAGAATAAATTTAACTTCTGATAGAAATACTAAAAAAATATCACAGCCTGACTGAAAATATAAACATAACAGCAGTCTTCAAAACTCAAGACCTCTCTGTCCTTTACAGAGTTGAATTATTTATCTAACAGAGCAGGATCTACCCCTTCTTGCTGCATTTTTAGCTTGACCGCTGGCACAGGGACACCAAAATAAACCATTTTTTTATACTTGGCAAGTAATGGATTCTCCTCTTTTGGGGCAACATCTTCAGGAACATCTGACGGAACATTTGGCGTCCCCTCTCCCTTTGAGTCAGCTGGAGTTTCGATCTGAAAATAGGAAAAGGATAAAATAATGACAAATCAGTGAGAAGTGGCGAGTCAAATCAACCTGAAGTTAAGAGACTGTTCTGAATTAACGTACAGTTATTTGAAATTTTATATTTTCATCAATATTTTGCCTTTCCATTTTTTTTTACTCTGCAAAACCAAGTATAGTTCAGGGACAGAAATCATCTGATTGTTAATCGAGCATTGTAAAGTTTTATTTTGAAATACCCAATGGCCGAGGAATTTTACTTTAGGAAGTGATCAGAAACCAGTCATTGAACAGTAAGTAATACAGTATTTTCACATAATGCAACTTTATCATGATCCTCATTGAACCTGAACTTACTAGTTGTGGCGTAAAGATGTACATGGATTCGCTTGCAAGACCAATCCACACAGGTCAGTCATTGCGCATCTTTTTGAAAGCCACTTCCCCGCCCGGCCCTAACTCGGCTGCACTCAACAGTACGTCACAATGGGTGCTCCCATAAGAAATACATTGCAAGCACTCAATAGTACGTCACTGCGCAGTAGAGTACCAAAACTCGTCCACGGGAATGACTGACCTGTGTGGATTGGTCTTGTTCGCTTGCCACCACCTATAGTATTTTCTCTATGACTACAAGGCTTCATGACAGATAGTTGATGGAACCTTTTTCACATGATTTACACTTTTCAACAGCTTGCACTGATAATAGTTATAGTATCTGCGTAAACAGATTAAAAAGATATCCAAGTTTATTTGAAACAAAATCCAGAATTCTTTTATTTGAAGTTGTCCAAGCATTCAAGAATAGAGAGCTGAGCAGGGAGGTGCTTCATTTGATTGAAAGCCACAGTAACGACAAGAGATTTTATGACCTTGATTTTACTTTTATCAAAGATCAGCAATATGAGCAGTAAAAACTTTGTAAGATGATGACCACATTCATGACCTGTTGTATTTACCTCAATACTCAATACTGGAGTCTCTTCGATTTCAGGCTCTTCCTTTGGTGCTGGTTTTTCTGTCTGAGTTGCTGTTACAGTACTTGCTTCCACTTCAAGACCTGGTATTGAGCTTAACTACTCATGAAAATAAAAAATAAGAGAACATTTACAAACATTTTTCAATGCAAAAAATATCATGATTAGGCGGGCTATTAAGTCATTTAATAGATTCTTTTTTAGCAATCTTACTAAAATATGTATCTAGGCAAATACATCCGAGTGCACGAGCCCCTTTACTCCTTGCGCTCCTGACAATCTAGGTTTGAGCCAGCTAGATTTAGACTAGCCTGATGAGACTCAATTAATGTTGGAGACACCTTTGTTAGTCTCGACAAAACTACATCCGTCAAAATTGAGCAAAATAACACTGCACAGTATGCTAATACCTACTTGAAAAAAGGTGAAAATATTGGCAAACATACCTTTGCTTCGAGGATACATAACGAGGCCTCCAGTTTCTGCATCCGCTCGTCCAATTTCTGCAGTTTACTCTCACATGAGATCAATAACTTGTTCAAAAATGATACTGTTGTAATGATGAAATGGTTGACAAACGCAAGTGTTCTTTTCTGGCAAATAGGAGGAGCCTACAGTAAAAAAAAAACAGTATTATTAAAAGTTGTAGAAAAGCAGATTCTGAGGTTCATCGGAATTGTCCATCATCATCAAATATTATCCATTTCATTCCGACACTGTAAATGAGTGGTTGGCATTAGGGAAAACCAAATCCAAAAAACCTTCCGATGTTTTAAACCTAAAAGCCTTCAAAGGACCGAAGGTTTACAGATCGTTCGGATAAGCAACAAGTGCTGTACGTAAGTAATGTGTTGAGTGGTCAACTTAGGTTAGGTAGAGGTGCTAAGAGATTAGGAGCTTAATTTGAATTAAAATCGTAATATCCTGGAAGAAGAAACGTGGGAAATAAGCTTACCTTGGACAAATCCATCGCTACAACTGTTCGATAAACCGGCAAAGGAACTAAGTAAAAATTATGTAACGGGCATTCCATGTAAGTGACTTAAAACTTAAAATCCTCACAATTTTGGAAACGTAGGTTACCAAGGTTTTTAATCATGTTCACTCTATTAAATTTCTACAATGGTCTTCGATGAGACGCAAGATAACAAAATTAACTGATGGAGATGGATAAAAGAATTTTGATCACTTTTTCACAGCTTGCTGATAGCTGATAACAAAACAAAAGGCTCTCCCCCTCTTCCTTCCCCTCGCCGACGCTTTGTTTATTTACATAGTTTCTAACCTCAAAAAAAGCATGCAGGAGCAGATAGACGAATCACACGGATATTGCAGTTCTCGGTTTCTTATCTAGTTCTCACAAGTGTTTTCACAAATTTAATCAGTTTTATCATGTAATACACTTTTATTCAATTACCAGGAATCATGGATTCTGAAACTAAAAGTGCCTTTTTAGTTCTAAAGCCTGTCTGTGACAAAGTGGCATTGAGTCCAAGCAAGTCAACTTTAGGGGATTTGAAAGCAACAATAGGCTCGGTGCCTATCTCAGGGCTGTTAAGGCTCAAGGACTATGTTATTTTCCCTCTGGAATTGCATCTACACAACCACAAAAATCTGAGGTTCGTTTTTTCCCTTCCATTTTGGGGCCTCTGTGGAATTGATCTCTCAAAGAATGCTGTAACATCGATCGTTCCAAGTCATCCTTCATTAACGGATCCATCGCTCAGATCGCCAGATATTTCATTAAAAATAATTCAACTAGGAGTTTTTTATGCAGTGGTGAATACTCAAGAACTTAAGGTTTTGACAAACCAAGCATGCATATGATGAGATTTGAACTGAATCTCGGAGCTCTCTCCGGAAAAATGTCACAAATCAGATCACATTTGACATTTTATGTGTTGATACCAGGTACGTCTCTTTAGTGGCCTTAAGCCTCAGTACTGGTTTATTAGCTGTCTGCCGCAATGGATTCACTGCAGAAATAGTGGTTGGAACACAGTTCAAAAGAGGCCGTATTAGCTTCAGAAAAACGAATGCCCAAGAGAATCATGTTCTTGAATTTCAGAGCAAATCCCCAGAGCTAGCATTCAAAGGCATAAATGTTGATGCAATCTTTAAGGTTACCCGCATGACAACCATTATTTTATTTTAAAACATTTACAGACTTAATTTCACTGATTCTGTTCCCTTGATTCTAACCAATTCCATTTGTTGATTTCAGCCAAGAAACTTTGATCTCCTTAGTTGAGTGTCTAAAAGCAGTCCTTCAGAGAATTTCTCTAACAGAGTTGAAGAATTTTCTCAAGCTATATTCCCTGTTGTTCTCACTGATCTCAAACCCTCAGAATCCTGAACTCAGTAAGTTATCAATCTCCTACAGCATATTATACTTCAACCCCAGGTTCTTACCTTGTTTCTCGGTGGCTCAAGTTTCAGAATAAAAGTTCTCAAGAGTCCTTGTAGCCCTCATAGCACAGCAGCTAGAACAGTTTCACACTGAAAATCAGTGACAAGTTCCTTTCCATCATCTTTGATTTTCTTTCGTCTCTCACGTATGTATACTCGAAACCTAAAACTTCCTTTTTCATTGTCCTGCTCTTGGATGATGTCATTAACTGTGTTTTTCCAAAGGTCTTGTACCTAATTATGTGCGATAATGTACATCAAAGTTATAGTGTCAGAATCATAGCCACTAATGTTTTTGTCAACTCATACGGAGGTCTGATGCAAAACTTTTGAGACAGCCTGTGTATCTTTGTTTTAGCCATTAAAACAATGTAAGCAGCAGGCGAGCATTTAAAAGTCCCAATTATCAAATTTATAATTTGTTCTCTATTAATGAAATTTTCTTTTTCAGGTAAAGATGTGCCAGAAGAGCTAAAATTGAGTGTGGTAGAATGTGTTGCAGAGCTCTTCATCAAATCAGATCCTAGCGTGTTAGTTGAGTTCTATTCAAGACCTTACTACCCGAAGTTGAGCTTTGGGGTTTACACTTGCAATCAAATCGTGAAAAACGAAAAATTCCATACTCTCAGGTTGGATTCCTCTCCTTTGCATGAGAAATAATATGTAGTCCTATTTTTTTAGAACTCAAGTAATAACAGTGTTCCAAACTTTCAAAGGGATCCTTCATAGAGGACACTTTTTAATAACAATACATTTTGCAAGTGATTCCTGCATTTAAGTGTTAACTTTAATTAAAACAATTTTAAATGTAGGACTGCTATTTTGTGTCTTTCTACTGGGGCTATTTCTACCTATCTATAAGGTGGAGGCTGGAAGTACGCCAAAGGAATACTTTTTAAGTGAATTCATTACAAAGGTTTCTTTTCTATGTTTCATCTGTACATTATTTGCATGAATGTTTTTTAATCAAGTAGGTAAATCGATTTTTTGAAAAAGGGCATTAGTGTCATTAGACTATGTAAAATTCACACACCTTCATCCTTGCAGGGATGCAAAAACTTCCAAGTTTATGATATGATCATGATCAAAATATCGAAACCATGGTCGCAGTCTCTGAAAAAAATGGAAGGCTGAAAAATTGGAAAGGCAATAGCATTTTTTTTTTTTTTTTTTTTTTTTTTTTTTTTTTTTTTTTTTTTTTTTTTTTTTTTTTTTT